ATACCAGTCACTTTAGGATAGGAGGCGGAATCCAGGCTTTATACGATCAGAATTAAACAAGAAAAACAAATAACGGGAATGGGCTGTGGCTCACTTGTAGTCATTGATGTAGAGCTTTGCATTTGGATCGACAGCACGAGCTGTTTCGAAAGCGATTCGTACGTAGTCCTCGCCGATGACATTATAGAATACACTCCTACGTAGGGAACCGTCTTCGTTGAATATTTCGTTCAGAACATCCTGAGATCCATCAGTAATGCGGCTGCATGAAAAAGAATACAACTTACCCAGGCGTAGACTTTGCCTTTATACCGGTTCATGACTGTGGTAATGTGGTTCTTCATGACGTTTATCAGAGTGGTTTTATCTGAGATGGAAGAGACCCAGGATGGGAGCTGGGAGTGCCACACTTGACGAGTTTAGTTTTCCTTGTTATGAGGTGTTTCAACCCTTGGGCTCCGAGAACTTACCGAGAGTATGGCCACGGATCAACTTCCCATTTGACTGAGCAAAATTGACCTATATATTGTGAGGATCGAACAAAAAAGTGACTGCCTTGGTAAAGGCCACCTGGGTACATACCACATAGTCCGCCCCTGAGAAGGAGAACTGCCCTCGGTTTGCTATTTCGCAAATGAGCTTCTGATACACTAGTATCCTAAAGACATTTATACGCACGCTCAGTGGCATCCCACTTCATACTGTTCTCAGGTGTCAGTTGGCCGAAGTTGGCTTTGACAATTGCTGGGGTTTTTGCGTTCTTGTTGAAGGTGTACTGTTCACCAATAGTTCCAAGATATTTCTTCCCGTGTGTCTTGAATTTTGCATCAATGCTCACAGATGCCTGTCGGGATTCAACAGGTCCGGAGAACACATGGCCAGCAAAAAGGATAGCCAGGACAGCTGCCTTGACCTGAACCATATTGAGAAACGTGTTGACTTTCAAATGGATGATCGGAATGAGGGTGGTAGAAGAAAGATGCCACCTAGGAGGAGTGAGGGGGTGAAGACAATACTTATACAGGACAGATGTCGAAGTTTCTTGAGCAATCACAATTAAGGCACGGCCGAACAGACATTTCTCCCAATTGGAAACGGATGCTATATTGTCTACGAAGTACCTGTTTCACTGACGGGGAACATATGTTGCCTAGTTGATTCAATTTCCTAGTCAACAACCCGGGAAAAATGGTTCTCGATCATCTTCAGCCTGAATGATCGCATAGAAGCTTTTAGGCTGGATACTACCAAACCACCAAGCTCCTTTCACGTATGCCCAGTGCAGGCTAAATCTGCCGGAATCCCTGACCTAAATTACTACCGACATTCTTCAAGGAGCTTTAGCAAGACATAATCACCGAGAAGATGATAATCACCAGGCTAAATTGGTGCGGGGTTCATATCGGCATCTACAGCAAGAAAGGCAATAATAGTCGGGCCAATGATTGTTCCTGGCTAATCTAGTTTACCCAGCCAGACTCCGGAAATCAAAGAATTGTACCGAACTTTTTAGTTGGAACATTGCGAACATTTTCCAGGGAGAGGAAGGAGTAGATCGATTTATTTTCTCCCGCGGAAGGTTCCTCCCGAAGCTATTCGATCCCTAGGCTGTACTTGGACTATACTAAATGCTCCTGATTTCTGCTTCGAGTATTCAGTTAGTAGAACTATCGATGACCAGCATCCTAGGTAAGCTAAGCTACTTTAATATGGATTTTCTAGACCCATTTGAGCGTGATCTTGAGAGTCTATAGTCAAATGACCTGTCATATGATCTCTCGTCTGTCCTAGAGCTTCTAGGTCTTGTTTATCTTTGAACGTGCTTGTTTACATATTGGAAACTTTATGATATTCCACGGCTTTGGTTAGCTCCCAAGACACCGCATTCATTCTGTAGACTCAAAGTTCTCAAAGGCTGGTACTAACTATTACGAGGAATTCTGCAGAATCGACCTGGAACGTGCGTGGAGATCATCATCGGAATAGGGACTGTCACCCGCGCGCACCGCTTTATCACACCGCCACCTAGCTCTGCCGCTCCACCGCAGAGCACCCCTCGACCCGCCCCCCTTGGACGACCCGCTCGATAATGATTTCCTTCTTGACCCGATTAATACCAACCAACTGGACCAGCAGGCTCCGCCCTCTTAACCTGCTCTAGCCGCGCAACAACTAGACCCCGCTCTGCAGCAGCCAGTTGCCGATAGGAGGGGGTAGCGACCGCCGCTGACGCCGCCGCTGATGCCGATACTAGACCACATGCTGAAGCGGACCCTAATCCTGACAAATAGATCCCTTTTAAAACCGTAGTAGAACAGATTAACGAAGCGGACAAAGTTGCGCAAGGAATTATAGCCGCGTTAAATCAAGATAAGCGCAAACTGCTGCCAGTTGCTTTAGCCGCAGGGGTCTATCGATGTCTGACCTCGCAATATGGGATCACCACATATAGTATAGCGAACAGCTCTTTATCCTAGAGAATCACAATTTACGCAGGCAGATTATAAAGCATATTCACCAGTGCTGCGTCGCAGGCCACCTAGGGCCAAAGAATATATTCTGTGTAAAAATACGATCCTATTTCTGGCTGGGTATAAAGAAAGACATCACGAGGTTCTATAACTTCTATATAATTTATAAAAAAGCGAAATCTCGCACTGCACAGAAAAAATGACTATTAAAGCCTTTCCTGATTCCGCAGCGTCACTAGTTAGATATATTGATAGACCTCACGGAAGACCTCCGCTCTATAAAGCCCGCGGTAGAGAGTTCAAGTACTATTTAGTTGTAATTAATTGTCTAAGTAAAGCAAAGATATTTAAACCCCTCGCCACGAAGACTGACGACGAATTACTAGAGGCTATATACCGATAGATCTTCTGCGACTACAGTTTACCGCGGTCGATCGTTTCGGACCGCGGGAGCGCCTTCGTAAATAGGTTAACTAACTATCTAGTTAATAACTAATAGTTAGTTAACATCAGAATGCTGGGTAAAGAACGACAAGCTCAAAAGTTACAACAAAAACGCGAGGAAGGCCCTCCGCCTATTTATTAACAGTTTCTAGATCGGCTTAAAAAAAATCCCTGTTGACCTTATTAAACCTTTCTGGTCATAATCATTGGCGACCGCTGGCGACCATTAACGATTACCGGCGACGTTGGCGACTCCCGGCGACCGTATATAAACAGAACACCTCCATCACTGGCACCCGATCTAAAGATCGTTTTAGAAAAATATTTAGGTTAAGGGCTCTTCGATAATTAACTGTGCAGACTACGTGGCTTAAGTACGGCTGAGCGGACGGGAAGTCCTGGTCTCCACACCCTGTGGTCGTATGTACTGAATTTAAGAAAAGAATGTAATATATGTTACCTCCTAAAGCCAGGGAGCTTCCCTGTACGGAGGAACGTTCCGGAGGAACGTTCTGGTTAGTTAGTATAGGATCAAGAGATCCTCCGCGGTAGGCATCCAGGAACATTCCTAGTATCCTGCAAGCATTCCTGCCTGAGGCAAAGCCCCAGGCAGTATATAGAGCCCCTGGATCCTCCCTCCTAGAGAGCCTTTTCTCCCTATGGGAAAATTCTTTGACTACGAGTCATAAACAAACTTGTCTTTTACTAAGCTCCTTTATAGACCGTCACAATATATAGAGCAATGTCAAACATACTTACTATATAATATTTCGCTTAGCTTTGGCCGGCTGGTTTTCATAGTCATTACGTTCAGTCCCGGTCCATATGGGACTATTGCATTCTGAGCATTATGTGACGAACTGACCAAGAACCACTATATAGAGCGATGCGCGTACCAAGTCCATGTCGTTGACTTGGTATTCTGGTCTTTTTAGTAGCTCAGTTGGTAAAACGTCCAACAGACCTACTAACCGGTCTTGGCGGGTAGAAGCGCACCTACTCACTGCCAAGCCCGTGACACATTATCTGGCCAACTAAATTTCGAGATTCATAGTTAATCTTTAAGCGTTATACGTGACACAGCATGAGGAAGCTGTCTGTTTATCCACTTCCTGGTTGCGGTGTAACACGCAGTGGCTGCTATATATTTTCCTCTAGCAAGCCCGATACAAGACAGACGAATCATGATAGTACTGCAACAACATATAACAAGAAAGATTTTACAATATCCCACAGTACCATATATCAGGCAGATAGATCATATGACACGTATAGTAGATATACCGCTAAATAGGTATATGAGGCCAATGGTTCGCTGGTGTTCATGGGTCATAGTCCAATTCTTACGCAGGCTTCATTTATTCTACACCTGCATTACAAAAATTATGCATAGCCTAAAGCTTAGCATATCCACGGAGTGCGCAGCGGAAATAAATCTAATGTTCAGTCCCGTGAGCTGCGCGACCATAGATTAGGTTCATATCCCAACCTCCTCCCAGCATGAGAAACCCAAAACACGGGACCCATTTCAAAAAAGAAGGTGGAGGGTTGGATGATGCGAGCCAATCAATTTAACGATAAATCGATAGGGCGACCCTGATATATCATCGCTTTTAGGTGGTAACCCTAACCACTTAGAAAATGGGAACATTCCTCACCCGTGGAATGATCGGCGTTTGACTCGCGTCTTTTTTCTGGGTTGGAATAACGACATGTTGAACGAGATTTAGAGGTTAGGCTAAGTCAGGATTCTCATCAGCATAATAATTGCCCTTCTCTACCGGTATGCAGCATGTAGGCAACGAGTCACTAGTAGAACACTTGTGGCTCTATTGGTTTGATGGCTCTACCGAAAAAATCGGGGAGCACCCCTTGCATGGACATCCGGGTATTTTTCCAGGGAAAATCATTGCATATGTGAGCCTAAGGCCACGCAAATATGATTTCCTGCGACTTACTCCGTACGCAGTGTCCATCCCTTGGGATTTCAGCAATATTATATGATTGGTATGTATGTCAAAACCTGATCATTCGTTCCCCTATCTCATCTACCACCGACTACTTCTAGGCGACAACTGATCAGTAATGGCAGACAAGGAGGCTTCTCAAGGTTGTCACAGTCTTGAGATTGACGAGAAACTGCATCAATACGGGCTGAGGCTGGCAGATAATGGACGCAGTGTGGTATGGAAATCGGACAACCCACGTCATCCGCGCAACTGGTCCACTGCGCGAAAGGTGTACGATGTTTCTTGGGTGATTTTCTTGGATTTGTTCTCGTATGTCTCGCCCATTAACCCCCCCCCTTCCCCTGGAAGGAGCTCCCCATGCTGATATATTGCTCGCATAGATCTGTCATCTCAAATGCAGGGGTATGTTACCCCAAAACAAAATCTCGCGGGCAAGAGTTAAGCGTGGCAGTCCCCAGCTGCTGCTATAGCACGACATGAATACGGAATTAGCGAGACGCCGGCTATTTTCATCTTTGTCTCGTTGTTGGTGTACCCTCCTTACCGATAAAATTAAAGCATCATACCCTGACTCATAAATTGTAGGCACATGCTAGGACAAGGACTTGGGAGCATCGTCTTCCCACCATACTCGGAGGTATTCGGTCGCAAAAATCTCTACGTCGTCAGCACAGCTTTATTCGGCATAACATGCGCCATGGTAGCGATACCCACGCCTGGAGGAGCGGTCATCGGCCGTCTGCTCAGCGGCTTTCTCGGAGCGATTCCAACAACAGTGGTAGCCGGTAGTATTGAGGACATGTTCAATTCCCGCCACAGGATCTGTGTCATCGCGGTGTGGACGGTGGCTTGGAACATTGGCTCGTCCTTGGGCCCCATATACAGCGACTATATCATTGCTGCTCTAGACTGGTATGTCGACCTTGACTCTTTATAGAACTCGACTGACGAAATAGGCGATGGATCTTCTACGTGGCGGCTATTACATCAAGCGCATTGACTATCGCGTTGATGACCATCCGAGAGTCTCGCCCTCCTCTTGTTTTGGAAAAAGAGCTCCAAAAACTGCCACTGTCTATCCGCGGAAAAGGAAAGGAAGCCCTGCAAAGCTTCAACCCAGACCATGTCCCCGATCTCATCACGTTCGCAACCGTCTTCCTCGTCCGACCTCTGCGACTACTTGTCACCGAACCGATCGTCTTCCTTGTTTGTATCCTCGGACCGATTCCTTACGCGATCACGTACCTCTTCAGCCAAGCCCTACCAGACGTCTACAAATCCTTCGGCTTCACAACCACCCAGACCCACCTCCCCTTTCTAGCCATCAGCATCGGTGCAGTCCTGATTTTAATATCCAGATGGTACAATGAGCACAACATCGCAAAACACATTCGTCTCAATAACCCAATTCACCCGGAACTCCAGCTCCTAGGTCTCGTTATCGCAGCCCCAGTTCTGGCAGGGGGTCTCTGGCTCTTCGCCTGGGCAATCCCACCTCAAGTCCCCGGTCTCCACTGGATCATCCCGACAATCGGGCTGGTCTGCGTCGGATACGCAGGCGGCGAGTTCCCAACCGTTCTAACGGGTTATCTTGCCGACAGTTATAGAGGGTATTCATCCAGTGCGTTTGCAGCGTTGTCTTTGATTCGCGTTCTTTTAGCCGCGACGTTTCCGTTGTTTTCACCGAAGATGTTTGCGAACTTGGGTGCCAACGTTGCGGTCTCAGTTTTAGCCGCTCTGGCGACGGTTTTTTGCGCCGTTCCACCATTATTGAGGATCTATGGACATAAAATTCGCGCGAGAAGTCGGTTCGCACAGGAGAGCTTGGTGCTGTATAATATGACGACCGTTGATAAGGGGGGATATTGACTATTATCATGTTGGGGAAAGTGGTGGCGTCAAAGTTATGGTCTATAGATATATCGTTTTGAATACTCCAGCTACCTTTAAATGAACTATATGGATTATTATTTGTTATTTTAATTTACGTAAATACGAGCACAGGGCGTAGAGAACAGGGCACCCCCGTCCGCTCAGATGTAATTAAGCCACCCATTTAAATATACTAAAATGGAAAATAGAAGAAAAAGATTGTGTTCAAGACCTCAAAACTGCGCTTGCGTGTCGTCGTCGCCGTTGTCATCCGAGTCCGAGAATTCGAGCACCACCTCATCATCAAACCTTGGGGAAGCAAACTGTTCTAGTTGAGGATGCATTTTGGGGATCTCTAAACGGACATATTGACTTGGGGGCTGCCACTCCTCAACCTCTGAACCGTACTCCTGAGATGTTGGCGAGAATTCATGCCCCGGATGTAGATGTCGCCTCGAAGCTTGACACTTGAAACAGATAACAAAGTTATCGCACGTCATGCATTTTAGATAGAAGCCGACTAATGCCTACTCGGGTTTTAGGATCGGTTGTTAGCCTTCTCCACGTGGCCTCACTTGTGTAGGCCGAGTTGGGGGAACAAGGATAAGAGAAGCTAAAGGGAAAGTCAAAGGAAAATCTTACAAGCAAGCAGATGTCGCAGAAGGCACCTTCATGTGGCTTTCCAGGTCGCTTTTGTGTCAATGTAAGAGGCTCACCTTCTTTCACCGGGACTAGGAGGAGTTTGATGTGTTCATCGACAGCGTGATAGACCACGACATCCAGGGCGGTCCACTCTTGATCCATGGCCTTCCCTTTTGCGGTAAGGTCGTAGCCTTCTCCAATCAGGTACTCGATGACGGGGACCATATCTTTCGCATCGCCGTAGCCTACTTTGGGGGTTCTGGCTGCCCAGTGCAACGGCGTCCACCCGTCGGCATCAACAAGTTGACGGTACGTGTCCCTGTGCTCGGGATGGCGCTTGTGGCTGTCGAGAACCTGGCGGGTCAGGTCCACATCCCCACTGACTACGGCGTAGTGCAATGCCGTGCGCTGGGTGCGTGAGCGATCAGGGAGTCGTCATTGGCGGGTAATGTCTGGTAGTGCTTCAGACCACTATAACACGCGAGCTGTACGGGAGTTCTGCCCACTGAGTCTTTCGCGTCGACATTGACACCTTCCGATATGAGCAATTCGATGGCCCTCGGCGTGCTTTGCAAACATGCCGCGTGGAGTGCAGAGTACAGCGTGCCGCCCTCTGCATTGACCTGAGCACCCTTCTCGATCAGACACTGCAGAATCTCCAGGGTATCGGTGGATGGTTCCTGTCGAAAGAAGCTGGCTTGCAACGGGGTGCCCCAGAGTCCCCTACAGTCGAGATTGACGTTTGCTCCGGCGTCGGTGAGGATTTTGACCATGTTCAGGCTGCCGCGCCGACATGCGTAGTGTAACACCGCGTCCTCCCCGACGGATATATTGAGCTTCACCTTCACGACGAACGCCAGATACTGCGCGAGAGGCTGATTATCTGTTTCGACTGCCACCCAGATCGGGTCGGCGCCGTCACTATTGGTGATTTCCGGATCAGCGCCGCGATTGATGAGGCGCTGAGCGAGTGAAACCGACACTTCCGAGGAGATGTAGTACAGGAGCCTGTACCCGCTGTCATTCTTCCGGTCCAACTTGGGCTGATAGTCCGGGATCATCCCCACGATGGCCTCATGATTCCCGTTGATGGCACCGCGAGCGGTGCCCATTTTCCCTCGATCGGTCGGTTGACGTCCGCCCCAGCTTTCAAAAGCAGACCGGCGATCCCGGGGTAGCCATTCTCAATGGCCCTGGCAAGCGGGCTGTACCCATCCTGTTCGTAGTGAAGATTGGGCGGGGGATCATCATGGGTCAGGAGAATCCGGACCACCTCAGCTTGGTTGTTCTTAGCGGTTGCGATGTAGAGAGGCGAACCGCCGGCGCATATAGCGTTGATGTCGGCGCCATTTGTTAGCAGCAGCCTTGCTACATCGGGAAGGTCGTACGCGTAATGTAGCGGACGCCACTTATACAGTCCCTCGATGTTCGGCTTCGCGCCGGACTCGAGCAGTAGCCGGGTGAGTTCCAGGTGTCCTCTCGCCGCCGCATAATGTAGAGGCGTCTGGCCATCTGTATCACGCCAATTAACATCCGCTTCGCATTCCAACAGACAGCGGACGATATCAGTCTGGCCGTCAGACGCTGCCACATACAACGGTGTCTTGTCGGTGGCCGGCTCCGGCTGATCAATGGTCGCCTTGAACTCCAGCATGAGCTTGACCATTTCCAAGTTAGCCATGGTAACTGCGTCGTGAAGAGGAGAGATGGCCCAGGGTTCACCGTCTAGTACAGGGTTCGGGGTTGCTCCCGCACTGAGCAAGAGGCGAGCGATTTGAAGCTGGTTGTGAGTGATGGAATAGTGGACAGAATTGACGGTCACACTGGAGGAATTTGAAGGGCTGAGAGTCTGGAGTATCACATCAACGCACTTATGATGCTCTCCGCTTATAGCAAGAAGCAGTGGATGATTTTCATCGTCCGTATATTGTTCCAAGTCCCCCGCGAGGATAAGACACTATACTACACCGTGACTTCCTTTCTGACAGGCAATTTGTAACGCTGCCATATTATCTGTGTTCTTCGCACCGATTTCTATAGATGCGCGGAGTAGAATCTCGGCCACTCCAAGTGAGCCACAGAAGGCGGCGGTATGTAAGGGAGTCGACGTAGTCGATCCGCCACCATCCCCAGCAACTGTGTCGATACCAGTATCACATAACAGCTGAGCAACCCCAGCAGAGTGTGACTTTGCTGCAAGGCAGAGCGGACGGACATTCGACATAAGCGATGGATGAGCCTCCAGAACTGTCGACTCGGTGAAGAACTTCATCACATTGTCCAGACCCAAGAGACAGGCCACGCGCAGTGCTATACCAATACTTTCACCAGAGAGATTATCAGCAGAGTGACAATGCAAGAGCTCTAGCAGAACAAGACTATTGGAGTTGGATTCTGCTGCTTTTATGGCAACATTCACAGTGTCCGTCTCCAGGGTTGTATGAGCGTTTAGGAGGGTACGAAGTGCATGGATATTCCCATTTTTCGATGCTTCCACGATCGACTCTGCCAGAGCACTGGGATCTAGTGCCTCATGCTGTTCAAGAAAATTATCGAGCAACCCCTCAAATCCCGCGCCCGCCACAACAGTCAAAGGACCCGTGAGCTGGCGGCCTTCCGCCCTCGGCATACCACGGATATTCGTGTATGCAGGCCACCAGGCCTCGCGTAGATCAGGGCTTTGAAGAAACTTTGTAACCCCAGCCACCAGTTCTTGGGGTTGATGATCTTTGTTGGCGAGGTTGTAGTGGTCTGACCAATATCTTGCGGTGTACAAGTGCAGAGTATTCTCAGCATTGCGCCAACGAGACATGCTGGGTAATTTCGTCAGATACTGCAACGTCTGTCGCACTGGATCGCGGCGCAAGTGGTCTAGGCTCATCTCAGCAATCAACTCGTGGCATTGTGCGTCCGCAGAGTAGTGATACCATGTCCCAGACGAGGTAACGACACTTGGGTTGAAGATCAAACGTGCTTCCGCGTTTGGAACATCAATCAGGCCGCTGATGTACTGAAGAACTTTAGACCGAGGCTCGTGCATCTCCCTGAATTCATCATCTGAACGGTAGTTGCCCATGCTCTGGTCCAGACCTGATGAGAGATTTGAGACCAACTCCAGCTCAGAGAAAGTGAGGGAACGGAAAGAGGAGATGAGCCAAGCGAGAACTTTGCGTGCCCATGATTGCAAGCTTTCGGGTACCAGTTCTAGAGTTGTTATGCAAAAAAGGGCCAGCGTCCCCGTTTTTGTTGGTTGCAGCTCGGCCTCTATCGCCATACAAGATCTCTCTGTGTAGCGAAGTCAGTTCAGGATGGCGTGCTGGAGTGTCCGATCTTGGGCACTCCGTTGCAATGCCTCCAGCATCACACTCTCCGAGGAATGCAAATGAAGCCGGTCCTGTAGCAAACCCGCCAGCCCTACCTCAAGCCAGTACGGTATGCTGCCCCCTGTCCCATTACCCACGGGAATGTCTGAACTCAACGAGAGGGCCTCCAGGTTGGTAATCTGAACGTTGGAGCGATTGGAAAGAATGTCGGGAATGCTGTCGACAGTTGGTGATGTGCTTGAGATGATAAATTTGCCCGGTAAATCTGCCCCTTCCCAAGAGGACAGAATATGAGCGAGTAGCCATTTCCTTTGGTCGGACTGGTCAAGCCCATCAATAATTTATGTAGCCCGGTTCAAAATTCGACGCCTGCATAGTTCCATCTACACATGCCAGAGCACAATCTCGCCAGACGTTCGGGTAACGAAAAACATTGTCCAGAGTTTTTCCATCACATCGTCATGGATGTGAACCACGGCTTGCTCCAGGATCGTAGCAAGAAACGTGCGGATCTAATATGTAAGCGTTTGAATGCCTGAGGCTTGCTGCCAATGCACCTGTTAGATAGGCAACACCATGGAAGATCTCGATTCTTCCTACATCAATCAATCAATCAATTCAGTATCGACCAGATCGATTTATTTCATGCTTTTTGACCACTGCGGTGCAAGCGGTCCCTGCAGAACTTCTACATAACAATCCACAATACCATCCGTTTCCCTACGGCGATGCCTCGATGTCTTATCTTGGTTCACTATACGAACTACTGAAATATCTGCACCTTATATCCCACCATTCAGTGAAAGTTAGTACATACGACCACAGGGTGTGGAGAACAGGGCTTCCCGTCCGCTCAGCCGTACTTAAGCCACACGCCGGCAGGTTAGTAGTTGGGTGGGTGACCACCAGCGAATCCCTGCTGTTGTATGTTTTTTGTTTTTATTTGCTTTTCATATTTTTTAATTGCTCCTTTTCTCTGATTCTTTTCTAGTGTGTTAGGTAGGAATGGGACTGAACGGGTGGCGAGTAACAGCCGTTGATAATTTGCCTATCATTTACATCCTACAATGCTATTGTGATTAGAAAAAGCTCTATCATTTCACTTCTACATGTTCGATTCTACTTCTTAAAGTTTCGTGAATTTTAAAAACCGCATGTGGCTACAGGGGCTCATCGGATGGAGCGGTTGTTAAGTTCATCAACGGTAGCACGCACAAGCTGATCAATTAGCTAAATGTTGATTTCTTGGATAATGCAAAGGTAGTAGTGGGAAGATCCTAGTGGCTCGTTGTGTGATCATGTTTTACTTGCGAAATAGTTATGATAGTCTAGCCATTGCACTGAAAAAGTGTCAACCCTTCTAGCGAAGGGGTATTTATGCATATATCCTCGCGGCTACACTAACTCTGGGTTATCTAAATACGGTCTCTGGAATGCGACAAATTGTTTTCAATTTTGTTATAAACCTAATCGTAAATACATCTTCAAAGAGTAATCCTATTAGCCTTTGGGGTAAGAACGGAAAGCTTACCGTTCAACAAATTCTTGAGAAGAACCTTATTCGCTGAGTTATTAGTAGCAAACAACCATTTACAGTGATTGAATCACCGGCGTTTCAGAAAATGCTCAAAGATATACTAGGTATTTCACGTCCCTTTACCTCGCGCCATACACTTCGAGAGCGTCTTTTGGAAGACTTCAACCTATATCGCATGAGGTTAAAAGATGAGCTTGCAACTACATGTCAAACAATAGCTCTATCTCTTGACGTGTGGACTAGCAAGAACCATATTCCAATCCTCGGTGTCATTGGCCATTGGCTTACAGAAGAATTTGAATACCGAGAGAGGGTCCTTGAATTCAAAGAGCTCCAGGGCTCCTATAGCGGAGAAAACTTGGCTACATCTATTCAAGCTCTGCTTAGTGAATTGAATCTCGAACGCGAGCTTCTTTCAATTACTGGCGACAATGCTAGTAACAATGAGCGGATGGCAGTACAACTATTTGATAGTCTGCAAAAAATATATGGAACCAATTCCCTCTTCTGTAGCTTGAATAGTTATATACAATGCTTAGCTCACATCATCAATCTTATCGTGAAGAATATCCTACAGGCTCTTAAGTCAGGAAGTGCTAAAGCTACTGCTATCTACAACAATCTCGACCAGGGAGTCTACCAGCTATGTGAATTTCAGTCTCTCAGACTACTGGCAAAACTTCAGATCCTAGCTTTGTGGATCTAACGGAGTCCACAACGAAAGGATGGCGTTTGGTAAATTTGTAGGCCCAAATAACACCAAGGACTGCAGTAGGGTTCCGTAGACGCTCATAAAGTAATATTCTACGCATAAACTCTGGCCGGATTGGAAAGCCTCGTTTGTCTGCATCAAGAAGCTGCTTCACAAGAGATTCCTCTTCGATAACTGTCAATTTATGACTGTTGGCGCGTGTTTCCGATCGTGAATTTATACCGCGAAAACGTTCTTGAAAGGTGCTTCTAGGCACTCCAAAGGTATCTGCAGCTTTTGATTGAGATCGATTTTTTTTTGCCTTTATAGGCAGATATAGCCATCTGCATTCGATTTTCTTGAGAAAGTGGCATTTTGTATGGTATGGGGGAAGAAAAGACGCGTTGAATGATGTTTACTGGTAGGTGTAGAGGAAAACCTGCCGACTCGGTGGTTGATTAGTTAACTACGTTAACGTAATCAACCACCGAGCGGCGGATACCATCGAGCGGCGGATTTTCACCACAATCATTACTATTCAAAGCTTTACCACCACCAACACCATTTAAATTAACTAGATAAATATATGAAATGATAGCTATTTACTAGGGCAATTTCGAATTGTATGTCCTACTGTTCCACAGCCACTGCAGCGTTGCGGAGCTCGTCGGCGAGGCATCGGAGTAGATTCCTCAGGTTGCTCATTAAATTGCATATCAAGCTGCTGAACCCGATTTTCGCCGTCTTGTACATTGAGAAGGCGGTCATTACCTAGTTTAGCACGTTTCCTTGCCTTTCTTTGACGTTGTCGCCCATTTTCAGCGCGAATAGCCCTAATTTCTTGCTCTAAAAGTAGCTGGGTTTGCATTGCCATTTGCGCCGCTTTCTCAAGATGTTAAATATGAGCAATAGGACTGCTAGAAAGCTGCCGTTTTCTATTAAGGCTGTTCTGCAGGCTTCGAACCTTTCGATCTAGCTGGCGGGTATTTTGCGGAGTTTGAAAAGCAGAGGAAATTGAGCCTTCGACTAGTGATGGTGCAGGTGTAGGTGTACGTAGTCGAAAGGTAAGTTTTGAAAGAACATGCTCTGGATTGAATGGTTTAAGCCCTGCCCCTTTAAAGCCGCTGCAGATTTTCTCTAAAGTAAATACTTTAGCGTGTGCATCAGGGTATAGCGATAAAAAGTCTTCTTTATCAATATGATTGTTGCCGACTTTCATACGATGTTCAAGAAGCTTTCCGTACGCCCCCTTAAGTGGGCTAAAGACACCCACATCAAGCGGTTGAAGAAGATGCGAAACATGGGCAGGCATACAGAGACAGATTATTGCATGCTGCTTGCAGAAATCATCAAATTCAGCAGTTAGATGGCTGCTATGGCCGTCAAGAATAAGTAACCGTTTAGCGCCAGTCATATAGCGCTTAGAAAGCGGTTCAAAGACATTTTTCAGCCAGAGAAGGCCTATTTCATCAGTCGTCCAGCCATTCTGACTAGTAGAAATCCACCAGTCGCGAGGAAGCTTAGATTCTTGGAACCAGGCAGCTTGTTGGAAGCTTGCTTTTAATATGATAACTGGCGGTAGATGTACACCTTTTGATCCGATTGTCTCGATAACTGTGACCCATTCGCGATTGCCCTGAATAACTCTGCGCGGTCGCTCGCTGCGCTCAACTGCAGTAATTACTTTTGAAGTAGAGCAGAGTCCCATTGCAAAGCCAGTTTCGTCAAAATTCCAGATATCGTCTTCGTGTATACCGTGCTCTTGAATAGTCGCTTGTACAGTCTCAAACTACGGTTTTATAACCTTCGGATCTTCCTGCTTTGCGCGTTGATAGGTAATCCGTCTTGTGTATCGCGTACGTAGCTCAGGATGGCGTCTAACGAACTTATAAGGCCAGTTAATTCCGAGAGCTGCTGTTAAATCTTGTAATCGATTGCAAAGCAATGTTTGAGCCATTCCACGTAGGAATTCAGGTCGAATTGGAAATCCTCGCGTATCTGCGTCTAATAATCGCTTTAAAAGCAATTCCTCTTCAAATTCGGTCAGTTTATGACCATTTGCGCGTGTTTTTGCGCGTGGTTTCCTTCCTTTAAGACGCGCGTGTAAGGTCTTTTCAGGCACCGCGTAGACTTCAGCGGCCTTAAAAATTGATTTAATTTTTTGATCTTTATAGGCCTGCATAGCCATCTGAAGGCGAGCTTCTTGAGAAAGTGGCATTTTATATGATTGATGCGAAGAAATGACGCGTTAAATGATGCTTGAGGTGGTCGGAGTGAAAATCCGCCGCTCGATGGTATCCGCCGCTCGGTGGTTGATTACGTTAGTTTACTAAGTGATGACTAAGCGAGGTCGAACCTCAGGGCACGCGGAAGGGTACGTCCCGATGTTCCAACAGCCCCTGTGGGTCACATGTGCACTAAACTTTATAGAAATCCAAAAAAATGGCTCTGAAACGCATATTTCGTATGATCATTCAAACATTCGAAGATCGTCCATCCTCCCAGTACCTTGCGCCAGACTATCTAAATCCCATCCCGCAAGCGTATACATTCCGGGTATCAACAAAGGTCGAGCAACTCTAAAACAAAATCCTCCGTGAACTCCTTACAGGTGGCAAGGAATCTCAACAGATTTTAGTCATCTATTTTCTTCAAGACATCATGCAAATCAAGTCGCTTAATCGGTTTTATGAGGAACGTATCAATGCCAGAGCCATAGGCTTCTTTCTGGGCACTCTCGCTGTCCAGTCCCGTCAGGGCTGCGATAATCGTATAGGCCGTCTTCTCGCGCTCGGACTCGCTGAGCTTAGATCGGTGTTCTTTTTCGACTCGCCGGATCTGCCGGGCAGCCTCAAATCCGTCCATAATCGGCATGGAAATGTCTAGACGATACGGTTAATGGTTGGACTGAAGGGCTCAAAGGCACAGGGGATGTTTTACCTATTACCACGACACGGAATCGGCCTGGATGAGCTTTGTAGGTTTCCACCGCTTCCACGCCGTTTGTACCAGTCATATAGTCTCGACCATCCTTTTTGGTATAAGCGGACAGTAATTGAAGATTGAGGTCATTATCATCAACCAAAAGAACGGATTTCGGTGGAGGCGAAGCACTTCCTTCGGGACTTTCTTGAGTGGACGGCGATGGTTGACCTGATCCATGGGGCAGGTGGGCCTCCCAAGCTGACGGCTGCCGACGACGACCCACGCCGTCGGGGCTCCCCATCGTGTCGGTGGTCGGACGTTTGCTAACCTTCATGCGCTCGTTCGGAGGATCACTAGGCCCAACGTCCACAGGTAAATGCGACGACTCGGGTAGTTCCACCCAACGCGTAGGCTCGTCAGAGGCACGTCGTCCGTCTGCCTCGTCCCGGCGGCGTTTGATGCACAGTTCCAAGGCACGGGCCAATTTCCGCGGCCCGCAGGGCTGACTGACAAACTCGAAGATGGGAGAAACGCCCCGGTTCTTGGCTGCGACAAACATGCTGTGCGCCTCCTCGGGGGACTGACAGATGACAACGACGATAGGGGGCTCGTCACCCTGGCTAATCAGACGAGGCGCTAAGCTAAACAAGTTCCGACCTTCAAGATCCTCACTATCGAGCTCGGTCTGTACAGCAAGGTAGAAATCGAAGGCACGTTGTTCGCCCTGGGTTGGTGACTTCGAGATCACCTCGAGGCCGAACCACTCCTCACAGACCCGCGCCAGAGAAGTATATAGTGTTGTGTCACGATTGGATTCCAGGGAGGAACCAAAGCCCAACAGCCCAATGGACTTCCCCTCGGTGGATTTCCGCAAGGCGACAAATACGGAATCCGAGGCACTGTCAGACGTAGCTGAAGCAAAGTGGGTGAGCGGGATACGAATCGTAAGCTCAGTGCCAACGCCCAGGGTCGAGTTAACCTCGATCGAACCATCGAGCGCCCCTACCGCTTGACGCACAATACTCAACCCCAGGCCGCTGCCGGAAGCCATTGGGTTTTCCTGGGTGAATGGCGTGAAGAGGTCACGCTGCAGATACTCGCGACTGATGCCCTTACCAGTGTCCTTCACAGTCAGTGTGACTTGATAGTCTTCGTCAGTTCCGTCAGCGGACGGCAAGGAGCGCTTTCTACGCCTAGTGTTAGGCTCGCATTTCAGCTGCAGGTAAATAAACCCGGACGGTGTATATTTCAGGGCGTTGCCAAAGACATTCATCAGGATACGCCGCCAGGCTCCGGCGTGGGTGTAAAATCCCCATTCCACATCCGGCTGGATGTCAAAAACAATAGTAACCTGGTTGCTCTCGCCGGTCGCACGGGAAGAGGAATCAGACAAGGCTGGAGGCGGGGCTTGAGGATGATGGTAGAAGCTGTACCCCGCGAAGACACATTCCGTAACCTCCTCGAGCACCTGATCTAGTTTCACGTGTGTATACGAGGGCGCCTTTCTGCTCCGGCTGCTCTTTACTCCGGATTCTTCTTGAGACTCGCCCGAGGGCAACTGCCGTTGCTTTGCCTGATTCCGGGGGGAATGCCTCTTGTGGTACTTATCGATAAAGGTGAGATCAAGCAAGTTGTTGATAGTATCAAGCAGAGTACGTCCACAAGACTCGATCGTATGTACCATCCCATGTTGTAGAGCATTCATCGCCGTATCACTCAAAATGTCCGCCGTGCCCAGAATACCATGCAGCGGATTGCGCAGCTCGTGAGTGATACTGCTAACCAGGTTCGTCTTGGCCTTTTCGGACATCTCCACATCCAGACGCTTGACCTCCGCCATGATACTGTTTGAGAAGGCAGAGAGGTAGGCCAGCTCGTTCTCGACGGTGAAGACGCGCTCCGGATTATTCGTCCACACCAACACTCCGGCGAAGCATCTCTGCTTGTCCGTGTCCCACATCGGCAGCATTATGATGTTCCGAGCATCTGGGAATATCCGGATTAGGTTTTCTGCATCCTGACGGAAATTAGGCTTGCGCCTCTTTTTGCTGGTTGACCGCCGCTGTTCATTTTCGCTCTGTCCATTCGTTTCTAGTAAGTCGGATCCCGGCAAGCTGTGGGAAGTGTCGTCACTGTCGTCGGAGACCAATCTATTGGCGTTATACGTGAATATCTTGCCCCGAGGATAGCGGCGGAGCAGAGAGGTGAGGAGCGCTTCCTTGACGACGACTTTATTACCAGCCATTGTGTCATCATTGATGCTCGATACGCGGGACGTGGAGAATCCCAGAGAGACACAGACCGGGGTTTTATTAACCCGTTCCCCTTCACTGCCCGAGGATCGGCGGGTTGACGAACCCGAGTCGGTGCTCTCGTCGCTGCTCTCGGGGGAGTCATTGTTATCAGCACCCGTCACTTTGCGGCTCGTCTTGTTTCCAACTAAGCTGCCGAATTCTTCGCTGTTGGCATCTAGGAACACAACACCCTCGGCACCGATTGATTCTCGGATCAGGTTAGCAGCGCGAGAGAAGACATGCTGAATGCCGGTGGACAGCACGTCCTGCGGGCTTTCTTCACCGGCAAAGACGCTCCGGATGGACTGGCCTGCAGTTTCAGTCGCTGTTAACTCGGGCTCTTGTTTAGTGTCTTTGCTCGCCTCCTGCAGGTCCTGCTGGTGAAGGTTCAGCTGTCCCTCGGTCGTTTCGCCGGACTGCTCCGAGGCCGCATATTGTGCATTAGCCTCTCGCCACGCATGACGCAGAGTGGATCGTCCTTCGACAAAACTACCCAGGCCTGTGATCATACGTTCAGCTTGTTGGTTCGTATAGCGCGAGTGCTGGTTGGCTAGATGTTCCATCACAGTAGCCGCCACGTCCTTCAACAATTGCAGTGAATACTTGTCGATGCCATCTGGCCGCGGCTCGGAATCCCACACGCTGTACGCGCCAATGGTGAAGCCGCGCGGGCTGACTATGGGCACGGCGGCATAGAAGCGTACGTCGGAGAGCAGGCTTAATAGCCGGGCGCACTGGAATCGCTCTTCCGTCGTTACGTCAGGCACGACGACGGCGCTGCCATCCACTACCGCTGGATCGTCGGCGTAGTCCGGAGAGGGGAGTGTGGACACCAACGTGCAGAGCCCCTTCTCTCTCGGGAAAATGCAGGTTCCCACTCGCAGCTGATCCCGCTCGTCGCGGATATGGCCACCCACGAGACTCAGGGTGGGTGTGGCCTCAGTTAGGACATACTGATAGGTGCGATCGAACAGCGAGATCAGGGTTCGTCTCGCCCCAAGGCGGATCGCGCCCAGCTGGGCAAGCGATGTTAAGGCAGCGTCTCGCGATGGTTGCGCGACAAAGGATCTCCGGCTTTCATGGTCAAAGGGAGCAAAATGGGAGGCGGAATGATCGTGGGGAAGGAATCTTCAGCGAACAGGCTGGTCAGTCGGGTTGCCACCACATGAAAGGCCGTTACCAGCTAAGCCAGCTAGACATACTTGTAGAATTCTCGTTCTTGAGCCAGTCGGTAATTCGACTGGCCACTATTTTCGGTGATGGCCGCCATTGTCGTAAAAAACAATGCAGCATTGCGAGAGGCCGTCCCAGAGACCAAGAAGGCCGGGGATGGCTCTAGATATCGACTACTCGGTAGACTTAGTTGGATCGGGTAAAGTAGGTAGGGCTCATTGGCCGGTACCAAAACATTTGGCGATCAGGAACTTTGCCGCCGCTGATGTCGCTGGGGAGTGGGCCATGATATCATCATGAATCATCGGCGTGCCCTTTTTTCTGGTGCGCTGCAGATTTGGGTCTGGGCCCGGTGAGAGCATGCCAGGGGCACTGCCGAACGTGATGGAGAGGGGTGGAAGGTAGGGTTTCGATGACGCCCAGCAGAAGCGCGCGATGTTCCTCGCAGAAGAGAAGAGAAAAGAAGTCGACAGCACGAGCGCGACCGTTGATTCCTCTGCGGCGACTTCTGCTGCCTCGGTCCGCCTTCTCACGTGGTATATTCCGAACACTTACAGAGTAGTAATCAGTTCCTCCTACGCGATCTCTCTCGCCATGTTATCTCGCCTAATTATTAATCCCTGACAGAAGGTTCCCTACCCGTTGACGCCATTGCGAATCGGACAGCCGCACCAATGTGACGCCGGTGGATGCAATTTCCATGGTCAACGCCTTCCAGTCCGCCCCCGCATGACGTCACCCGAGTAACCTGCTGGATCAGGCATGAACTTCTTACTTCTTCGTACAACTTCTGCTCCTTCCGTACTTCTCACATCACCGTGGCCCGGGAGTCATGCCATAAAACCCTCAGTCTAACCGTGTTAGTCACGGTCTCCCCACTATGGCATGGCATCTACCACTACTCAATCGGTCAGAGTATGTGTATCTCTTCGCCTCCACAACAATTAACTCTGGCAAGAGAGTGCAAGCCTCTCGGAGGAGCAGAGTAAACGTCGCCTCTCACGTCAGGGCCTTGCGGTGGAGTTGTCAAAGCGCCGACATGGTATACGGGCATGAGGAAAGAGATTCAAATCTACTCCGTATCCAATTGCCTGGAAAAGCTCGGACACAGAGCCCCGACACCGGGATCCAGGCACATGGGCTCTTGGCCAACAGATTATCGCCTACTTTGCCCCACGCCGGACGTTCCAATTCAGGGGGGTTCTCGAATATCGACAGTGGAGTATTGGAGCGTTGTCTCTTTGGTGCTTGTTTTTCGACTTTGTCTACCAAATCGCATGTAGAGGACTTGGTAGATTTCTATATATATATGAAGCCTTGCTGTCTGTATCAGTAGCGCAGTCTAGTTGCACCCTTTTCTGGAAGAGCTTGGACTGTCACAAAACCAGTTGTTCATGCGAGGAACAGCTTTCCTTACCGATCCCCTTGCGTTATAATTGCTCTCTCTACAAGGTTTCCTCTTGATCAATGTGCCATAGAGATTGCATTTTGATGCCTGAGGTCTCAGGCCGCAACATCGTCTCCCCTTAGACTTCAGGCAACCATCTATGTATTTCTCTACCTCTAGTTTCTAATTGAAGATTTCCTACTCTCATCTACTATTCTCTTAAAGTCAGCGACCACAGCCGTGAAAATCTTTCTGCAATTTCCCCCGTTTTCTATCAGGTTCAAGCTAATGCGAGTGGTCCTATTTAGGCCCCGTGCGCGTAATCCCTGCAGCTCACCCGTGTGACCTCAGCGATCAAGGTTGCTGCTTACTTCGTAGCTGACTTTCATCATCTGTCCTTCTTTGCTTCTCCCCGTGTCCCAAAATCACAATGACAGTCACTTTATTAGACCTTCCCAACGAGCTCTTGCTTTACATAGCCCGTTTTCTACCCAGTCAAGAAGACGTCAGTTATTTGTGTTGCGCCAATCGACTTCTCCACGCCGTTCTGGACAGCTACCTATACCACTTCAACGTGCATCATGATAATGCTTTCGCCCTGACTTTCGGCGCCCACGTAGGTTGCCGCACGGTGGTCGTGAAATGCCTGGCCGCCAAACCGCCCAACATCGACGCCCCGCCTTACCGTCTCCCAGGACGGTCCCGGGGCTGGCCTTCGCGTAATGCCCTGTGCAACGCTATCATTCGCCAGCATACCGATCTAGTGGAACTTCTGCTTGCCCACGGTGCCAGTCCCCATCATGGATGGCGAGGGAAGGTCACTCCGCTCATGATGGCTGCTAAGTACGGCAATATAGAGTCGATGAGGATGCTCATTGAGCGGGGCGCCGACGCCCATGCGAAAGATGGACTGCAGCAGACCGCGCTCTATTACGCTGCCGCGAGAGGTGGAGTCGAGTTCATTCGTTTCCTTCTCGAGCAAGGGGCCGAGGTCAACGTTGCGGGGGAGAATGGTAAAACTCCGTTTCTTCTTGCCGCCGGTGCCGGTGATCTCGCATCGATGGAAGTCCTTCTGGATCATGGGGTTGATATTGCCGCGATCGATGCAAGTGGTCGGAATGCCCTCTGTGCAGCTGCGAAATCGGGCCAGGTACCTTGCGTGCAGTCGTTACTGGACCGTGGCGCCGAATGTCAATTATCGACCGATATGGGCCGAACGGCGCTCTTCGATGCGGTTCACTACGGCCAGGCTGAGGTCGCTCAGCTTCTACTGGACCGGGGCGTCATCCTCGAACGGAAGGAAGAGTTGATGCATGCGACAGCGCGATCTGGGTACCTTGCTTGTTTGGAGATTCTTCTCCGCCACGGGGTTGATGTGGACTGTAAGACTCAGAATCAGGAAACACCTTTGTTATTGGCTGTCCGGTTTGGGCATTCCAATGTAGTGGAGCATCTGGTAGGCGTCGGCGCCGATATTAATTCCCCCGAGCTGAAAGGTCAGACGCCGATGTCTCTGGCTCATGCAAGAGTGGACAAGAGGATTGAACTTTTATTACGAGGAGAAACGATTCAATGTCGTCCACCCTAGGAAATCGTTGGGATTGGGTTATTTTTACCTTTTTCATGCTCGTATCTTCAGTGCTGATCCTGCATGAATGGGTGGACAGGCTAGGCTCCAGCGTATACACGACCCAGAAATATATTCGCCGGGGTAGGAGTAAGCATTTGCACAAGACAGTAGCGAGGCAATGTAAGGCTCGGAGATTAAGAGTAACTCACCAGATGAATAGTACGCCTTATGTTCACCATGCCACTGAGAATACTCCGTAGTGAGACTCGTGTCGAGCAGCCTCGCTTTACTTCCTCTCGGCAGCAAGGCTGATGGACGACCCCGTGATTTGCTGGCCGGGGCAAGTGGGGCGGGAGCATCCACGGATCTTCGAGTTGCAGCCTGTTCGTCTCTTTCTCTTCCTTCTTCCTCTCTTCCCGATTGTTTATTTATCACTTCACTCACCCCTCCCTCTCTGTCCATCAGACCAAGGTGTTTCCAATCATTATCCATCATGGCCAGTGAGAAATCTCAAAACCCGTTCGAAAATTTAGGTCGGCATGCCGAGTCCGACGACCCTTCCATACCTGGCCCCGCCAGCAGCTCCGATCCCAACTTCGATCCCCCGCCGTATACTCTGGCTCCTGAGCCCGAGACGCAACAAGCCCGTGATATGCCTGGTCCTATGACGTTCCCTATGATGGCCCCTATGCCGGCCCCGACCCCGACATCACCTTCCCGGCGAAACAACCTCATCGCCATCCCTGCTACCGGAGCCTCCAACGACTCCCCGTTCATCCGTGCCTATGCCCCGATCCTCACCGACTACAACCTCCCCCGAGAGTCTTTCCTCGGTTTCCTTGACCAGCTAAACAAGGTCGTCGCCACAAGCCCTCCATTACAGGTGCTGGATGCGACGGGCGGTGTCTTGAGGTCCGTCCCGATCCTGTTCCCTCTCCACTGGATCGGCTCGGCGGTCAGCGGGCTGGCAAATCTCGGAAGCCAGGGAGTCTCGAAGAGTCGCACAGACTCGGCGATTCGCCAAGCCAATAAGGATATCTTCGGCCCTCGCGGTCTCAAGGCCGAAATTGCGAAGCTGGACGCGCTGGCTCATGTCGCCAATATCCCCATCCTGGACTCTCATGGCAAAGTGAGCCGCCAGACGCCTCTGCTTCAACGGCTGTTGAATGAGTCTGGTGGATATGCCCATGAAGCTGTCCAGGATTTGGACATACAGCAACGTCGCATCAGGATACTGCAGCCGTGGATTGCTGATCTCCAACTGGAAACCTTGCCCTGGACCACCAAGTCGAAATTGACTCGCTTTAATACGGCCTTGAAGAAGAGGAATGACGGCGGGCAACCCCAGCCTTCAAGGGATGCGAGCTCTCATGCCGACGAGGAAGAGACAGGATTGCGGAAATGTCTCTGGCTTATTATCAGGCCGTTGGATGCGAACTAAGCATGCTCTTTCGCATGTGCATCATTAATAATTACGGCCGAAACGTATGCGATCGATGAAATTGGGGCTGCTCTTATCTCCGAGCGAGGTGCTCATATGAACTGGAACTTATTATGGCGATCAGTTCATAATTACTGAGTGTGCTTACACGTCGCCGATGCTTGTCAAAGTGCAGCGAACGTTCATTAATATTGGGCTTATGGTATTAACAAAAGGGGGTATATGTATCAGAGCAAAAGTGCAGCTACCAGCTTTGAAAGGAAGTTTCTTGCATGGGCGCGGGCGAAGGACCATCGAGAGGGTGACCAAACGGGGTGTTGAAGAGGCGAAGGGTGGATAGAATCAAGGTTTTGGCGAATATTGGGCGGTAATATGACAGAGCCCATCACCGCATCTCGGAGTTTTCTTTTCCAAATCATTCTCTCCCTGTCCCCAATTCGACCGGCTCCGGTGCCGGTACGTGATGGGCAAGCGTCTGCCCAGGGAAGGGCTGGTTACCCGCTAACTCCGCCATGGGATATACTTGCGTGCCAGCCAACTCGGGCTTGTCATACTGACTCGATTGCGCCGGCTTTTGCGCCTCGGTGCTGCCAAGCTCTGCGGCAGCGTTTGCCCTGCGGCGACGAAAGAACCAAATCCCTGCCCCCACCAACAAGATTATGACTGCCGCGGCTACGCCGACTCCGATTCCTGCCTTTGCGCCGGTCGAAAGCGTGCTTGAATCTGGGGAAGACGTTGCAGGCTGTGTTTGGGAGGCGGTCGAAGTCGGCGAAGAGGACGTGGTTGTCGCGGAAGTAGCCGGAGGGAGGTGGTCGGCGGATTGATAGCGAATCGTGACTGCGTATGCGTTGACTCCGTATGGATCTTTGGAGGTCGTCGTGATGAGTCCATCGTCAGGGTCATCGGTCGTGTAGGTGTACACCTCGGTGGTGTTGACGATTTTCGTGCACCCGTTATTGGCGTACCAGGGCCAGTAGGTGTCGGTTTGGCAAATGTACGAGCTGTCAAGTTTTTGTTAAATCCCCGTTGATCATTCGTTTCGTCGTCAAATTGCTGATGGCAGCAGGCACCATACCTGGGACAACACGTCGCCCTCGTCTCTGTCACGGTCCCAACACTAACCAGGTTGGAGCACGCCTCGGTGTATCCGGTCGGACACACGCCAGGGGAGTAATACGCATCCGTCTCTGAGCTCCAGTCCGACGGTAGGCATCCGCTTGTCGTGGACGGTCCAAGATGAAGGTACTGGCACGGCGACGACTCGTCGCCAACCATACATGCGAACTCGCTCGCCGAATACGGCAGCATGTAGTAGCTCATGCATGACGGGGCTGGCGTGAATGTCGTTGTAAGTGCTGGGACCGAAGGCGGAGGCCCGCTGGTCGTTGTCGCCGTAGCTAACGTCGTTGTCATGATGGGTCGTTATTCAAATCAATATTAAGGCGTCCTCCACTTCGACATCGACATCACTATCGATAGTGCATCACCCGAGGAAAACAAGGCACAAGTTCAGTGAACCAAACAGTTGGAAAGAAAAGACATCAGCGGAAAGATTAGGAGTACGGAGTAGGGACGGGGATCAACCAGGCAGACAGCATCCATCCATCCCCCACCGAACAATCCTAATCCTCCTATCCGATCGTTATTAGTCCTAAATAGAGACCCGCTTATGAGTCCAGGATGTTAGGAACCCGACTAGCTGGAACCAAGAGGCCGTTTCGGGAAAACGTGGCGATCCTTCGCGCGATCTGCGCCTGTTGTTTCCCGCTTCGGAGGTTCAGACCACGCATTCTTTGCAAGGACCTGAGGTTCGTGATTTGTTGGGTGAATTTGGCCTTTGCGGTGCAATTTCCTGGACCCACTATTGGAGCCGGTGGGTGGTGTTATTGGTCTGAGGGAGATTCGAGGAGTCAGCCTCGTCTTGTTTATCTTGGGACTTTGCGGTTTTTACTACTCCGTACCCTCTACTCCGTACTCCGTAGAGAGTGGGACTCAGGAACTGAGCAGGGTCGATACGATCATTCATTCATCATACCCATTTGATCAGATATATTGCTCGTCGTTGATTTCATCAAGAACTCGATGTGTGTCTGTGTGCCTAGGTCAGTGCTTCGTGGATGAAACTATCTCGGGAAGAGATTTCGTGATGTTTTCACCCCCTAGCAGAGGGGCAGTTGGGGGCCAAAGGGAAGGGGCGGGATTTAGCTTGTCCGTCGGCTAATCAAGGCTTGATCAATTATCACGCCCCGATGAATCTCTTGTTCTAGCATCCCATATGCAAGCTAATGTATCTTTCTGGTGCAGTGGAAATCGGTTGCAGGGCTTATAGGTAGGTGATGGGCCGGACGAGCGATTTGATTGTTGTTTTTGGAGGCGTTTCATGCTACCACGGGCACGGATGTTTGTGTTATTGTGTCTTGAAGGCTATGAGAAGGGTGTTTCTAGGAACGGTGGTTCTGTATGTATGTAATGCACATCGAGATAACGCTCTCTGTCATGTTGGAGTTGTGAGAGACTAAGGGGGCTGATAATCTCAACAGGCGTAAGCCAATTAAAATGGCACCGGATGATCACGTTGGTTAGTTCCTTGCTATTACCCAACAGAAGTCACGGAAAAATAGCCCGACAGATCTCCAATAGTGTTCGTGTGGTGTGGTATGATAGGGTTCTATCCCCAAACATCTGGCGTCGGTCTGGACCATGTCACTAACGAGTAGGTATGCTGCATAAAGTGAGTTATCTGCGAGCCGGGCCGAGAAATGTCGATGGCTTTTCAGCTGACACGGGGTTAGTGAACGTTATTGGTGACCTTGGTTAAGAGTTTCTTGATGTTTAGGGTTTGGCAATCACACTAGTTAGTGTTCTTTGCTCACTAATACTTTCTTGGATGCATATTGGCGGGGGTTGGGATTAGGGGAGATGCGGTGTCTCTCGCTGCGACTCGGGCTCTGGTCTCAATTAGACAAGAGAATTTCGTTTGATGATGAGACTTCATGGGGTGAGATTGACTTTTTCTAATATGTCGATTATGTACAATTTGCCAGTGGGGAATAGATCAGTCGTTTTGGTTCATCAATGCCAGAAACCAGCGCTTATGCTGATTTCAAGTATTCCTTCAATTCAAATTCAGAGCAATTTAGGTGGAATCTTTAGCATATCTAGCGTTCAAGCAAGCTTTCAAATAATTACAAGAGCCTCTCAAATAAACTGTCTGATCCCGTTTTCATCGTAAGATGCCATCGATATCCGCCACTATTGATGAGACTCAATCACCTCTTCAACTTCCCACTGGCTACCAACCGACCCTTTCTCTCAGTTTGAATTGCCTCTGTGAACTCCTGAATGCCCCGCACCAGCTCTGCCGGCTTTTCCAAGGACGCAAAATGACCGCCTTTGGAATGCTCTTTCCAGAATAAAATGTTCCTCGAGATACTAGCTCCTGCCCACCAGCGAGGAACGTAACATACATCTAGACTTCTAGTTAGCATTTGACATCCAGCAGATCGAGAGAAGAGAATCTAAAGTGGAAACAAACTTTTCGAAAACGCCGACGCCCCAAAGTCCATCTCCCTCTGCAACGGCCGACTTATCTGCTTCGTGAAATCCTTCAATTTCTCCCCCTTTGCATTCGTGTAGATACTCGCGTGTCCGGCATTTCCTAGGATTAAATACATCATCGCCCATGTTATTACTTCCTCGTGCTCCCATGAGAAGTCGTCGCCGACTAGATGATGCAGTTTATCGAGGATCCACGCGAGCATTCCGATTGGGGAGTCTACTAATCCGTATGATAGGGTTAAGGGCTTTGTTCCTTGGACCTCGAGATATCCGCTCTCTTCACGTTGCCACCAGAGCATGCGTCCGAAGAGGCTTGTGGCGCTTTGTAACGGTGCCCATATCATCACGGATAGTAGTGCGAGTGGGTTCGTCCAGATGCTGGGGAGGCCGGATACGACCATGTGGACGTGCACCGCTACGCAGTGCTGTGGGTATGAGGTCGCCATGAGTCGGGCGACCATGCTGCCCCAGTCGCCGCCTTGGGCCATTCTTTGGTGGGCGGGGAGTCGAAACCAGCTGGAATACGGGCCGTTGATACGCGCTGGCTGATGAAACAGAGGAGGTCGTCGGGGACGGAGATTTGGAAGGGTTTGGGGGTGGAGGTTGTCATGATGAAATGGATTTGTCGGTTAAGGCGTGTATTGGAAGTTGGTAAATGGGTGTATCTACTCCGTATACAAGGAAGTAGAGCTAAAGAGCCGCCTTTTATAAGCTCATATGACAGACTAGGCAGCTGTAGAAGCAAGGAAGACGCGCAAGGAACAGACAGGATGCAGGATTTACCGTAGTTTGAATTGGGGCCTTTTAGTTTCTGTGGTGGGTCGGGTCACCTGTAGGCGATCATCTGCTTCAATTGGACTGTTCGAATATTTCCATTCATTCCTGATGACCTGGAAACTGGAGTTTCCCGTCTAAGAGTCTGTTAATTTGGGAAATGACCCAGTATATGTCGTTGAAACAATCTCGAAATCGCTCCTTTACTGGTTGGATTTGATTTTGACCAAGACATCTCTTGGCCTGTTCGAAAAATAATTTCATAATTCGTAAAGTGCCGGGTCTAAAGTATCCCATGGAAATTCTATCTCGGACAAACCAAGATCGTTGCTGGTATCAGGAGCATCCAAAGGCGATGTTTCATCCAGCAGCATGGAGTCCGCAAAACCAACCTCCCGTCGAAGCGCCTCTATCCAGGCCGGATCATCAGCGTAGGTCTGATTCCAAGGATCATCATTTCCATACGCGATCCACCGTGCATGGTCCTGGACCATCTGATCCGAAGGATGAATGCCGACCGACATGTGCTCCCGGAGATATCCATGAATCTCCTGTCGGAGACCCATATACCGACTTAGGGCATTCGGCGCTTCATTCGCGAATATGGACTGTTCATCTTCGAGACTTCTCACCGCCGTGCTTGTTTTCCACGGATCCATTGTGCGTCGCTCCTGACCGATCAAGTACGGCGGCATCGCGTTTTCCACGAGACGCTGCACATCTGGCTCGAAGCCCCATTCACCCTTCCATTGGTTCATGTCCGCGCCTGCTTTGAAGTGATTCGCTATGTGCTCGGTTCTTTCTTCCCAGGTCTCGAAGTTCGCGTCGCAGAACCCACAGCGTGAAACCAGACGAGGCGTTGATTCCTGCCATTCGTCCATGGATGGGTGATAGCTGACGTCGTGCGTCAGGCGGAGGTGTTGTCGGAGATGATCTTTTCGTAAGAAGACTCGGTTCTCGGAAGGTTTCTGTCGACAGACGAGATAATTGTGCATTTCGAGGTGCTCCGGATCGATTTTCATCTCTCGACAGAAGGCACACTGATTAAGACCGTCTACCTCGATAATACCTCCGGCGGGCGCGCAAAGCCATCGATCAACGGGTAAGTGGAGAGCTTTTTCGTGTCGCTGCCAGTCATATTTGCTTCGAAACACGTCGGAACAAAACGTGCATTGATACGGCCGCTTCTCGTCTTTTTTGCGTTGTTTCATTGATTCCATCGGTCGAGGGGGTCTTCTGCGGCGGTAACGACGTGTTCTCATTCCCGGGAGAGGTGTGGGTGGGCGTTGAAAGGGATTCGAGGAATGGGAATGCTGATATGATACCTCGGAACCCGATGACTGACTGTGTTCAATGGAGGGTGCACCGAACACAAACGAACTTCGGGAGCTGTTGCTCGACCAGCCATCTAAGGGCACACCACCTTGCGCAGAGCTTTGATCTGAAGAACACGGCGTGTCCGCTAATGCGCGTATAATGTCCGATGTAGCAGCTGCTTCGGTCTCAGGCGGAGAGTGCTTCCATCGTTCGAGCGGCGAGAGGAAGGCGTTGTTGACCTGGTCAGTTGATGGAGTGGGGATTCTCTCGATCGTCCTGCGTCGTCGTGCATTCGTAAACCAATTCATGATTTGGGTCTTGCTGAGTCCGGTCTGCTCTTCCAATTCGTGTTTGTCTTGCCTTGTTGGGTAGGGATCGTGCTGGTGCTGGTTAAGCCATGCGTTCAAGACCTTCACGGCATGGGTGGATAATCGCTGAGATGTCTTTCTCTGGTGAGAAGATGCTCTGCTTGAAGAGGCTGATTCCGCGCGACTCCCGTGCCTTGATTCGACGTGGAATGATTGAGAAGATGCCCTGCTTGCGCTATCGCGTGCGGAAGGACCAGGGTCCGGAATGGACCCTCGAGAGATGGCCTCTGTATTGACTCCATGAGAACTCCATTGATCGAGCTGACCCGAGGACTCGGATGTGCGCGCTGACGCTGATCTTGGAAACGCGATGGCCTCAAAGTCGGTGCGTGAGTCATGAATATCGGCCCTGTAGCTGGCAGTCTGGGTGTCCTCGAGTGTTAGCCCCAAAAGAGGATCGTACGGAACAGTCTCACTTGTCGGGAGATTGGAGATATCGATACGAGGCAGGGATAAAACGTCTTCGCAGAATTTTGGGGGGCATTCATTGACGTGACCCATGCTGGAAGGGACCGGCGGACGAGAGCGAAAGAAAGAAAGAACGACTGTATGGACCCCCGCGCTTTTCGAACAGTAAGCGCGGTTTCGGATCCACAATTCTGCCAAGCACTCTGATCGTCTTAAGGTTGAGGTTCCTCATTCATGGCCCATGGACACGATCGGCCTCGGTGATGATGTCATGATGTCGAGGCTATCTGCACAACTTGCTTGTCTTTCTTTTTTAAAATGCTTTTTTTAGTAACATTGATCTGATTAAAAGCCTAGTTGATCAAAAAGCTTCTCGAAATGAAGCTCTGGATACATGCCAGCTCTATGATTGAGGCACGCCCTGTGTCACCGAGACCCACAAGCCGAGGATCAGCGATGATACCCGCGTCCGAACTCGGCTTGACTATGATACATGTAGCATGGATTCCAGTTAGACTCAATTTGGCACTCTGCTATATATGTTCCTGAAAGTCTAGAAACAAATGAACCATTAAAATATAATGAAGGGGTATTCAAACTTTAAATATACAGTCTAGCATTAATTGACACACGGGTAAAATTAGCCATCATAGGGTGGTTACCAGCACTAGCAATCCGATATAAATTGAATAAGTAGAACGTAACTTTCGGTGCTTTAGCCAGATAACTGACCACTGTATGGTATATGGATGTTAAGGGGGAGGCTAGGGGAAGGTTTAAGAAGTATTGGGATGAGAAAACAGGAAGCTTCTGTCTCCGGAATACATTCATCCAATTTCAAAAGTTAGTGGAGAAGCGTTTGAAGTGTTGACTGGATGTGCCAGATGGGACCTGAATATTGATAGTCAATGAGACAGCTATTAACTATTATTCCACCTAGGGAGTGACACAAAAAGATGATTAGTCTTTCTAACGCCCTTTCAAGCTGTAATAACATATAAGTTAGTGGCGAGCGAACGCCTTGCGTGTAAAATGCTCAATATCGTACCTGGAAGTCCGCAGCTAACTCTTGTATTAGTGGTCGCATGTTGGAATATTGTGTCGGAGGAGGTTCTGCCAAACACCGAGGCCGCGGATGCCGGATAGCTGAACGTTAGAACGCGGCAGCCGGGAATGTCTTTCGGGAGCATCTTCTTGTCTCCCTACCAGAACCTGCCAGTCTTTTTTGATGTGAATGTTTTAAATGCATCGCCGTTAAGGCCGTGGACGGCGACAATACTGATAAAAATATGAGCTTGTACTTTACTTTAGTCATTAATGGCTTGACTTTTGTTCCGCAATAAACTGCTGTCAATGCAGCTGTTTTCTCTTGTTCGGTTTCTGATGTGTTTGACTTTTCGGTTTCCTTTTTGAGTTCTTTCGTTTTAGTATATTTAGTGGCATTTTTAGAGCGTGAAGACGCAAATGAAAGTTCGATTTAGGTGTCAAATTTTTTGCCTTTTGGAAAAGGCGTCCCTATATATCGAGCAATGCCTACTCATAATCCCGTCGGCTCGGGGGCAGGTAACCATGAAAGAGGGGTGCTCCATCAGCCTCGATTGAACACAGTATGCGCCGGGGCATACGCGCTCTTTAGAAATTGGATTAAAGCCTCGTAAATCTCCTGCTCAGCCATGTTGAACAGCGCGTATCGAGCCGTGGTAGATTCGGGGTAGATTTATAGTCAATCCGGTTGGATCTCTGCGCGCCGGGGTCGACCACACGATTTTGTGCGACTTGCTCCACAATTGCACGAGCCACGTGTAGCAGTAGGTCAATAGTAACACCAGACAAAAAGAAGAATCTCTGAGGAAGAAAAATTCAAAGACCCCCTTTTGCTGGTTCTTCATATCCCCTGCCGAAGATATATGCTCTTCAAAGGTCATCGCGACCATTCGAAAGACAGGGACTAGTAGGTAGAATGTCATCAATCCAGGCCTACGCGTGATTGATTACAGTAGAGATTTAAACAGAATTAATAATTATTCCAATAAATATATCAAGTCTATGTAATGGGAAACGCAGAATTGCGCCTTCAGAACAATCTCCGAGTTTCGTGCAGGCCGTCAGCAGCGGCGCACATAGTTCGGCATAAGCTCGGTACCGAGTTTTTCCCGGTGACATCAGAGTTGCCGCCATCCCTTGTTGTCGCAATCGACACGTCTGAAGGATTTTCTACTTGTTTCATAGTGAGAGATTTTTTCTTACCATGCCCGGAGCAAAATCGACATGCGTCCACAATCTGAACCTTTGCTTCAATTGCTAACTCGAGATGCATTTCTGCATGTACATCTTTCTTGGCTTTGGGTGTGGCCGCCGCTGTCAGTTCGCCCAGGACGGTTTTTCCCTATAATTATTGTGCCAAGAACGCGCGGAGTAGCAATGACAAGCATGCGTTTTACTGAAAACTCTCGAGTGACTCATCCTCAGGTATTCATTTTCTCCTTGAGGTATATTGTTCCTGTGATAGACACGATCGAGGTGGACCTAGCCCTGAATCGACCCACTGAGTGGGGACAAGCACTGATGCCGTTCCGACAGAATGCTAATTTTGTAGGCCTTATCTGATAATCCAAGCTCTGCGGGTTTTCTAGAACCGTGATGGCCTGCATGGTAATACCCGATGGTGAAAATGTTGCACGGCAGAAACCCGGCATGGCTCGGCGTTCGGTCGGCGCAGAACAACTATATACATCGTCGAGTTCTCGCAGTTTGTAGATGTACATTGTGAATACATTCAACGAATTTGAAGGATTTAGACTTTCTATTTTATTTCTTTTCCGATTTTTTCTTGTTAACCTCTTCTTTAGATTAAAAATGCCTTCTTCGATACCGGACGAATCTCAGGGCGAGCCTGAGCCCTATTTAGATCAACATTTGTTGAGAACCGAGACAAGAGAAAGCTTGCGCAATCTGGGGATTTCAGAAAAGGCGCCTCCTATTGATATTAATTACCCTGAAGCCGGACGTCATGGAGATCCTGTATTCCCGGAGGAGTATGTCCTCGAAACAAACACAGGTCTCGTGCCCCAGCGAACCCTAGAACAGATGCGGTCCCGCGCCTCACGAACGAATTCACCAAACGAATCGAGCGAGAGTGACGTTGAGAAAGGGCCATCGGGACCTACAGAATTCGTTACCTTTACAATCGGCGATCCGGAAAACCCGTTCAACTGGTCTCGAGTATATCGGTGGTACGTTACAATGGTTGCATCGGCGCTTGTGGTGTGTATTGCCTACGGCTCGTCCATCGTCACGGGCGGACTGGGTCTCATCCAAGAAAAATACAATGTTTCGCTCGAGGTTGCCATCTTAACATGTTCTATCATGGTCTGTGGCTTTGCTGTCGGCCCTCTCCTCTGGTCTCCCTTGTCGGAGATTATCGGTAGACGACCAGTCTACATCATCTCACTGGCGCTTTATGTCATCTTCAACATTCCTTGCGCTCTGTCTCCTAACATCGGCGGTGTACTGGTTTGCCGCTTCCTCTGTGGTGTCTTCTCCAGTTCCGGTCTATCTTTAGCCGGCGGCACTATTGCCGACATTTGGAGCATCGAAGAGCGAGGCATGGCCATTGCATACTTCGCGGCGGCCCCGTACTGCGGCCCCGTCTTTGGGCCCATCGTTACCGGCTGGATCAATGTTGGCACTGGCCGTCTCGACCTCTTCTACTATGTTAACATCGCCTTCTCTGGCCTTATCCTCATTCTGGTCGGTCTGATCCCAGAGACCTACGCCCCCGTCATCCTTAAACACCGCGCCGCCTCCCTCCGCAAGTCCACCGGCAACGAAAACATCATAACCGAACAGGAACAGAACAAGCCCAGCCTCGGCGACATCGCACGTACAAACCTTATCCGTCCCATCAGCATGATCATGACCGAGCCCGTCCTCGACCTAATGTGCATGTACATCGTACTTATTTACTCGATGCTCTACGCCTTCTTCTTCGCGTATCCAGTTATCTTCGGAAAGCTTTACGGCTACAACGACGGGCAGATCGGACTGATGTTCATCCCAATCCTCATCGGCGCGGGCTTCTCTCTCCTGCTCACACCCCTCATTGAGAACCAGTTCAAAGACGTTTGTAAAATGCGCGCGCCTACACCCGAAGACCGACTTATCGCAGCACTAATCGGAGCACCTTTTATCCCCATCGCGTTCTTCCTCCTCGGCGCCACGTCCTTCAAGCATATTATCTGGGTTGGGCCCGCGTCGTCCGGAATTGCGTTCGGGTTCGGCATGGTGCTTTGCTACTATGCTGTGAATAATTACATCATCGACTCCTACCAGAAGTATGCGGCTTCGGCGCTCGCGGCGAAGGTCTTCTTGAGAAGTGGTGGTGGAGCGGCCTTTCCGCTGTTCACGACACAGATGTATGATCGGTTAGGCCTGCAGTGGGCGTCGTGGTTGTTGGCTTTTATTGGGGTGGCGATGGTGTTTATTCCGTATGTGTTTTACTGGTTTGGGGGGAGATTGAGAGCTAGATTGACGAAGGATTGAAGTGCGGTTTGAGTTGGGGAGTGTTGGGTGGAGATGGTGGATGGAGATAAAAGTTCTATACCAATGGTAGTCGGTTTTGACTCTTAGAAAGGACTTAGATACGTTAATTAGACTATATACACTTAATGAATTATTTCTTCTCGTTATAAACTCATCATGTCGTAAGAACCATATCACCGCTGAAAAGAATCTAGATCAAAATCAGCTTCTTAGCCGTACTCTATGTTCCTCCTAACCAGTCCAACATTCGACCTGACATCTGAACCCTGTTCGTCAAGGATGAGTGCCAATCTCTCCTCTCCATCATCGTGAATATTGTGGCTTTCGGACTCTGCAAAGATCCCCTTCTCCGACAGCACCCGCACCGTGGCTTGTGCACCATAAACGCCCATGCCTGTGATACCCGCCCCGGTATTCCTTAACGCCTCAGATGGCGGAGAATTCATAGCCAACGCAGCGATTTCCATCACAGAAGACCAGCTATCTGCACTCACTCCAATGATAACTGTATAGACTGTATATCCCAGCGCAAGGGCACAGTACGCCAGTAGTACAATAATAGCAAGAATTGACGGCGTGCCTCGGATTCTGAATGAGTAGCCCACGGCAAAAGTGTCCTTCTTGAACATAGTATACTCATTTGCCTTGTCTTCATCGACGCTGAATACGTCACTATTCTCAAGCCAGCGATGCGATAGTCGTCTGTCAGTGTCTTCAGGATACGGGATTCCATCAGTAGCCGCAGTGCCGGTTAAGTTGGCGTAGAAGCCTGCGCGAGAGACACCGTTCGCTAGCATGGCCGAGATAATAGAGGCTATGGTAATGGTATCGTTTGGCATGATTCCTGATGCGCGAACCAACTCGTTGAAGACTGTTGTGTTCTGCGTGACGTTATCAGCGGCGGGGATGGTTGGGTTTAAGAGATCGAGCCATGACTGCGAAAGGCCGATAGGCCGTTGGGGGAAAATAGGATATTCAAAATCCATGCCGACTCCTCTTTGTGGATTGCCGGTTATAATCTGTCGGAACCACTTGTATCCAGCCGATGTGGTTGACTGATTGGCTTTGTTGAGGCTGCTTGATATGCGATTTGGGTCTTGTGCATCGGCGGTCACGTTCAAAGTACTGCCAGCCCATCCGGCACTGGCGGTGCACACAGACAAGTTCAAAGGGTAAGAAGAGTTATCGGGGATATTGGGAGGGATGACGAAGGCCAAAAGCGAGTCATTAGAAGCGGTTACCTGGTTCCTAGGGCCAGGTGTATTTAGCCCGAGCCACCAGATTCGGTAATCATTCTGTCCACCCTTCGCCGAGAGAATTGAGGACCAGGTAACGTTTGGAATCTCGTACCAACTTTTGTGCGGATCATAGTATCTTGGATAGTCGGCTGTTCGGGCTCGCTGGGTCCAGTCATCTGAGGGAGCAAGTTCTTGTGGAATAGTGGCCGGACTGTCGATATTTGTGGTGTTTAACCAAAGGGTGTTGCATGCGCTAGTTATGTACGCTTGATTGTAGTGGCCTTCAAGAAGGTGATACACCAGTTGGTTGCTATTGATCGGTATATCGTTCCACTGAGACATGGCGGACAACATCCAGCCGTCCATTGAAGGCTCAGTTTTTCTCACATTGATAGTCTGTCCGAGTGCGAGAATCCACATCTCCGCCATAGACATCAGAGCGTCTGCGACGGCTGCCTGAGGGACAGAGGCAAATGTTGCCGCTGTTGTTGCAAATTCCTGATTCTGCACATTCATATATTTTGGGTTCATGATGGACAAAGACCGAAGGGAATTCTTCCCCGTTACTTGGGCACTGGCTGAGGTTCCGGGGCGACCTGTTAAGTAGTTCTCAAAGTAGCTTTGGTAGGTTTTCTGAACGTTTGTATGGTTTTGGAGGACGAAATAACTTCGTAGTTGGCCGTACTCGCTCCCGGGGCAGTCGTTGCTAAGAAGTGGATCCTACACGCCAGCAGATGTGAGTATGCCTGGTCACGATTCGAATATTTTGGTCCTTTTCCTACCTGTATGTGCTGGCAAGAGTCACGGTCCATCAAACCGGACGCGTCCAAATTGTCGGGCCATATGTCTTTTGCAGGGGCGTTAACCCAGAAGCGAGTGCTCCCTGCCGGCCATGAATCAACCCGAGGGATCATAAGAATAGCACTCGAAGGACCAGCACCAGTGGCCAGTATTATGGCAGCGAGTACCATGGCCACAGTAGCAAGGCTACTTTTCATGCGGCCCAAGGGCTTCAACGATCCCGCAAATGCCGAAGACCACAGATACGTGACATCGGTGACTTTGGCAGCGGAAAATATCAATCCAAATGGAACCCCCCTGATACTCGTCAGCTGGCGGCCGATCTCATTTCCAATAATGTACGTGAGAGATGCCTGAATCAGGATCTCATGTGCCTTGGCAGCGAACTGCAAGTAGCTGACATTGGTGACGGTAGCACCGAGATACCGGCCTTGGATGGTCAGGATAACCAAGGCCAGAGACGCTGCAATGGGGACAAGATGGATGAGTGAGCGTAACAGAGCTGCCATGCGACTTCCGCGCACAGCAACTTTGGGCGTTTCTCGCGTGGTACCAAGCCACCGTCGAAATGGGAGGATGAGCAATTGCAGCCCTAGGACACGAAGCGTTGAGGCGACCTCGTAAAGCCACTTATTCCTCCATCCTCCAGTAGGACTCTTCGTGGATTTCAGTCTTTCAATGAATTAGCACCTGCCATTCAAAGGATAAGATGCTACTCACAGGATTTCGTCATCTTCGGTATCTTCCTCGCGGACGCCTCGACTTTGGAGAGGGACGTCGTCCGATTGTGTTCGCGTGTAGAAAGGGAGGTTCAATCTTCGATTCACCATGGCTCCAGATTTGTATAAACGGCATACAGTAGGTTTTATGGAGTGTTGTACACGCAGAATTTGTGTATTCATCAGCCGCAACTGCAGCCATACGGGGATCTGGGATTTAATAAAATTCTCAACGGTGCAGGAGCGCCAAGATTCTCTAGTCTGAAATCGGATATCGTCAAACAACCGTGCATTACATTTGGGGGCCAAAATCCAGAAACGGCGAGGCTGTCATGCAAGTGGAGTCTGTGTGCCATGGCCTAAACCAATTGATATTGCGGACTTTGTTCGTTGGGCTAGGCACCCAACTCTACCATTAATGTAATCAACCACCGAACCGCGGATTCATCGCCGTGGTCGCCACTATTTGAAGCTATTCAACCACCAACTCCATTAAGTTCGACTAAAGAAATATATGAAAAGGTCGTCATTTACTAGGGCAGTTCCGAACTGTATGTCCAACTATCCCACAGCCACTGCAGCGTTGCGGAGCTCGTCGACGAGGTACAGGAGTAGATTGCTCGGGTTGCTCATTAAGCTGCGTATCAAGCTGCTGAACGCGATTTTGGCCTTCCTGTACAGATAGAAGGATATCATTCCCTAGTAGGGCACGCCTTCTTGTTTTCTTTTTGTATTTTCGCTCGTTTTCGGCTCGTAAACTCTTGATTTCTTGCTGTAAACGAAGGTTGGTTTGCATAGCCATTTGTACAGCCTTTTCAAGATGTTGGATATGAGCAACTGGACTGCTAGAAAGTTTTCGTTTAGCACTAAGACTATTCTTCAGGCTGCGTATCTTTCGATCTAGCTGGCGAGTATCCTGTGGAGTCTGGAAAGCAGAGGAAATTGACCCTTCAACTAGTGGTGGTATTAGTGTACGTGGTTGAAAGGTAAGTGTCGGTTGACTTGGTCATTGCCCTAAGCAGATATCCTATCGATTCAACTGAATGTAGGTATATGCTCGGTGGGTAAAAGTGAAGTGTTATTCTAGACTACTCGTTTCGTTGAAGATATATCAGCTGCCTATGCCAAGGGATCACATGACTTAGGCATATCAGCTGAACAATGGTTCCAACACTGGGCCTACTTTAAAAGTGGTGAGAACGTGAAGGTTAAGATATCAAAAACAAAGCGTGCAGTTCCAGAATCCAAAATTCATCCCATTTCCCGGTACTCAGGTGTTGCTCAATTCGAGCGTTCAACCCAACCAATAGCCTGCAAGTCGATGCGGTTCGTATCTATGAGTTGTCTTAAGGCGTTGCAAGGCTTGCTTTTTGTCATTGCATCGGCAGGGTTAGAATCTCTATCAATCCACTTGATATCCGTAATTTGGCGGCATTCATAGGCTTGTCGGAAACACATAACATCAATTATCAGGCGTTTCTCTTGCGTAGATCCGAGCCGTACAAGGCAATCGTATAATGACTTCGAGTCAGTGCAGAGTACGATTGGAATGTTAGCTTGCAACATTTGGTCTAAAGTTGACTTTATTGCGAATGCAATATCTGAACCGTAAACCATAACGTAAAGTTCTGATGCTAAAACACTGCGGGTGACACGTTTGCATTTGATAGAACTCCAATAAACAATGTTGGCATTCGGGGCGGTAGTGTTACTGGCATTTCTTTTGTCGGCTAGTACGATAATATAGCCAATTTGAGAAGAGAGATCCTTATTGTTGGCGAATGATGCGTCTATAAAAACTAGCAGTTAAAGAGATTCTAGGTCCAGTTTAACATATTTAAGGCCTCTGGCGGCGTTCTCTAGCTGCCAGTTAAGTCGCTTGTTGAGGAATTCAGCATCTTCCTTGCTTGGGTTGATCACTTGGGCAGCGAATGATAAGTCGAATGAAGCCTCTGGCTGGCAGACAGAGGCAATATAGGTACCTCTTGCGCGTTCTGCAATATATCGATCCTTTAGGGTGCCTGGTGCCTGAGCGGTTGTCTTGCCAATGGGTAATAGTTTAATACATTGGGTTTCCTGGGTAAGAGTAATCCCATCAGGTTCTAGCTTGACCATGCTGCCATTGAACTTCAAAGGTTTTTCAATGGTTAACTTCTCGCGGTTTTTAGCCAGAAATTGAGCTTTCTGTAACTCAATCTCTTCAGATTCAGCGAACGTGGCATCTGCGAGAATGAGGGTATCGTCAGTCTGAAGTCCAACGATGCCGAAACCAGTGGATTCTCCTGAATTAGGGCTATCCATAGTGTAGAGTAGGCATGGGTCGAATGTTGATTGGCTCATCCGGAGGTATTTCAAGTGATAAGAATGGTAGGTTCTGAACTAATGGTTCTCTGCTTCAGGGATTCCATAGAGAGGTTTGATAACCTTCATAACAGTGTTACTGGTAAGTCCAAGTTAATCAATAAGTTCCTTCGGTAAGCGCGCATAGAGTTCTCGGTTGAGTTTAGTTGTTGATTGCACGTACGCTTGCGAAATGTCGCGAAGATATAGCTGAGAATCTGTTATACTTGAAGCAATGCAAAGAATAAGGCGCTGGCTGACTCGCTGGATCGTCGGAGATTGCGTAAGAATTAGATCTTTTCCCTGGTCATTATAGGCTTGTATAACCAGTCGCGATTTCTCGAATGCTCTCTCTGTTCCTTTATTCTTGATCTCGTTAACAAAGCGTGAGTTGAAGAGTCTGGTCCCTGGTAGAATGTCTTCAGATTTGAGGAACTCAAATATCCCTTTTTTAAGCAGGCCATTGACCTCCTTTTGCCTTGAAACATAATATAGTTGGATACCGGGATCGCTCCCAGTTTGCAAGAAGACATTTGTGGGCAAAGGATGCTTGCGTGGGCGGCCTAGGCCTCGTTTTTGTGATTGCACAGGTTGTAGGGGTATAGGGGCGGGTTTGCGGTCTGTATTAGGCAATCGAGTTCGTCCGGAGCGCCTAAGGATAGGTCCTAGGTGTACTTCTAGAGGTTCTGCGGGATCTGAGCGTGATTCTTTATCAATACCGTGTTCTGTTCGATCAATTTGGTCTGATTCTGGAGCTTCTGAATAATATGGCTTGACCACTGTCGATCGGAATTCTGTTGGGCCACTAGGTAACTTAACTGTACAGATTTCCCCTTCAATTGTTAAAAGGGTAAATGGGCCAGTCTAGCTGCCTGTTTTTCCTCCGTTCCCTTCTCGCCAGACAAGGACGGGCGAGCTTGGTAGTAAATCATGTACAGCCGTAGTGCATAGACCGTTTCTTATATTCAATGCATCAGCCAGTTGGCGCTCTGCTCTGAGCTTCTTGATCTCTGTTATAGCTTTTCTGATAGCTGCAGCCCGCTGGGAAGTTGATGGCGAAGGTACATCTGAATCAACTATGCGAGGATATGCGCCGAATACCAGTAGGGTAGGAACCAAGCCTCCAGGTCCCGCGGAATCGTTAATAGCTTTAAAAGCCATTTGAAGGGCGATCTTTTTGTCAATATCAGAGATCTCAGCAATGATAATCTGGTAGGCTCGGCGCAGTAGGCTATAGTATCTCTCAATCATGCCTATCGAGTTGTGTGTTTCAATGGGAATGCTTCTTGTGCTAATATTTATTGTTCTTGCATAGGTCTTGAATTCCTTGCTCACAAAGTTCTTCCCGGCATCATGTGTGATCAAGTCTGGAGGGCCTAGGTAGGTATCAATCCAGCACATTCGCAGCATATCCCAGGTGTGTTTAGCACTGATATCTTTTAACTATCGGCCGGATTGGAAGCGAGTTACTTCGTCAATAACGTGAAGGAGAGGCATATTGTCAATATACATAATATCGACAATAATATTAAAGTTGAAATGTGTCTCATCCTTGAGATTGAATCGGAATCGACCGGGAGATTTGCCAAACTTCTAACAATAGTGACAGAACTTAGTGAGATATTCTAACGCTGCTGTATTTAGCTTATGGCCAGCACTTCTTAGAAGTGTCTGAAGTCTATTAACAGATGGATGTCCGAAACGGCGATATAATTTCCGTAACTCAATATCTGTCAGAAAGCAAGGATTCATATTAAATGAAGAAGTGAGGTATAAGGATAGAGCAGAATTTCATAACAGAAATAGATGGCTAAATCGACGAATAATAGGGATCTCAACAAATGATTTGGTAGCAGATCTGGAGGCAGGCTTCAGGGCCACAATAACATTCTTGAGATTGTTGTAGTATACTCCGAGACTGTCCATATCCGCTAGGCATAGCAGAAATGGGGTATCAGCGTTTACAACATAGAATTAGATGTTACCAATTGGAGTTGAAACTCTTGCAGAACCAATTGAAGAAGTTGTTCCAATGCCGAATTGAACATTTACCTGACCAGCTGTCGAGGTATCTAATGTAATGTTTTCTGTATTCTAAAGTGCCTGGAATTGGCTATATCCAGCTGTAGACTTTTTAGAGGCACCGGTATCGATCATTATTCCCATAAAGATTTCAGAGTTGTATCGGGTCGCGCTCGCGGAAGTGGTATTAGCGTTATAGCTGAATGGGTCGGTATTAACTATCAAGTTCAAGGGTTTTCGGTCATTGATACAATGGGTAAAAGATCGATTTGCAAGTTCAGAGGTTGTAATCATTGCTTGTTGAGCAGTAATTGAGCCGAATGAGGTAAAGAATATATCAGTAAGATCATATTCTTCTTTATTAAGGTCTGTTGCTTCAGCTTCAGGTACAATAGTTTGAGCATCAAATATAAATGCTTCAAAAGCTTCTGCTTCTTCTTTTTTGTCATTCTTTTCGCAATATATTATGTACTGCCTGTATCGTTTGTTAAAGTTACCATTCTTTCTTCTGTCATTGTTAAAACGCTACTGATATTTCTTCTTAGATTGCCTCTGTTCTTCTTCAGTGTGTCTCCAAGAGCGGCAGGTTAGTTTCTGGCAGACGTAACATTTGCCCGATAGACCTCTTTTGCTTTGATTGTAGTTCCTGTTTTGATTGTGATACCTTTTATCAGTATAGAAGGTCTCTTCTCGGGGACTTGTGTGAGAGGTTCCATGTTGTAGATTCTCCTTTTCCCACGTGGTGATTGAGGATTGCAGTTTATTGATCAATACTGCGAGATCTTCAGGCGGGTCGGCAATAGCCATGCGGCATGCTGGTACTCCCTGGCAAGCTGTAATAAGCTTGTTAATCAGATTCATGTTGGTTCGGAGCTTAGGGTAGAGGCCGTGACGTTGTTTTAGGAGATTGCTGAGTAAGAGTTGAAAACCTTAATAGATTGATTTCTTATGGTTATCATTCATGATCTTCTGGAGCGATATAGTATTCCACTTGGTTAAGTTCTGCCGGTAGAACTCGGGTCCTTCAAAGAATTGGCGTAAGTGGTGACATGCTTCTTGAAACGTCTTTAATGATAGGCCACTGCTGTAATAGTGGTCTTCGGCAACACCCTTAAGCATTGTTAGTAATGCAGCCTTGTATCCATGTAGTAGTAGACCAGCTCTAGAGCAAATGTCATAAAAGATGTTCAGTTTAAAGTCAAGGCTGCTGTTGTCTGTACCGCTATATTTCTGGTCTTCTGTGTAGATCTTTGTGACTGAGGCGATTTCCTTAGAAAGGTCATTTTTGGGCCTTATAGAGAGTGCATAACTGCTTTCTTGAGCAAGGCGGTTGGTCTCAAGGGTAAGATAATCAGTTTCAGGAACGTGGTTAGTTCCTGGGGTAGAAGGATTGGCTTTGGGAGTAGCGAAACGGTCTTCTGGAAAGACTGAAGGATCTGGATAGTCTCGTCTCACTTGCGGATTAGCTTTAAGAGAAGCTGAATGGTTTGAATAACCTTCTATAGCTTGTGTATTCTCTCTTAAGCTATCGCGTGTTGGATTCAAGCGTTTTCGGAGCATAGCAGTAATCATTGGTAAATCAAGTTCTTCTAGAGCAGCTTTAAGCTCTTTATCAGTCCATTCATAGAATTCATCTTGCTGAACAACTTCGGAAAGTATGTCATAGAGAGGATTCCTCGTGTTATGACGGCGAACGAATATTTCTCGCTGAAACAGGTTGTTTCTGAGATTCACTCTTGCATAAGGGCTGAGTTGCTTGAAATGTTCAGGTTTCCAGCCTTCGAATTGTTCTCGGAATGTCATCCATAGGTTGTGATCAAGGATAGTGTTTGTAAATTGCATATTTATCGCATAGATATTGAGGTCCTGTTTTGTGGCTGTACCCAAATCGATTTCCCAATCCTCATCTCCACTTGATGAGGACTGTGGTAGTTGAGACATGGTAGTGCGAGTGTAGAAGAGTGTAACAAGGTATAAAAGATAGATAGAAAGGGGCAAGGGGCAAGGGATAATATAGAATAATTACTGGGATAAAGATAGAAATGATTCTCTGGGATAGTAATTGGTAGAAAAGGAAAAAGGTGCTAAGATTGGTAGCTGATTGTTTTTCTGATATATTACATCTGCAGGGGTCCTTCGGTTAACTTCTAAAAATAGATAATTGGGCACACAAAAAGAGGGGTAGAAGGGGAAAAATAAAAAGTAAGAAAATAAGGGAAAAATAGGGAAAATAGGGAAAATGGAGGAAATAGAGAAAGTAAGGAAAAATAGAAAAATAGGGGATAGTAGTCAAGAATTGGGGTTTTTGATGTTTTTGGACGTATTTATAGACCTTCGGGCTCTATAAATGGTGATTAGCAAGAGAGTACGCTTCTAGGCGATAGTTATCCAACAGTTTTGGGGCTATTAAATGTCCGTTCAAGCTTCGAATTGTCACAATCTCCTCCTTCAACTGATATAGGGCAATAGCTAGGCGATCATGGAAAACAGCTTCTTAGGGCTGTTGACTCAGTTTCAAGCTTCGCAGTTGCGTATATCCTGATCTGTACGTCTACTGATCAGTGTCGGTTGACTTGGTCATTGCCCTAAGCAGATATCCTATCGATTCAACTGAATGTAGGTATATGCTCGGTGGGTAAAAGTGAAGTGTTATTCTAGACTACTCGCTTCGTTGAAGATATATCAGCTGCCTATGCCAAGGGATCACATGACTTAGGCATATCAGCTGAACAATGGTTCCAACAGTAAGCTTAGAAAGAACACGCTCTTGATCGAATGGCTTAAGCCCTGCCCCTGCGAAACCACTGTAGATATTCGCAGGAGTAAAGACTTGAGCACGTGCATCTGTATATAAAGATAAAAAGTCCTCATCAATGTGATTGTTGCCAGCGACCATTCGATTTTCAAGAAGCTTTCCGTACGCGCGCTTAAGCGGGCCAAAAACACCAACATCAAGTGGTTGCAGTAAATGAGAAGCATGTTCAGGCATACAGAGACAAATAATTGCATTCTGCTTGCAGAAATAATAAAATTCAGCAGTCAGATGACTACTATGACCTTCAAGAATAAGTAGTCGTTTAGCACCAGTTATATAGCGCCTGGAGCATGGTTCGAAGACATTTTTAAGCCAGAGAAGGCCTATCCTATCAGTTGTCCAGCCATTCTGACTAGTTGCAATCCACCAGTCTCCGGCGAGCTTGGGCTCTTGGAACCAGGTAGCTTGTTGATAGCTTGCTTTTAGTATAATGACTGGTGGTATATTTATGCCTTTTGAGCCAATTGCTTCAATGATTGTAACCCATTCACGATTACCCTGAATAACTCTGCGTGGTCGCTCACTGTGTTTAGTTGTAGTAATTACTTTAGAAGTAGAGCAGAGTCCCATTGCAAAGCCAGTCTCCTCGAAATTCTAGATATCATTCTCATGTATGCCGTGTTCTTGAATAGCTGCTTCTACGGTCTAGAACCAGGGTATTAAACCCTTTGAATCTTCCTGTTTTGCGCGCTGATACGTCATTCGTCTGGTATATCGCGTATGTAGCTGAGGATAGCGTTTCACAAATTTGTAAGGCCAGTTAACTCTAAGACTTGTAGTAGAATCTTGTAAACGATTACAAAGCAGTACTTGAGCCATTCCACGTAAAAACTCAGGCCGAATTAGAAATCCTCGCGTATCTGCATCTAATAATCGCTTAAGATGCAATTCTTCTTCGAATTCGGTAAGTTTATGACCATTGGCGAGCTTTTCTGATCGCGATTTTGAACCGTTAAGCCGATCGCGTAGAGTATTTTCAGGGATCGCAAATACTTGCGCAGCGCGTAATATTGATTGAATTTGACCTTTCTGATAGGCTGAAATAGCCATCTGAATACGCGGCTCTTTTGAAAGAGACATATTGCATTATGGTAATGAAGATCTGACGCGTTGAATAGAGAGAGTGGAAACTCGGTTGAAAATCCGCGGTTCGGTAGTATCCGCGGTTCGGTGGTTGATTTTATCTAAAATCTCAGGTAATCAAGATAGCCTCATAATGCCTAGTAATATCAGCTCGTGTCAATCCGTCTTCACCGGCAGAAACCCCAATACGCATCTATAATTTTGGGTCCCTGCGCCCCTACGCGCCACACAGCCGGGACACTGGGGCTCCTTCGAGTTTAAATCTAGGGGGTGCCTGTGCTGTCATTTCAACTGAAGGCAATGCTATAACGCCTACTTCCTCACATGATTAATTTTGCTTTTTCTTGATATCATTTCTTTTTCTAGTGTTCTTTCCGGTTTCCCGCTACCAGGGTGTATTTATAAAAGCAAAATGAGCAGCATTTTCGTTAGATGCCAAGTTCCTATGTATAACACGACTTCACTCAAGAGTTCTTTCGGTGATATGAATCGGTTCCGGCACTATTCCGCTGGATTCTAGATGTATTATAATTCCCAAGCTACGTTGAATTTTAAATCCGAGGTCAGATCGCAGAATGGGCGTTCCACGGCTCAGGGAAATATTCATTATACCAATGTTCACGAGCGATATCGACGTATCGAGTAGGCAAAATTTGAATAGAGAGTAAATGAAGAGACCAATTGTTGACGCATGTGCAAAGCCCCCCCAAATTCCATACCCACCCAGCTTCATACCTCTTTAATCTGAGCGTGCAACTGACAGGAGACCAAGCGATGATGACTTCTTGCGCACAAGGCCTTCCAGAACGTGTTTGACCATGAAGAGCGGATTACCAAGGCTGAAAGACCTCACTTGTATCAAATCATCTTGCACCAAATCTGGCATTTCGATAGCCTTCAGTGCGATAGCACTGTCAAGTCCTCTGTTGCCAATTTCAAACCCTGATCTGCCATATCGGTAGACAGCACCAGCTGGCCAGCCTCCGTCACTACATTGCAGTGACCTGAGTCTGTCCATATCTCTGGAATTCAGTATGTTCAGAATCTTACAAGCCAACGCCCTCATTGCCAAATCGCTCGGGTCACCAGCCTCGCCGATCCGCTCGATTATCCTGATCTTCAGAAGTGGCAACAGCTGACTTTGCAGACAAGGAATTTGTAGGTTTTTCGTAAGCCTTGACAAGAAAAATAAGAAAGCCTCGGCCGAATAGTACCTCGTTCCGTCCAGATAGGCTCGGGTTTCTAAGGCGCATAGTACCCAATCCCATGTGGGTTTGAGCTCATCTTGTCGACCATGTATAAGAAAAAGGTTCAGGACGTCAACGCATGATAACGAGTCATTCAGCGATCTAACCGTCAAACTAATCGATGGTTTGTGGGACTGGCATCCATTAAGCGGCCCGTCAGCTTATAGGGGGATTCGGAACTATTCTATCACGTCGCTTACGGAGCTGTTTGATTTTCTCCCTAGTCGTTCATGCCCTTGATTTCCAGTCTAGAAGGCAAGTAAACGCGGTAGCACTTCCCTAAAAGACAACTGAATAGGCTTTTTCAAAGGGCTAGCAGTAAACTATCAAGTGTCATAAAAGGTGGCGAAACGGCACTCGCGCAATCAAAAATTGTCATGTTCAACTTTAATTGTCATTGGATTGCCATGTTTGAGGACAAGCTTCGCACAATGCTCGGCAGCCTCCAACCCAAAACCCTTTGTATAGCTTTCCACAGCGTCTAATCCAGCAATCTTTTTATTCTTTTTCCGAATGAGGTGTCTGGTCCGCATGTAAGATTTCATTTTCGACGTAATGCTTCGTGTTAATCCTGCTTATTTTGGCTACTTACCCCACCCCTCAGTAAGCTCAAATAGGGCCAGGTTTCGGTCAACCAATTGGTGGACCTCCTTAAGGTCGACAAAATCAGTGAAGTTTAACGCCTCCTCAGGTCCTGGTGTGATTAACGGAGACAAATAAGTCCTTTAATAGACACCCAATAAACTTGCGAAGCCTCTCATGTATTGCCTAATTGAGCTTATGCCCCACTAAAACGTTAGAACTGATAATTCAAGCGCTTCGAGGAGGCAGGTATATTTGATCTAATTCGAGTGTATTAAAAAGAGGTTCTCAACCCTCACTAATATGCCTTCTTTGGGATCTACGACCATAGAAATACCAGCTTTCTTCTGCTTATATTATATCTGACTCTTCGACTTTTTCAACCTCTCATGACCCACGGCAAACACAGCATGTTAGAAAGAGAGTTTCCTGCAAAAGACTTCGTCGGCACTATTGTCCGACTCATGGACACTATCCAACATAATGACGACAACTACACACATACAGAACGTATATGGCATCTTCACTATGCCTATACACAGGCTGCAGCTCATTTTGCTCAGCCATCCGTACGGTATACCCTGAATGTGAAGCCAAGTGAAGTCCAGGCCGCACTGGAGACAATTACTGGCATGGTAGTTTATTGCTGGGTCAAAGCATCGCCTGACCTCATGGCTGCATTGACCATCCACTTCACCTATACCCTCATCCTGGACGATAGTAAAGATAACCCTTTCCTTAACATGGGTTCTTTCTTTAATGATATGGTCGAGGGGAAGCCACAGCAGCATCCGTGGTGGAGGTTGGTGAACAGACAATTCCCCAATGTTTTAGATCGCTATGGGCCGTTTTGCTCCTTGAACATTTACCGGAGCACAGTTGATTGTTCGTATTCCGTTCTTGACGCATTGAGGAGTATCTCTGAACTGACTTTTCTTTTGGCAGTCTTCGAAGGTTGTTGGATTGAACAGTATCACTTCCATGGCTACCGCGGAGCAGAAGACTTTCCCGAGTTCTCACGAAGAATGAACGGCCTCGGGCATGCCGTCGGGGCCTCTATCTGGCCAGCTGAGATGCTCGATGAGCGAATACATTTCCGTGAAATTACAACCGCCATTTGCATGATGGAAAACTGGATGGTTTGGGTCAACGATTTAATCTCTTTCTATAAGGAATTTTACGACGAGCGGGACCAAACCAGCCTCATCAACAATTACTCCCACGTGAATGGAATCAGCACCACCGAGGCACTCGAGAAGCTTATTCAGAACACGCTCCGGGAGAGCGAGCAGATTATGTCTGTTTTCAAGGATAAAGATCCTTTGATCTTAGATACTTTGACTCGGTTCATACATGGCTATGTTACCTGGCATTTATGTGATCGCCGCTATCGCGTAAATGAGATTTATGAACAGGTTGATAGGGGCGATGAGATCGGGCTGAAATTTTGTCGGTATTTCGAAAGAGCTAACGAAGTCGGCCGGGTAGACTCACGCGAGTGGGCTTTTCCATCTGTTACCCAATTGTCGAGCTCCAGAGGCATACCAGAGACAATACAAAAGGATTGTGGTGAACAGCATTGCATTATCAATCCTCCTCTGATAGAGCTCTGAGATAATTTGTCTTTGGGACTGCATCTACCGAGTGCTTCATTGTCGGCCTGGTCTGTTCATTCCCGAATATGGGAAGAGCATATGTCTGTCTGGTTCTACGCAACGATGCTTTTGTTCGGCAAATTTCATTTTTTTTTCAGGAAAACTTGCTTCTTTGTATTTAGAATTATAAACTGAACTATTTTCTATTCATATGCTTCTGTAAGAAGCAGTAGTCATTGTCGCATTTCTAGCAATTTACTGCGGAGCAGCGCCCTTGATGCTGATATATGCCTGCTTCACCTCTTCACGGCCAGTCATTCCCTTCAGCCATTTTTCAATTTTCGGATATTTGTTCAAAGATAAACCAGCAAAAGTGTACTGTCTCACCCACGGCTCGAAATGGTAATCAACGGCGGTCACCTTGCCTGGCAAGATGTTCTCCCCGGATGTCTTCTCGAGATGCTTCTCGAGAACATCGAAGCACCTATAACTCTGGGCAACATATCTTTCCAGGGCATCCTCATTCTTGGTCGCATTGTAGTGACTATTTCTGTCAGTATAGCCCGTTCGATTCTTTTTATTGGGCAGATACATACCGGAACCAGTTCGTCTGACCCAACATCGGTCCGAGAGTCGTCAGCAGGAAATACTCCCACTTTTCGAAATCAACAATGTCCTGCTCCGCATTGCTAACTGGGCCCAGCTTTCCGGCCTTGTCATATACGCGTCGAACGTAGTTCATGCAAGCGCCGGATTCCCAGGAGACGACGCCGGTGTTGGGATCCTCTAGGGCGGGAACACGGCCGTTTTCGTTGATCTGCAAGAATTTTGCGCCCTTTACTCCGTTTTCTGCGTCATCGCCAAATTGCCATTGTTTGACTTCGTATGGCACTTGGAGGTACTGCAGGGCTATGGCGACCTTGATGGGGTTGGGGCCCGTAGAATGGGCGTGCAAGACAAGGGGTTTGATTGAGGACATTCTCGTCTATGTCTGTAGAGTTATTCTCAATAACAACAGTAAAAAATAAAATTATAACAATTAAGGTGGAGCTATTGTTTTCGGAGGATATGTTCTGTAGAAATAGCTGAGATACCACCGCGCGTGGGGAGCATTAATAATGTACTGTGGGGTTCCATGACGTGTTGTTAGAGCAGTTGGGGCATTTCTCCAATTCCTCAAGTTCCCCATGCACTTCAAGCTTGGGGGGTTTGCAATGTCTACCGTTTTCAGGCACATGTTCACATTTTCCAACATGAAATTTAAGTATACATTTTCTGCGAACTCATAATCCTGGTATTGATGCCTTTCCCGATCAACATCATTGAAATGCAGATGCTATGTTAACCTTACCTATACTACACAGGACTAGACGTTTACAGATCTGTTAAGTCATCATTCACATTTCCTATCACCTTTAGTATTAAGACTTTCATTCGTTGTTTAGGTGTTTAGATTATATTGGGTCCGTGGCCTTTACCTCTAACCACTGCAAATATTTCCACCAGCCTCTGGGCAGATAGTATACTGCATGCAAGCTACAACAACCCAACGATCCTAAACCATGTTACTCGCCATTTTATTCATAGTGTCAACTCGACCATTATGCCTACCGCTACCAACTTATGCTCACCCGTGCATATTATTCAATGACAGCAGACCCTGGAACAGTGGGTATGGCACGACCAGTGGGGCCCAGTTCGCCATGACGTCATCGCTCGTGAAAGCCATATGAGCAGCCTGGATGCGACATTCCACTCTTCTTCCTCAATTCAACTCATTTTACATTCTCGAACACTCTACCTCAGCCTTATAACAATGTCGGAATCTTTTGCTGCCATTCGAAACCGTCAATCCGACGAGCTTACGCGCCTAGCTAACGAGCACATCCAACAAGATCTCCGACCCGATGATCGCGAGGCGCTGAAGTCGGCTGCCTCGAGAGTGTCCTTCTGGACTGCCTTCGGATCTGCAGTGGGTGTTGGACTTGGATTGTATACTGCATTCCGGTTGAGAAGCACGCGACATGCTTTCTTCCAGGCATTCCGCGCGCAGGAGAGGCCTACGCAGGTTGTCTTTGCGGATGGGCGGACAGGTAGGCATCTTCGTCATCTGTCTTTTAAAGAATGAGCGATGCCAATATAATTCCTAGAGTCACTGCCTGATATTACTCCCTTGTTGAAACCTACTACGTTTGGTGATTTCGCGACGTACTTCTTTGCTTCTGCGGGTGGTTTGTTCTTGGGTGGAGAGCTTGGTAAGTGAATGATGGTATATATTTGTTTCCATAACTGCATGTCTAATAAATGTTTCCTGGTTATAGGTCTTGCTGGAGGTGCCGCCGGCGCGCATAGCTCCATCACATCCGAGCCCGAGAGGAAGGAGAGAATCGAGAAGGCTTTCCGGAAGTTCCGAGCGGATGTGCTGCGGAAGGAGGCCGATTCTTTAGACTCCGGGGAAAGCGTTTGGGATAAGCTGTTCTAACTTGGAGTTGTGAAATGGTTTGTCAAATGTTGAATATTCTTCTAATACCCTCATAAAACAATATCATGAGGACCCACTCTGTCTGTTATTTGACCAAATTGATATTTATACTATGACTACAGCCATCACGCTGTATGTGTTGTCCTTGGAGGCTTTGGTAATTTCTGTCATGCGGTCCTTGTCCGTATCAAACTGTACGAAGGGAGGCTGAAGGAAGGAAGTGTGACGAACTGACCAAGAACCACTATATAGAGCGATGCGCGTACCAAGTCGTTGACTTGGTATTCTGGTCTTTTTAGTAGCTCAGTCGGTAACCGTCCTACAGACCTACTGAACGGTCTTGGCGGGTAGAAGCGCACCTACCCACTGCCAAGCCCGTGACAGGAAGGGGTGGATGCCAAAAAAAATAATTAGTTGTTTTGAGATGATGAAAGACAAAAAAAACCAAAAAAGATTGACCGACGCAGGGGTCGAACCTGCAATCTCTTGATTCGTAGTCAAGCGCCTTGCCATTGGGCCAGCCGGCCTGGTTGTTGAAGATCGGGGCTTTTTTTTGACAACATAGGGTTGTGGTGTGGGTCACGCCCTTTGCCGACGAGGGAGGTGAATATCCGGATGCAATCACGGTTCGGTTCCAATGCATACGGAGTACAACAAGTGAAACAACTTATATTTAGATTGTCTTGTTCATTTCTTGGAAACTACATATTTCGGGGTTCGATTCCTGGTAGACCAGCTCACCCAACAAACCAGGCAAGTCAACTGTTATCTACCCAGGATGTCGAATTCCAGTCCGAAGCAAACTACCCTAGGTTAGCGTGTCCTGAGACATACCGGAAGGCGAACTTACATTCCAGGCATCGATCCGAAGCACCGAAGAATCGTCCGATCGCTGAACTGGCGTCAAAATACCAATGGCTGGAATCTGGTTAGCAATTCCGGTCCTAGACAAGCATGTCAACGTAAAACCTGCTTTAATACATACCAACAATGTTGTTCAACCAATAATACTTCTCACTACCAGTCTCGAAGACCAACCGCAGGTGCAGCTGGCCAGAGGGGGATTTCGGGCCCGATGTTTGAATAAATATATCCGCGCCATCGTTCGTCTTCAAGTTGTACCGAGTGTCTGCGGAGAATACATTGGTTTTGGGATCAACGGTTCCCCAATCGGCACCCAGGTCCTGGATTTTACCTGATGGAATGTTAGACAGACAGTGTGAATTGAAGCAAATGGTCTTACCGGAAAGTCTAGGACCGGTGAAGTTGCCTCCGACGATAGGGATGGCTCTGCGGACTCCGTGGGGACCGTTTTCTTCCATCAAGTTGCCCTTGCATTCCACGTAGGCTGTGTAGAGGAATGACAAGCCCGGAGCTGATGGTTGGACGCTAGAGACTGCTGTTACGGGCGCAATCAATGTGGATTGCAGCAAGCATAATGAAAGAACGATTTGAAAGAGGGTGCATAGCAGGGAACTGCAATTGTTTTTGAACATTTTAGGAGGGTTGGAGTTGTTTGGACTCGATGTCAATGAATAATGGATAATAGCTAGATTACCTACATCTCTAGAGCTATTTATATATGTCGAGCAGTTCTTCATAGATGACATCAACTCACTCTCCACACTTTCCGAGTGGAGGAGAAACCCCAGGATTTAATCTAAACGACATGCCGAGGTGTGTCGATCACCCAGAGTTTTGTGCAGACATGCCGATTATATGCCGATCCAAATGCCGAGTCAACACCATTTTGCATTCTAGGCGCATGAGTGTATGATTAGATGGGGTTTCCACCTTGTCCCTAATCATTGAGGTCTTTACTTACACTTGAGGGGCATGCGTTCAAAATCTGGTGTGTCCATGCAGTGAGATATAGGAAAGCATAGACCATAGCAAAATCCAGATACCGAGATCTGACGGAGATCACGTGGAACGGGAGATTAAACGATGTCTCCAACTTGCTATGTAAGGGCGTTTTTTTAAGGATTAGGGAAATCATGCAGATCCATGCCCAAGGGTTGTTGTGGGGGGTGGGCGATATATTCCAGACAGATCGGTACATTACATCCCGAGGTCCTGCTAGTAGAACAGCCAAATCTATCGCAACCTAAGACTCCATGGTACCCATCAAGCGGGTGCTCTTCAGCCAGAGGCAATAATGTGGTGTTCTATCAGATTTCAGGATTTCATACAACCCGCAACGATAGGGAAATTAAACCCGGCGAGTAAATGATATAGGAGCCTATTTGAAGCAAGGGGCGACGGATTACACGATCAAAATTTAATATTAGGATGTGTATTCAACTTCCTACTGACTTTTGCTGTGTTCACGAAGGACGTAAACAAGAGTGCTTCTTCAGCCGAAGAAATCACGTTTCTTAGCGAAGTGAACCACAGTAGTACTGACCTTTGTTGCGGGGAAAGAGAAAACACAGTAACCAATAACATTCCACATAATAAACGGAAAGTAAAACCCGCCAACTACTCGAAAAAAGACCAGTCTGGAACGAAGAAGTAAGGGGCAAAATAAACAATTCGAGCGCGTGATGAGAGAGAGAAGAAATTTCAGATGTGACCGGCCGTCTACAGGTAGTTAGTCCTTCACTAAGGCTTGATTGTTTAATAAAAGATTCATGCTCAAATTTGACAACCTTTTCGGGGAAATGCCCTCGGATATGCTCTCTAGTTTGCCTGGGTAGTCAGCCACCTGTAGGATATCTGACGAACCGGTTCGTATTATCTTCTTAGACCTGACGTTAGGTATTATCTATACTGCCCGATCACTAGCCTGCAGAGTTTTCAATCAAATAAATCGCCTTCGTCCAATCGTGTTTGCTCGCTTGGATTTTCCCCATTTAATGCGCGTTACCCTTTAGGTTAAACACCCTGGGGCTGAAATAGTACAGCTCTCGAAAAAGTGCCACGAAAAAGTCATCGTCACACTCCAGTAGATTTTAGACTTATTTTAACTATTCTAGGCCGGTGGCGAACGTGTTGTCCCTTCGGGGGGTCAGCCAGCCCGGTGTGTCTCATCCTTTTTGTCGCATTAGTGAAGTGGTTGAAAACGCCCAAACATTCAATACGGTAAATTTCAATTTTTCTTTCAGTCTGCACACGTGGCATCTCAGGTCCAAGCGACAAGCGACAATAAGGTGAATGGTGAAGGGTTGAGTGGCACTTGTGGATTGGTGGTGGTAGAAACCCTAACATCCAAGCTGAAGAGCTACGCCCGCCACATTTTGTAGGGCTTTCGCGCTACTCCGAGTTATTAAAAGTAAAAGTCTTCAGTGAAAGTGAAGCATTTAAAGCTGGGCATTCAATTTTATTCTAGGCAAAGGGCGATATCATGCCCTTTTCTTGATCTATGGTCTCTTCCGGAACTGCACCATCGGTCCGTCCCTGATGCTAATATAACTGTCAATGACTTGAAACACATTCGGGTCATGGTTCCCCCAGATCGTATCCTTGTTTCCAGTTCCAGTCGTGTCTCCCGGTAGCAGGCGCATATCATTCAGCCAGAGTGTTTTGGCAATTGTCAGGTATATTTCTAGAAGGGCGAAATTCTTTCCAGCACAGCTTGTTGTTCCAGCAGTGAACGGAACACAGCTTGAACGGGCCCGAGCCACATCTTCTTCGGTGACTCCAGTCGCTGGGTCAACTATCCATCTTTCGGGTCGATATATATTAGGGTCTGTAAAATGTTCTTCGTTGCGATAGAAGCTCCAGTGCGACACGCCGACAGTTGTGCCCTCGGGGATATATGCGCCGTCGATCATCATGCCCCCTACAAGAACGATTCGTGGCAACTCGGAGGACCCGGCGGGTGTGACTCGCATTGCCTCATCTACGCAAGCGCGCATATAGGGACAGCTAGACAGAAGCTTGGGACCGCTTTTTATTTCCTCGAAGGATTGGAACGTGCTTCTGATTTCGTTGACAATCTTTGTATATGCGTGAGGCGTGCGAGTGATGTAGAAGAAAAATCCCGCCAGGATTACAGACGTGGTATCTGAGCCTGCAATGGTCAACATGATGACCTCGGCCTCCAGTGCTGCCGGGCTGAACCCCGGCTGACCCGTTACCGGATCTACTGCGTTGATAAGATGCTGCAACATATCACTCCGTCTTTGGTGCGACTCGGAGCTCTGCAGTTTCAGTCTTCGGTTTAGTGACTCTCGCACGAAGTCGTATAGGAACCGAACTTGTGACGGAGTCATCACCGCAAGAACCCAGTCAAGGCCTCGTGGCTTGAGCGAAACAACAAGGTTCAACCATGGGGAATGGCCGAGCTTTGAGCTAGTTAGAAAAGCCCATATCCACAAAAAGGCAAGAGGCTTACGGAATACAGAATCTTCAGGAAAAATGCAATTATGTGTGGGATCTTTCGATACTCATTTTCACCCGGTTCCTTTGTATTAACTGTTCGTCCAAAGCAAAGGTCACAGAGTACATCGAGAACAAGGTAGTCGCAGGTATCTGACATTTTTCTCGGCAATGACCACTCGGTCCCATCATCATCAGTCAAGAGCTCACACCACCGGGTAACATGCTTAGCAAGAAGTGGCTCCATGGAACGAATCGACTTTTCGGAAAAGACGGAGTTCAGAACGCGTCGCTTTTGTGCATGAAGCACCGAGTCAGTTCCAGTAAGCGTACTGGTGTCTTCTGAATGACGGGTCATGATGTCGTAAAATTTCGACCGCTTGACGTTGGCTTTGTTGTTGAAGATATCGCGATAGGCTTGTGGTGTTTTGAAAAGAAGGCCATCGGGCCGATAGCGAAATACTTCTCCGTAGATTTTATGATTATGAGCAATCCATAGATGTCGAGTTCCGGTCAAGGACCAGTAAAAGTCGGGAATCGAGGAGATCTTTGACAGGAACGGACCTGGATACCTTGCCAAGGGGCTGAGGTAAAGGTTGTACACCGCAGATCCGGCGAACTATAATCATATCAGTAACAAATAGCAGAGATGTTTTTTGGATAAACTGACATAACAAAATGTGGTGCTCGTAATAATCTCCACCCAGTAGTCGAGAAGCGCTCGACAGATCGCAGCTATATACATGGTTAACTCTAAAAGTTAGAAACGAATTTCGCAGGAACAAAAAAAAGCAGATATAGGGACATCTTTTTTTATAATATCCTCTATTTTCAGGCCTCCAAAACTAATAGTCAAATCGCCACATCACCAAGACACGACGTACAACTCAGCTCGTACTTCCCAGCTGACATTGTGGCGCCCGCTTGTATTTTTCAATTCGGGTGGAGATGCATCTCAGCAAGCCACAAGGAACGACTGCCACGATGGGTGCCCAGCTTGAGTTCTTTATCATTCATGTTTGTTAGAATTCGAGGTATTGGAAGCAGTATAGTTTATTGAAAACTTTATGAATTCAAGCATGACTATTAGTATAATTATGTAGCTATAATAAAGAGGCCTTATTTATAGATAAAATATAGTAATTAGTATACCAGAATCCTCCGCTAAGAGATAGGTGCGCTTCTACCAATCGGATCGTCTGGCTTACGCGCATAGGTGGGACGGTTGCTAAAAGACTACAATTCCAAGCCAACAGACTTGCATGCGCATCGCTCTATAAAGGTCCTTGGTCAGATCGCCACAAATACTGGGATCTTCCACAATGTGGCGTGGGTATCGGGCTCGATGGAAGTGAATGCTAGAGTATTTAATGTTCGTTATCCATTCACTCTCCCATTCCTTATTGAAAGCTACGACGAAGACGAGACTTCCATACAGTATGGTCGTTTATATGGTTTGGCTGCAGTCTGTGAGATGGGCCTGGAGTCTCATCAATACCTTGGCTAGCTCTGAGTACATCCAGAAGTCCAAAACACCCACTGTGCTGCTACCCGGATCCCAGACAACCGACACAACCCTAAGGGCGCTCTATGACCAGGTGTGCCACACAGGGTCTCCTACTATGGAACTGGCCCAATCACCGCTTTTCAAACCCGTTCCAGTTTCTCTTAGCATCGAAGACCGGACTCGGTTAACATATGAAAGGGCCAAATTGATATGTGATGCATTCAGTGAGTTTTCTCTTCCGCTCGGTGTCAGGGCTGTCAGACTAACAACGAAGAGACCTAACGATCGAGGATGTTCTGCACCTGACTCCAAATTTCTGGAAGTTCCATATCGATCTTATGGGTGTCGTGGATGGTGGAGCCATAACGTTGATCACTATTCAATACAATCTCTTCGTGGGCACTGTGGCACCATACGCAGTTGATCGGCCAGACCTACAATTGATTCTTGATCGTGCTATAAAATTTGAAATCTCGTAAGTATTCCACTCGCCTCGTTGATATTTGAGATCGAAATAATGACTGATTATGGTTCAGGGCACAATTTTTGCTCACTGAAGTCGGTCATGGGTTAGATGCCCGGAACCTTGAAACAACTGCGACACTTTTGCCAAACGGAGACTTTGAACTCCACAGTCCGAATTTAGCTGCTGCAAAGTAAGTTAATCCTCCTTTGATGCTCGGCTACTTGATCTAATTCACCCCCAGATGCATGCCCCCAACTACGCCGCGTGGCGGTCTCCCTTTGATCGGCGTCGTCATGGCTAAGTTGATTGTCGAGAGTGAAGACTATGGAGTACGCACGTTTATAGTCCCCTTGACCGATGGAAAGGAGATGTGCAAAGGAGTTACCTCGAAGTAAGCTTTATACTATTAGCACTCCAGCTGGAAAAACATCAGCGCTGACTATTCTAGGGTCCTCCCTCCTCGGACTGGTGCACACCCTATCGACCACGCTCTCACATACTTCGATCATGTCCGTCTTCCCAGCTCAGCTCTCCTAGGACCCATCGCGAAGCCTAAGAATGAGCGATCCCAGTTCTTCTCCTCGATCCAGCGCGTCTCAGTTGGAACGCTCTTTCTATCAGCTGGGTGTATTCCACTTCTCAAGAACGCGGTCTACAATGCAAGTTTATTCAGCATGCGACGAAAGGTCAAAAACTTCGATGGAAAGGTCATAGCTGTCATGAGTTTCCGGACTCAGCACCTCCCGATCTTGCATGCGATCGCTCAGTACCATGTTCTGCAGGCATTGCTCATCAAGGCAGCGACAGAGTTCCGGAATCCGAAATACGACGCCCGTGTACGCCATGCCTATGCAACGGTCTTTAAGGCGGTCGCGTTGCAGCATTTTCAGAAGAGCATTAAAGCTATGAATGATGGGTGCGGGTGGCATGGGTATTATGAACATAATCAGATCCTCCAGAGCGAGGTGAGAAGACTCATAAGTCTATTCATAATTTTGTGCCTGTTCTCTGGTGGCTAATATTTTCTTTCAGTTGGAGTTCCGTGCAGTGGGAACAGCAGAAGGCGACATCCGGGTCCTTGCTATCAGTGGGTTCTCTCCTTTTGAGACTCATTATCGAATGAACGTTGTTTCTCTAACATAAAACTTTCAGGACTTGCAAGTGAGCTTCTACTCGGCCGATATCAACTATCGCCTCCACAAAACCCAACCAGCCTCGTAGCCCAACATGAGGCTGGCCTATTCGCAGAAGCGATAGGGTACCTCCACAGCATCGGAGGTTTCCACCGCAGCGAGAAATTCAACCGAAACATCCTCCCTCTTTCTCTCCCACTTGTTCAAGCGATCGGACACAGAATGGCAGTTGAAGCAGCGCAGAACGCAGGAATAGATCCCAAGCTTCTCGAACTGTACAAAGCTGGCGTCATCAAAGAGGACTCGGCTTGGTATTCGGAACAAGGCGGTCTTAGCAGAAAAGCTCAGTTTGAAATGGAGGCTAAGGCTGTGGATGCGCTACTTCCTGATCTTGAGAGGTTGGTGCAGGACACCGGTTCTCAGGCGTATAATTATGCGCCTATGACTTCAGAAAGGTTGTGGGATGATTTTGTTGAGGGGTTGGAGAGCTTTTCTGGGGATGCGTCTTTTGATCCTGGGCTTTGTGTTCCAGAGAAGAGTTGTGTGGACGCGTTGCATGTATGAAGCGTCATTTCTTTTTTCTTGTCAGAGATATTCAGTGTTGTATCTTGTAGGTGTTCTCGATAAATAATTCAATTTCATATTTTTGATTTTAGAGTAACAAAGCATTCTGTCATCTTATTGAGATCTCAATAAGAATTGAGATTTAAACCATGAAAGGGCTTAGATTCACCATTGACTCATTCAACCATACATCTAAACTGAATCAAGTAAAGCTACCATTTCCCCTCGCTGTATCAGAACCTCGCGCAAATAAACCATAATGCGACCGGAACAAACATCAATGAGAACGCTATGTCAGCCTTAGCCTTAGAAGCTGTACCTTTACCCACCAGTGCACGATCGGTCGAAGTATTTTTATCATCTCCATCATTTTCTGAGGTTCTGCTAAGAATTCTAGTCGAAATCTTCCAGGCGATGCTGGTCATTAACGCAAAGTAGAGCAATGTCACAAAGACTGATAGTCTCTCCTCGGTCATGGGGACAGGATTAATCCAATAAAAATACGCCTGCAAGGGCCAAATGACGAATGCCGATGTGATGTGAACCTTTACTCGCCGGGTTTGAAACCCAGTTCGACGAGCTAGACTGTTAGAGACCGCGTCGAAGATCGATTGGGCTTTCGGGACTCTTTTAAGGAAAACTCCGAGAGCGATGATAGTGAAGAAGCTGACACATGCAACAAAGAAAGTCTCGTATACGATGAATAACACAAGGTGTAGGAGATAAGTCTCATCAATCACGGTCACGAGAGGTGGTATCAGGGGCTGGATGTCAATAGCAAATAGCCAGAAGATGAAGATGGCTGTTGCTTGCCTCTGAATCAGCAGCATTAGGGGCGCGAGGAAGCTGCAAGCTTTGTATACCAAACAAAGCCGATGTCTGCATGTCCAGGTTATCCGGAATGGATATAAAAGACGGAGCATAGTGCATATGTCGTTTTTGATAGGTTCATGTTCCATATTGGCTTCGACGTCGGCCCCTAGCAAAGAATCCGAAAGTCGCTGTACTCTATTACAAAGATTTTGGGGAAACAGTTGTTCAGGTTCCTGTTGCTGTGTTTGGCCAGAAGATGGTTCTTTTCCGGGGGTTTCTTCTCCTTCTTGCTCCGTGCTGTCGTTCTGGTCAACCTTCTGCTTCTTCTCGTCCTTGAGGGAAGTACAATCAATCTTGGTAGATATCTCTACTGGCCCCAATTCGGAACTCAACAGTATTATTTCGGGCCAGTCCTTGTGAAGATAGATCGTCCCCGGCGTAGGCAGTGAAAATAGCGTGAGAGCTTCGGTCACAACGGCATCTCCGACCAACCATGCCATAAAGAATTGTGTCCATCGATGATCGTCGAGCAGGATCATTGCCATAAATGCCGGTAGCGTGATACCCACAAGTATCGCCCGCCTTGCGAAATGCACTGACGCCCTATGTTTCATGTGTTTGCTCGAGTCGGCCTCGCAAACCTGCCAATGTGCGCAGAGTGTGAGTGTAAGCCAAACTATCACTTTCGTGCTCATGATCCTGGGGAGACGCAGGCTGATGAGGACAACAAATAGCCATAACACTTTTGCGATCGAGTTGATGGGCGAGAAGAATGTGAGGTTCTGCTTGATGTCATCTTTCAGTGTGGGTCCTGTTGGTCTCATAAGTGTGCTGGCTGTCGTAGAGAGTAGAGCTAGTCGAACCAGCAATAGCTGGATCGTCGAGACGTCGCTAGGTGTTTCCATGGTTATGGGAAAGGGACAGAAACACCTAATATGTTTAGAGAAAGGTGGAAAACGGTTGAGAGTTATGGCTTATGAGTGATTCACGGTTTTCGGGCGCCAGCGGAAACGCCTCGCGAGTGCCTCGAAGGATTCTTAGCCCCGTCTCCGCCCCCAGGATCTCGTAAAGTCACACCACTGGGCTTGGACAAATCATATCGTGTCTTTCTAACGCGAGAATTCTCCGGGATATCCACAGATTGATGCATAATAGCCATTTATGCGCATTTATCCAGACCCAATTCAATCAATCAATCAATCAATCAAAATTCTATTAACCTGATGAAGCCTATCTATTGAAACGCTAAGTTATGCAGGCGTTTCGCCGACCGAAGCAGAATTTCGAGCCCATACGCCTTATAAACCCTCAAAGCAATAGACAAAGGAAATCAAAAAGTAACACAACTAAACCGGCTGCCACACGCCTGCTGCGTGCCTACTGCGCCCCTAGGCGCTGTTCTCTCCTTCCACTCCGTTCTATTTGTAGTATTCCTGCATGTGCGCGTCGTATAACCAGTTGAGACTCCCTGGCCCTTGGCGTTCTGTGTAACTATCGTCTTTCTCGTTTAGATCGAGTCCCTCTAGGAGGGTGCTGGGTTCCGGGACCTCCTCGTCCTCCTCGTCCTTAAACGTGGCGAATCGGAACTGCTGTAGCAGGCCTGGTCGTTGCATGAAATCGGCAACGTAGCGTATCGCTTTATACGCCCACGCAGTCCCTCGATAGAGTCGAGGCGTTCCACAGGGGGTGTCCCTCTCAGCCCCGGGGTCGGGGTCCAGCGGGTTCCGGAAGTGTATCAGCTCGAATTTATCCGGCGCGAACCTAGACGAGTGCTGTCAGGACCATACAGCAGGCTTATCGAGTGCCCACTCCAGTAGACGTTGATTAGCTGCGTAGGACTCGAAAAGAGCGATCGTATAAGTATCGTCAATCTAGCCGAATGCCATGGTTCTGCCCGAGAGCGGTAGCTGGATGCGCATGCTCTCAACGGTATTGATTCCTAGCGCCCAAATAAGGGGCGTATTGAAGAGAAGGAAAAGGATCGGGGAGATAGGGGACCCCGGGGGGATCCTCGTGGGGGTGGAAATGATACCGCTCAGGTAGCCAGGTAGTTAGAACCGGGTCTGTCGGCCTGAAAGGAATGACTCCAACCACCCGGCGAAGTGCCCTAGTCGTGCCATCTTCAGGTTGTGCAGCAGCCGGATATGGGAGACGTTGTCGAAGGCCCCTGCTACGTCTAGCAGGAGCATACTTACCTTCTGGCCTCGGCCCTAGCCATCAAAGATAGCATCTATTAGTAGTTGAATCAGGTGGTCGACGGAGATGCCCTTGCGTCCCCCTAGGTGCCCTCGTGGCAGTAGGCTATGTTCCTCCAAGGCATAGGCTATACGGGTGGCGATGGCCGCCTCTAGAATCTTACCCCTCTAGAATCTTACCAAGTGTGTTCAAGAGGGCAATAGGCGGGTAGGATTTGGCGACTCGATAATCCCTTGGCGGGGCCTTACGGAGGAAAACCGTTGTAGATTGCTGAAAGTATCCGGGGTTATGCCCGAGCCGGATACAGGCGTTGAAGATGCCCGTGAGCGCCTTCACGAAGGAGGGAACCTCACCTAACCAGTGCCAGACCTTATTAGGGATGCCGTCAGGTTCGGGGGCCTTGTCAGGAGGCACCTTTCGGATGCAGCGCAGCATCTCGTGTTCGGCGAGATCCGGGAAGCCAAGTTGCCGAGGTAGGGAGGTCGTAGGGATATCAGAAAGGTCTGCGGGAGGTGGATGAGGGAAGAAGATCTTCCGGAATACCTCAACTTTCTGTTCTGCAGTCTCTGCGAGGCCGTTGTCTGGTGTTTTCAGTGTTGGGACCAGTCCCCCGGAGGCGTCCCGGTTCCTGGCCTTTCTGACCCAGGTCCGGTGTCCCTGCCGTAGGGCCCTCGCCAGCACATTTACGAGTGATCTTGATCATCTCTCAGCATTCTGGGGTGAAAGACGGGTTCGCCTACCTGCTTAGTCGTGTCTACGGGGTAGACGTTACTATTCCTTGATTTACCGTTTCAATAAGGAACTCTATTGCAAGTTCAATGTGCTGCTTATTCTCAAGTGGAAAGGCTCAATCAATCAATCAATCAATCAATCAAAATTCTATTAACCTGGTGGAGCCTATCTATTGAAACGACAGGCTATGCAGGCGCTTCGCCGAATGAAGCAGAATCTCGAGCCCGTACGCCATATAAAACCAATGCAGTAGACAAAAGATCAAAAAGTAACACAATTAAACCGGCTGCCACACGCCTGCCGCGTGCCTACTGCGCCCCTAGACGCTGTTCTCTCCTTCCACTCCGTTCTACCTGTGATATTCCAGTGGGATCCACTGTTCCTGTGTGCGTCACGTAGCCAGTTGAGACTTTCTGGCTCTTTTGTTGTTCAATATAACCATCGTCTTCCTCGTTTAGATCGAGTCCCTCTAGGAGGGTGCTGGGTTCCGGGACCTCCTCGCCCTTCTCGTCGTTGAACGTGGCGAATCGGAACTGCTGTAGGAGGCCTGTTCGTTGCATGAAATCGGCGACGTAGCGTGTCGCCTGCGGGTGGTTCATGACTGCGTCGTAGTCCTGTATACGCCCACGCAGTCCCTCGATAGAGTCGAGGCGTTCCATCATTATTCTCTGACTGGCGAGGTGCAGCGAGCACTCCATAAGGACGTGTTTAGGCGTTTGAGAACCTAATTCACACCTGCAGCGGTCGGAGTCGACCTGCTTTATCTTGAAGAGGAAATGCCTCAGTCCAATCCTCATAGTGCGCATCTGGATAATTATAGAGGTCTGGGGCTTGCTCAGGCCCTCGTATATCCTTAAGACCTTCTTATTCGGCTTCGGAATCAGCCGTTTGGTAGGTTTTCCAACCTGTTGTCGCTCCTACCACTTCGCCCACTGCGCCTGGATTCTCCGGCGTACGTCAGTTTTGGCTGCAGCTGCAAGCCTGGTGATTGGCCGAGCGGCCAGCTCCCGCGGCCCTACTGAGCTTAATTCAATCCCCTTTATCGCGGCCCGCTTGGCCGCCTCATCAGCTCGTTCATTCCCTTCTATACCGATATGCGCAGGGATCCAGCGCAGCTCTATATCTTCCTGCTGCAGGCCGCTGCCTCTCAGGGTCCTGATCCTCTCGTAGATAGCCCGTAGTACGTACTGGCCTGATGGTCGGCCAGGGTTCTGCACGGCTTGAATGGCCGCCTGGCTGTCTGAAAAGACCGTGATCGGGGCAGCCTCTGCCCACTTCAGGGCCATTTTGACTCCCTCTAGCTCTCCCACGTACACAGTGGAGTCAGCCGCGGCTCCTAGGTATTTCTTGCGGACCTTTCCGGCCCGAATCGAGACTGCAGCGCCCCCTACGTGGCCGTTAAAGCCGCTACCGTCAGAGTACCAGATCTGCCTCCGGCTTTCCTGACAGATCCTGTCGTGTTCCTGGACTGCGCTATCCGTTCCCTCGATCACGCAGTTCAGTGGGAGTTCCCACGGGGCGAGTACGTGTGCCTTTCGGGACTCTCACGTAGCCAAACTTCGGCCTCTGGTCCATAGGGGGCCCCCTTTCCTCCACCTTAGCGCCTCCATGGGGGACCACCCTGACCGTTTTATCTCCGCCGAGCTCCTCTTCTTGACTAATCCTCGGGGACAGGCCATAACCGGTCCGGTTTGTATCCGGATTGCGGTCTCCTCAATCATCTGTTGCATGTGCAGGCGGACCGGAGGCAGAAATAGCTCTGCCCCTAGAGCTGCAGAAGCAGTATTTCTGAATGCTCCGCTAATAAGTACTGCCGCCCGCGTCTGGATTCGTTCGAATTCGCTGATAGTCTTCTGCCGTTTTGCATACTTAGTACGCCCGCTGGTAGGGCTATACCATGCAGCAACCCCGTAGAGCATCTGCGGAACTACTACGGCCAGATATATGGTCTGCATGTTCAGCAGGGACGTGCCCCATGTGGACGCAGAGATGCTCCGTAGGGCTTCGAGGCTCCCGTTCGCCTTCGCTACCGCCTTAGTGCAGTGGGTAGTAAAGGAGAGAGTCTTATCGAGCCAGATTCCGAGGTATTTAGCGTGTTCCACTAGCCGTATGACGTGGCCCGTTGCGTGATCCTTTATTGGCAGCTGGTCGTGCCCCGGGGGTTCAACGGGAACCTCCCAGGCGCTCCCGTCCTCCCGGTTAGCGTTGGTAAGGTCCTGTCCATTCCATGGTTCCGTGTAATCACAGGGGGTGTCCCTCTCGGCCCCGGGATCGGGGTCCAGCGGGTTCCGGAAGTGTATCAGTTCGAACTTATCCGGCGCGAACCTAGACGAATGCTGCCCGGACCATACAGCAGCCTTATCGAGTGCCCACTCCAGTAGACGCTGATTAGCTGCGTAGGACCCGGAGAGAGCGATCGTACAGGTATCGTCAATCCAGCCGAATGCTAGGGTTCTGCCCGAGATCGGTGGCTGGATGCGCATACTCTCAACGGTATTGATTCCTAGTGCCCGAATAAGAGGCGTATTGAAGAGAAGGAAAAGGATCGGGGAGATAGGGGACCCCTGGGGGATTCCCGTGGGGGTAGAAATGATACGGCTCAGGTAGCCAGGTAGTTGGAGCCGGGTCTGTCGGTCTGAAAGGAATGACTCCAGCCACTCGGCGAAGTGCCCTAGTCGTGCTATCTTCAAGTTGTGCAGCAGCCGGGTATGGGAGACGTTGTCGAAGGCCCCTGCTACGTCTAACAGGAGCATACTTACCTTCTGGCTTCGGCCCCAGCCATCAAAGATAGCATCCATCAGTAGTTGAATCAGGTGGTCGACGGAGATGCCCTTGCGTCCCCCTAAGTGCCCTCGTGGCAGTAGGCTATGTTCCTCCAGTGCGTAGGCTATGCGGGTGGCGATTGCCGCCTCTAGAATCTTACCGAGTGTGTTCAAGAGGGCAATAGGCCGGTAGGATTTGGCGATTCGATAATCCCGTGGCGCGGCCTTACGGAGGACTACCGTTATAAATTGCTGAAAGTATCCGGGGTTGTGCCCGAGCCGGATACAGGCATTAAAGATACCCGTGAGCGCCTTCACGAAGGAGGGAATCTTACCTAGCCAGTGCCAGACCTTATTAGGGATGCCGTCGGGCCCGGGAGCCTTGTCAGGAGGCGCCTTTCGGATGCAGCGTAGCACCTCGTGTTCGGCAAGATCCGGGAAGTCAAGTTGCTGAGGTAGGGAGGTCGCAGGGATATCGGAAAGGTCTGCAGGAGGTAGGTGGGGAAAGAAAGCCTTCCGGAATACTTCAACTTTCTGTTCTGCAGTTTCTGCGAGGCCGTTATCTGGTGTTTTCAGTGTTGGGACCAGTCCCCCGGAGGCGTCCCGGTTCCTGGCCCATCTGGCCACGCGCCACATGCCTCGGGGGCCTGCCTCGGTGGCCTTTCTAACCCAGGTCCGGTGTCCCTGCCGTAGGGCCCTCGCCAGCACTTTTCCTTTGCGGTTTCTGACTTTCGCATAGCGGTCTCAGGCCAGCCCCGTAGTAGGATCGGTAGGGCCCATAGCTATGCAGGTCTCGGTATATGCACGCCTGAATTTACGAGTGACCTTAATCATCTCTCGGCATTCCGGTATGAAAGACGGGTTCGCCCACTTGCTTGACCGTGCCCACGGGGTAGATGTTGCTATTCCTTGATTTACCGTTTCAATAAGGAACTCCATTGCGAGTTCGATGTGCTGCTTATTCTCAAGTGGAAAGGCTTTACTGTATAGGTTCAGGTCTACAAAAGTCTGTAGTTCTTTTACTTTGCACGCCTTCCAGTTGCGGCGCCGCTGCGCCTCCGGGGTCTTGGTTTGGATGTCGATAAGGGTCCGTATAGGTAGGTGATCGGAATCTGCGTGAATCTTTTCAGTGACCTCACAGGTAACGAGTCTAGGGGTCAGGTCCTGCGAGCCGAGGACTAAGTCGATCGTGGTCTTCGCTCCGGCTTCGTCTCTGGTGATAGTGCCCGGCTTTAGCCAGAGGTCCAGGCACCTTCCATCGCTTAAGTCAAGTAACTGGTTAGAAAGGGTATCCCGGGCGGCATTCTTGCCGCCCCAGGCAGGGTGGTGAAGGTTGAAATCCCCCAATAGGAGGACGTAATCGTTAGTGGTATTAGTAGTGAGGTCGCTGACCAGGCCTAAGGTGCCTGTGCCAACCTCGGCAGGTCGATTATATATATTGAAGATGCGAAACCGCTTGCCATCAGCATCAGTCAGATCAAGCTCTTGAATGTCTCTCGAATGGGGTATGTGTTTCCAGGTATTAGAGTCGATTTTTCGCGAAATAAAGAGGCATACGCGTGCCCGCTTATCCCCTATATCCGTCTGTGTCGGGTATAGAAGCTGGTGTATTACTTTGGCTGGATGATAGGTTGAATCCTGAAAGGGGTTATCCTACGGTTCATGTACGAAGATGATATCAGCCTCCAGGACCCTGCGGTCCTGGAGGTACTGGGCCATCATCCTGTCCTTTGATCGATTTACATTGTATTGAAGCACGTGTAGGGGCCTATTCATGGCGACGGTCCCTGGTACGTTTCTTTGATACTAAACGAGCAGGCGTGTTGTCCTCGGCCAGAACGATCGTAGTCGACTACCCTGAAGGGGTAGGTGCAGGGATAAGAGGTGCCTCCGGCAATTTCAGGAGGGCAGTCACTGCGCTATCGCTAGTAATATCGCTAGTCGATACTGATTGTTCTCGGTAGGTTGGCTGCTTGCTTCAGGTCCTCTTCGCTGGAGGGATGTTCCCTGTAGCGGGCGAACTGGCAAAGCAGAAAGCTTCCTGCGTTACCTGGTGTCTAGCGCTCCGCCTCGTTGCCTCCGAGTAGGTGACGCTGCGGGGGCGCCTCTTATTCAGAGTGCGATCCCTAAGGGCAGGGGTCATTGGTGCGGGCGTCTCCAGTTCGCTGATCATGTCAATTTGCTGGGCAATCGACGGTTCTGACTCGGACGGGATAGGGTCTACATCCATTTCCGAGTTTGGGTCTATCAGGGCCGCTTCTTGCTGCACAGACACAAGCTCCTGCGAGCTGTATAGCAGTAGATCCCTTTTGAAACCTTACTGTAGAGCGATTCCGCTCCGTTGGCCGGCTGGTTGATCGGGTCAATCTCTCCCTCCCTCTCCCAGATCCCGCAGCACACCCCTCGCTATTAGGCGGGCCAGAGGTCTCCGTGTCGCTACCCACGGAGAGATAATCCTGTAGATAGGGCGGGTTGCGGTGCAAGGACTGCCGATATTAAGCTGCAATTTGTACCCGCTCCTGTTCCGCTACGTACCTCGTACAAGCTCTCGACCAGGCGGCGTGCGTTTCGCCGCATCCAGCGCATTTGCGCCCCTGGTCACCGGTGGCGGGCCTCTGTACGCAGGACCGGGTCTCGTGGCCCTCGGCACAGAGGCCGCAGGTTGTTTTATTCGAACAAACGATCCCTATATGTCCATATTGCTGACATTTGAAGCATCGCCGAATCCGCGCGTTCCTATCGTATAGAACAAATGAACGATTTCGCGTCGGCGTGGAGGTTTAGTACGCAGGTGAGATAATTCTGATTTGGTGAGTTTGCTGCCTCGGGAACCCCTGAAAGGGCCGGCCACGGGGTTTTCGCCCCAATCATCTCGAAATCCCCTATAGAGATAGAATTATTCGATAGCGACTGGAGTTATTGACAAACTGGTCGATTCTGGAGGCCGTAGCCGTCGTGGTGGTTGAGTAATTTCAAAAATTAGATTCGCGTCGAAGTTGTTTTTTGTTTAGTTATCCAGACCCACTTAGTTAACTGTCATTCTATTAAGCACAATGTCTAGCAAGACAACAGCCAAATCGAGGAAGAAAGCAAGTTTAAACGAGCTGCGTTTCTCTTATCAAAGAATATGTTGGATTCTCCACTAAATTTGGTATGAGATAAAACAAAGCTTCCAGGTTTTATAGCTGCAAGGCTCCCAGTTGCCACATAGCAGGGATTTGCCGCACAGAGCACCAAGTATGACCTGACCATATCAGCACCTTAACTAGTCAAGAACCTACCAATACTCTAGCGGGGAGATATATTTCAAATCCAACAAGCAGAATCGAAATACTAATCATCCATTAATCGGTCCTGTTTGTTGTTCACGATGACGGGGTTTGCATCCCATGACGAACAGCAGCTACGCAGCTCATTCCAAGGCTGGTAGAACCCACGTAACAGGTATAATTTAAAGTTTCGAATCTCCCATTGGCATGCAACTTGTAATTTACAACCGAAAGCAAGTTTGAATTCTATGGTGGCTGAAAACAGGATTAAGCTGTCTGAGTCAGCAGGGTCTTTTGCCGAAGTCTGTCCCAGCGTTGAGAGTATAAAGGGAAGATACACTCGCCTGTTAACATCTGAAATATGTTCATAGGAAGGAATGACGCAAAAAATACCTCGCACCTATTTGCAACATATTTTCAATCATGTGGCGCTTTGGTAAAACCGACAGCTCGCCTGAGGCACCTGTGGCGACGGGCATTCAGGAACAAAGAATCCAAAAAAACAGCCTTGATGTATCCGACCAAATTGCAGTTGTTGGGATGTCCATGAGACTCCCTGGTGGGATTAAGACAACTGAAGATTTCTGGGATTTGCTAATTCGCGGAAAAGACTGCCATGGACCTGTGCCTCCGTCTCGCTACAATGCGGATAACTACTACTGCGAGTCAGGCCGGCCGGGGACCCTTCCAACGAAGCACGGATATTTCTTGGATGACGACATATCGACTTTTGATGCTTCTTTCTTCTCAATCAATGGCACGGAGGCTGCCACTTTGGACCCGAAACTGAGGTTCCTGCTTGAAGTTGTCTGGGAGTGTCTTGAGAATGGCGGACAGGTAGACTGCCAGGGGAAAGATATTGGATGTTTCGTGGGAAATTTTGGGGACGACTGGTCCGAGATCTTGAGGAAGGATACGCAGAGCATTGGAAAATATCACGCGGTTGGAGGGCACAACTTCTCGCTGGCGAATCGAGTATCGTATGAATATGATTTTCATGGGCCTAGGTATGACTGAGCCTTCATTCTTGGCCAACTGCGATTTTTGCGGATACTGACATCAACGAAAGTATGACGTTTGACACAGCATGCGCATCATCATTGATGGCCTTGCACCAAGCATGCCAGGCTCTCCGGAATAACGAATGCAGCGGGGCAATTGTCGGGGGAACAAGCATGATCATCTGTCCCAGCTGCACAGTCTCCATGGGAGTTGCAGGTGCTCTTTGCGGAGACGGAAGATGCAAGACATTCGATGCTAGCGCCAATGGCTATGGAAGAGCAGAGGCTATTAACTCTATTTTCGTGAAAAGATTGAGCGATGCTATTCGTGATGGGGATCCAATCCGGGCCACTATTCGATCCACAGCAACGAATTGCGATGGGAAGACGTCGGTGTTCATCGCGCCGAACCCAAAGGCTCACGAGGATATGATCAAGAGGGCATATAGTTCCGGAGGTATCGATAACATGGGCGAGACGGGATTTTATGAGTGTCACGGCACCGGGACACAACTCGGCGATAGATGTCAGTAAAGGACCAGCCATACCCCTGACCCATTCTTCTTGCTGATCAGTGATAGGCGAGCTATCTGCTGTGGCAAACCTCTTCCAAGATTCGGGAGTGTATATCGGTTCTGTATGCAACAAGGATTTTGAATTCGTAACCGATGCTGACCATATTGCAGGCCAAAGCTAATGTTGGCCACTCCGAAGGCGCCTCGGGGCTGACCGGTCTCATCAAGGCAATTCTCAGCATGGAGCATGAGACAATTCCCCCTCATGCTAATTTCTTGACACCAAACCCCAACAGTATTGACACCTGTCCCGACTTCTAAGAAGCTAGGTACTGACATTTCCAGTTCCGTTTGACTCCAACAACCTGTGGATTCCAACGAAACCCACGCCGTGGCCTAGAGAACGCCTCAAACGAGCAAGCGTCAGCTCATTCGGGATAGGGGGTTCCAATGTGCATGTAAGTCGCAGTCAAATACTGTTTACATTCCAACAAACCTGATAAAACAACAGGCAATACTCGAAGGCCATAAAAGGTTGAAAATACCTGCACCCGAGAAATCGGGACTGCCAAAATTGATAGTCCATTCAGCCCAAAGCTGTCCAGCTTTGAAGAAACGGGTGAAGATCATGCAAAGTTTTATCTCCGACCACCCCGATGACCTGTCCGACATAGCTTATACCCTTTGTCAACGTCGGGAACGTTTACGACATCGCGCGTTCACAATTCATGGTGCCGGGGCGGTGGAAAAGCATCCCCAACTAGTCAAAGCGCCGGAGAGGCGACCACCATTGAATTTTATATTCACCGGCCAGGGCGCGCAGTGGAGAGGCATGGGGCATGGCCTCATGCAATTGGAACCCTTTAGGGCCGAGATTGTTCGAATGTCGGAGGCATTGAAATCGATCCCAAATGGGCCATCTTGGGATCTCATAGGCAAGTGGCAACACAAAAAACCAAAAATCAGGTGAAATAACCTCTGACTATTGTACTACAGATCTTATCGAATCGCAGGATCTTGAATTTCCCATCAACGACCCTGAATACGCCCAGACTCTGTGCACGGCCCTCCAAGTCGGCATTATCAAGGTGTTGTCATCATGGCAGATAAAACCGGATACAGTATTGGGTCACTCCAGCGGTGAAATTGCAGCTGCGTACGCAGTCGGCGCCATCTCGTCTTCAGACACAATCAAGATTGCTTATTATCGGGGCTTTTCGGCAAAGGCCTATCCGCACAATGGCGCCATGGCAGCTGTGTCCATTAGTAAAGAGACCGCAGAAAAATACCTTCAGCCGTCTGTTGTGGTTGCGTGCCAAAATGCTCCTAAAAGTATAACCCTGAGCGGAGATGCGGATGAACTGCGTCTTGTGTTAGACCGTATCAAATGGGACTTCCCGGATATTCGGTTGAAGGTGTTGAATATTCCTATAGCGTACCACTCACGTAAGTTTTTCTTTGGCCGTTTGTGGAAGTCGCGTTAACCGCGAGAGTAGACTTTCTGGATGAGGCTGGCGAATTCTATCAAAATTTACTCGGAGACTCGGTATCCGCAAGTCAAACACCTGTTGGAGTCTTCTATTCAACATCAAAAACAGGAGTACAGACCTGTGCTGACGACTTCGGTCCTTCTTATTGGCAAAACAACCTAACCTCACCAGTTCAATTCCACTCTGCGGTGTCTAATGTGCTCAGGACACAGGAGGATCACGAGAGGACTATTTTCCTCGAGATCGGTCCACATTCCGCCCTCTCTTCTCCTTTGCGGGAAATTTGTGCATCACAGGACAAGGGACCCCAAGCTATTTACATACCCACGGTAGCCAGAGATGAGTCTCCGATGATAGGGTTATTTGAAGCAGCGGGCTGTCTGTACCAGCAGTCCGTGGACGTTGATTTCCTCGCCATCAATGGGTCAGGAACCGTTCTCACGGACCTACCACTCTACCCATGGGATCATGATCAAAAATACTGGAATGAAAGTCGAATGTCCAGAGAGTGGCGACAGCCAAAGTTCCGACATCATGAAATCCTAGGATCCCGTGTTGTTGAATCCACTGATTCGAATCCTAGCTGGCGAAATCTGTTGTCAACAAGCAGTGCCGGATGGATTACTGACCATCAGCTCCGGAGTAAGATCATATTCCCTGGTGCCGGATACGTCTGTATGGCTGGTGAGGCGATTAGACAGATTTCCGGATCCGCAGACTATACCATCAGGCATATGAATCTATTGGAGGCTTTGGTTCTACCAGAAGAATCAGATATTGAAGTCGTCACAAGCCTGGCCATAGTACCCCTGACAGATGCTGAAAACTCCAATAAATATCGATTCACGATCTCATCAACAACGGGCGAGTGCTGGATCAATCACTGCACCGGTGAAGTGCAAGGCGGAAGTGATTACGATCTCTCGGATAAAAGGCAGCTACTCATCGACAAGGACTCCGATCGGTGGAATCGGACACTTGAATCGAATAAGTTCTATTCGGCCCTAAAAGATATTGGCCACGGGTTTGGGCCGTACTTTCGACTGCTCTCCTCCATACAAGCTTCCTCTGGCCATCATGCAGCAAAGGGCACTGTGCAGATGGACCACGAGCTATACCGGACAAGCTACTATGCACAGCATCCACTGATCATTGACCATTGTCTTCAGCTGTCAATAGTGGCAGCAATCAAGGGATTGTGTTATCGACTGGACCACTTGGTTGTCCCAGCTTCGGTAGATCAAATTTACGTTGCGCCAAGCCAGCATGAAGACACCAGTTATGACCTGAAGGCGTTCGCAACGAAGGTGAAGAAAAGCGCCGTTTGTCAGTCTGTGGCCGGGAACAATGGAGAAATGCAAATTGCAATCAGTGGATGTTCTATGATGCCATTAACCAACGAAATAAAGCCTATCGAAATCCAGGAGCTTCACTGGCATCCGATGCATACGTCAATGGTCCCATCAGAGTTGATAAAGGCCCCGCACAAGCCAGCGCATCAGGAAATCTTGATGGAAGAAATAGCAGTGCTCTGCACTCTTGAGTCAGATCGCATTGCTGGGTCCCAAAAGCCTACCACACGGCATATTCAGAAGTATAAAGAGTGGTTAGCATCTCAGGCACACATTTTGCGAACACAAGGATCGGAATTGGTTCCGCAGGCTAGGAGGTGGGCAACTGAGGATTCACCGAATTGGCTCGACATGATCGAAAAGCGTGCTGCACTCGCAGAAACAAAACTGAAGCCTTGGCAGCATCAACTCATCCTCCACGTCTTTGATAACTCGCTCGCCATCTTATCTGAGGATAAAGATCCCCTAGAGGTTTTGTTTGACGGTACACGACTCCGAGAATTTTACGAAGGCTTGCTTACTCCCAGTGACTGTTCTCCGTTCTTATCGTCACTAGGCCACGAGCAACCTGGGTTGAAAGTGTTGGAGGTGGGAGGTGGTACTGGTGGATTCACGACGCATGTCCTTGAGTCCCTCAAAGGTGCATCGAAAGTTCCTTTATATTCGAAATATATGTTCACCGACATATCGGCTGGGTTTTTCCCGAGCGCTCAAAAGCACCTGCAGTCGTTTGCAGGTATCGAGTACCAGGTACTCGATATTTCTTCTGACCCAACGGCGCAAGGTTTTCCCGAGGAAGAATATGATTTGATTGTTGCAGCAGGTGTAAGCCACGTCCCTTGAAGTTCCAACTTCCACCTGACTAAACTATCTAGGTTCTGCATGCGACACCGTTCCTGTCGAAGACTCTTGAGAACGTCCACAGACTGCTGAAGCCAGGAGGAAAACTGCTCAATGCGGAAATCTTCCCCGGTGAGTCTCCATGGTCTTGTTACCATAGAGATTGAAGTGCTAATGCCACTGTAGAGGGTATCCACATGAGCTATATCATGGTATTTTTGTCTCCTGTTTATTACTTTGCGAACAACGCGAGCTAACCCGAGCTTATAGGGAATTATTCCCGGGTGGTGGATTGGTGATCAGGATAATCGTCCCAATCAGCCCTATGTTTCTTCTAGTCGATGGAACCGAGAACTCAAAGCCACCGGATTCACGGGTACGGACATCGTTGTCCTGGACCAGGAGTATCCATTCCAGAAAACAGGCATATTGATATCCACCAAGAAGCAAGAAAAGAAGCCTCCAGAAGATGTAACCTTACTCTGTCATCACGAAAGCAGTCCGGTGGTTCAAAAAATCAAGAATGCTTTCAGCAAAGCTGGTCATCGTGTTCAACTCTGTGCTTATGGAAGTCACAAAGAGTCCCAAGGGGGCATTATCTCTTTGCTCGAAACAGAGGAGCCTTTCTTCAGCGCTATGACCGTGAACAAATGGCGTACATTCCAAACGCTTCTCACTGACATTGACCAATGCGGTATATTTTGGGTGACCAAAGAGACGCAAATCCAATGTCATGATCCTAATTATGCACTCACTCTCGGAGTGGCGCGCACAGTGAGGAGCGAGCTGGCGGTCGAGATGGCAACTTTTGAAGCACAGTCATTCGACAATGAATTTACTGATGCATTGCTAATGGCCTACGGCAAATTCCGTGAAAGGCACGGGGAGACAGACAATCGCGAGTACGAATATCTATATCGTGACGGCAAGATTCATGTCCCCCGCTTCCAATCGGTGGTAGCTGAAAATGAAATTTGTGCGAAGAGCCTCCAGTCAATGGATGCCAGGATGCTATCCATCGGGGCCCCTGGAAGTCTAAGTAGTCTCTTTTGGAAGCCAGTGGCATGTAGACCACCTCGCGATGGCCAGGTAATGATTGATATCCAATATACAGGGCTTAATTTCAGGGTGAGTCAAGTTTTCAGGGTATATCTGAACAAGCCATTTGCTAATCTTCAATATAGGATCTCCTGCAGGCCCTGGGAGCCTTCGGTGAGGATGTGGAATTTGGCATCGAAGCTGCTGGGACGGTAAGCCAAGCATGTCCAAGAGCTGGTTTCGATGTAGGGCAAAGAGTAGTTGTTATGGCACCACAGGGATTGCTTGCTACACGGACTGTAGTGGCATCGAAAAACTGCGTGCCTATTCCAAACAGAATCAGCTTAGAACAGGCCGCCGCGCTATCTTGCGTCTACAGTACGGTCATCTTTGCACTGATGCATCACGGGAATCTGCGCAAAGGCCAGGTAAGAGAGTCTACCTCTTATTTTGTAGCCACGTACTGTTCTAATGGTTTACAGACAATTCTGATTCACTCTGCCTGCGGGGGTGTTGGACTCGCCGCTATTTCCCTCAGCATAATGCAGGGCGCCGACATATATGCCACTGTCGGTAGCGAAGCTAAAGCTGAGTATCTTAATGAGCGATTTGGCATACCCAGAAATAAGATTTTCAGTTCTCGTGACTCGTCATTCCACAGCGGATTAATGAGAGCTACCAACGGTAAGGGTGTTGATATTGTGCTCAACTCTTTGGCAGGGGAGCTTCTCCATGCGTCCTGGGAGTGTGTTGCCAAGTTTGGCAAGATGATTGAGATTGGCAAACGAGATATTATGGGAAACGGATCATTACGTCTTGCCCCGTTCTTGCATAATCGATCATTTATTTGCGTCAGTATGGACGAAATCATAACAGAACAACCGGAGCTGAACCACCAGTACGTGCTCTAATTCCATGGCCTCAGTTATTTCGCTGACAACATCTTGCAGGCTCATCAGTGATGCTTTTCGATACATCGAGGAAGAGCTTATCGAGCCGATTGAGCCTATACGGAAATTTCCCGCCAGCCAGGTTGAAGAAGCGTTCCGCCACATGCAAGGAGGGCAGCACATCGGCAAGGTTCTGGTGCAGATGCCGGCGAGCCTCGGCGATTTACCCCAGGCGACGAAATCAGATCCGCCAAAGTTTTCTTCAGAGGCTGCGTATATGTTGACCGGTGGGCTTGGGGGAATTGGACGTTCCGTTTGCCGATGGATGGTAGATAATGGCGCGCGGGAGCTCGTCTGTCTTTCGAGATCACCGCCGTCATCAAGCAGCGACTTCGTGTCGGAGATAGAAGCTCAAGGCTGTCAGCTGACCCTTGTAAAAGGGAATGTCGCAATTGAAGACGAGGTCAGGGTGGCAATCCAATCCTGTAAAAAGCCTCTAAAGGGTGTCCTCCATTTGGCCATGGTTCTCAGGGTAAGCAAGCCTCTATAACTATACCAGCGTAGCGCTTACAAGGCTAACCCAATTTCATAGGATCGACCAATCACAGAGATGTCTTATGATGAGTGGAGTGCTCCGCAAGAACCTAAGGTATCAGGGGCATGGAGTCTTCATAGGGCTCTTCAGGGTATCGATCTTGACTTCTTCACTCTTTTCAGCTCTACCTCGGGCATTGCTGGACAGCTAGGACAGGCAAGTTACAGTGCAGGGAACACGTTCCTGGATGCCTTTGTCAGATACCGACATTCTATGGACCTCCCAGCGGCCGTGATCGATCTAGGGATTGTTGGAAACATAGGACTTTTCGTCGACGCGGAATATCGCAAATTACTGGAAACCACGTTGCGCGGTTTCACAATCATCGGAGAGAAAGAGATCTTTCGCGCGATTGAGGTTGCGATGATGCGCCAGAAGCCAGACAGTCTCTCTGATCAATATTCCAGTCACGGTCAATTCGCAATAGGGCTTACTCCGCCAACAAAAGAGAATCCACACCATACCCATAGTCTCTTGCAGGGAGACATGCGCATGGGATTATTGAAGCCTGCATTGACACGTGCGCAACCTGTGCGGAACGAGGCCAGCCGAGTCCAGAAGTTGTTTACTGCCATGTCCGAAGATTCAGCGTTTTCGGAACGCGACGAGGCCTTGACGCTGATCCAGGATGAGGTCCTTCACCGATTGAGCTGCTTGTCCGGCTCCAACGAGCAAGATATCGGGCTACGCCAGCCTTTTTCTCAGTTGGGACTGGATTCCTTAGTCGTGGTGGAGTTGCGTATCTGGATCCAGCGAACATTCCATATCACAGCAACAGTGTCGGAAATCATGAGCACGGGTCATGTTGAAGGGCTAACACAGTTGATCCTGAGTCGACTGAGGGAACGATGAGCAAGCTGGCCTCTAAATCTGTGTTTAAGTGATTGAAATGGTACATAAATTGGTCCTGAGCTTTGGTGGATCTATTCAGCGCGCAATCATCTAGTAGCTATTGATATTTTGCATCAAATTCGTGCAGCGCTTATAATGAAAATGTAGAACAGTGTATTTAAGCAGTAACTTTCGAAATTATTATGATGCAGATCTTTATATAGCCTGAAGAACTGAACAATGCTATATTGATAAAACTTTTGACATCGTACTATATGCCTCTAGAGTTTAAGAAAGCAATAGAAAATAAAAAATACATAAATGAATTAGTAATTCGCATTTCCATCCCTAAAGATCGAGAACATTCGCCGAGTTGGATGTTGAAGGGCATCATTAGATCGGACCTACATGACTAGTGACTAGGTAGCCTTCCACTTCATCATGCTACGCATGAGCGTCAGCGTCGGGATATGCGGGTCACTAAAGCCATGATTCGACTTATGCCTCGTGATATTGCTCTCCATGCGAGTACTACATCCACGGCATTTTTGGTCACATGGGAGGATGGCGAAACTGAAGCATTTTCCAATCGGTATGGTCATAGTATAATGTATTACATTGTTCTTCATGAGGAAATATGCGCATCTCTGATGAGCCATCTAGCGCATTCGCACCCAGGTAAGCCTTGTGTGGGTATACTATTGAGGACTAACTAATCCTGAAATGTATTGATACAGCGGATCCACATGATGAACGTGCAAATTGTGGCTGTCTCGAAAAGTTCACAACACAAAGTCAAAATGGAGTCGGGTTCCTATCTCCATCTCTGGATGCCTTGAAGAGGCATTTCCCGATGATTGCTGTGAATCGGAGGGGTTGGTTTTAGGGGTACCCACCCAAAGCGAGTTCTTGGTGGGAGTTACGAAATATCCCTAGGCCGACTGTTCTCCTTCCCCAACTGACACGTGCGGAAAAGAGTATTCAGGTTAGCCAGGGGCCAGATGAGCCGACGCAAAATTTACTCATGGCCCAGCAGATCATGGCCCAACAGGTCATACGGGCTCAAGGGCCAAACGCTAAAAGGACCCGCGAAATAGTTCGCGGGCCATAGAACTGTGGAAGAGTATAATGGTTTATCGCGACGAAGGATAAGATCAATCAGAAACGGGAATGTATGATAAGCTCCAAACATTCGATTGTCACTGACACCCTTCTCACGCTACCCTGCCAGCAGCTAGCCCATAGATGGCCTGGAATCAAGGTTGACTGATAAGTATTCTTTATTTTACTTCAAATTTACTGATGAGATTATTCCTGTGCCCTTTGTACGATCTACTTCATTAGAGACACAAGAGGGGAGCGATCTTTCATATTGCTCTAATGTCACAGGTTCATACACCCATTCGGGTCAATAGCACTGGAATATTGACAAAAGTAATTCATGGACGTCTGGGCTTACGCCTTAAGACGACCGCAGTGCTCGCTTCACTCCTTCACTTTAAACCCTGCAGGAAACGGTGCCGGATGTCCTTGCAAATCTCAACATTGTTGCATGCGCGCTCCTGCGAGTCATGCGCCCTTCGCTCTAGCCACTCATTGTGATCCTTCACGAACGCCTCCATCCGCTCATCGCGCTGCTTCACCAGGGCCTGTTTTTCAGCGCTCAGCATGGTGACATCGGGCTCCGGCACGTCGTTCGACGGTGGGAACTGCGGCTTGCGCGGGATGCGCTCCTCCACCAGCAGGATCTCGAGCGGAGGCCCGGGCAGCGCCTGGTACCAGTACGCAGTGGTGTTCCAGTCGTCGCGCAGGTGATTCGCATGCCCGGATTCCAGAGTGACCTTGATGCGTCGGTTGAAGTGCACTGGATTCGTCAAGTGCCAGCGGTAGCTGACCTGGTAGTTGGGCAAATCTTCTTTGTGGATGATCGTGCCGCAGAAGGGGTACGCGTTCTTTTGCATGCCCCAGCCCTGCGTGAAATAGTCCTCGCCACCGGTGCCATGCATGCTCGGTGGCCAGGTATCGTCGTCTTCGCTCCACCAGGTGCCCTGGAAGTGGGCGACCGAGTGGTTGCACCCGGTAGCAGTTGAACGCAGCGGCGCAGCCAAACTTTTTCTCCTCCGACGGCTTGACCGAGACGGTGAACGGAAGCGACTGGAAATTCGCCGCCATGGAATGGCCCAGGCAAAAGAAATCGCCGATTGGGGCGATCACGTTGGGCGTCTCGGAATCGTCCCAGTACATCTTGATGAGCACCTTGCGGTAGTAGTCGGGGTCATTAATTTCGTAGTTGAGGCCGAGTGCATTGTGAATTTCCATCATGGCTACGCCGGACTTGGAGTAGGGAATCAGGCCGGGCCCAAGGATTTTGCGGCAGGTTTAGACAAACCACAGATGCGTGATGGCGCCAGGGCCTTCCAGGTCCGCGAGCACGATCGACTCGCCGGCCAGCACGACAAAGGCGTCCTCATTGAGGCCCCGATGATCCCAGCTGGTCACCCGAGCACTCCGGGCGACCTTTCTCTTGGCCATGCTTGCGAGGAGATCACTTCCGAGCGGCATTGCTGGCGGAATGCGGACTATTGTGGTGGCAGGAAGAAAGATGATGTGTGTGTGGTTGACCAGGAAGACCTTGGACGACGCACCCGGCATCCTTGCATTTACAGCCTCATGATGCGCCACCAACGGTCTTTCTGGCCTTGATTTCGCATAGATCATGGATGTAGACACGCGGATTACTGGAACGCTTCCGCGAAGACCCCGCGGAGGCATCGGGTCCACCCTCTGACTGACCCACCGAGCCACGTGACGGCTGGGGAGTTCCCCGCATCAGCGGAGGGCCTCTTCTCCTCCGCGGTCTGTACTACTGCTCCCAGACTGACACCATGACCCGACAGCGCGCATCCAGACGTCGGCGCACGACCCTGGCCTGCGATACCTGTCGCTCGCGGAGAACCAAGTGTGATGCACAGAGACCGTCATGTGACTATTGCCAAACCCACGGGATTCCCTGCATCTACCAGGAGCTGCCCGTGGAGCCTCCCAGTCGGTAGGTTACCCTGCCCCCTTCTCTTCCGCGTCACCCGGACTGTACTGAATCAGGTGCACAGGGTCGAGGAGGAGCTGGCGGTTATCCATCAACGGCTCGACCAAGTGATCGACTTGTTGCATCCACCGCTAGAACCTAACGCCGCGAACGCCCATCCGGCCGAGGCACGAAACGAATGCGAGTATTCCGTAGCAACGCAATGTGACTCGCCGTTTGATTTAGCCTCCAAGCTGCTGGGAAATCCATCGGTGATGCATGTGCTTGGGCTGAATGCCGATTTCGCGCAGTCCTTGCTTCGAGGGGAACGACATGCCGAGTCTCAGGGGAACCGAGGAGGCGTAGGAGGCACCCCAATGCTACTGGTACATCACCAGCATGTTGTGAGGTAGGTCGAGTTCTTCTCCATTAGATCACTGTCAACCAATCAATAACATGGTAGTGCATTGGCTGCATTCTCCTCCCGAGCGCATCCCTGGTATCCTATCCTTCCGTCCGACTTTACCTCCGAGTACTTTCGGGTCCTCTCCGGTTCGTTACCTCCCTCCTCAGAGTCTTGCCTTTCTCTACTGGTGGCTGCTGTTGGCCATGTAGTTGGGGACGACGAGGCGGTCTCGGACCCTCCGTACTTTGAAGCGGCACTCGCCTCGCTCCCGAACATCATATCCGAGTGTAGCGTCCGCAGTGTCCAATGCTTGATGCTGGTCGCTTTGTATTACTGTTGTCGGTTGAAGCCCTGTCAGGCGCATGACTATTGTTTGATTGCTTCGTCCAAGATCCAGAACATTATGAAATGGCAAGTCCCCATCCCCGCTAATTACGATTCAATACTAACATGAATCGGTAGTGGCTTGGAGGGCGAGGATCCAGACGCAATAGAATCGAGTCGACGGGCTTACTGGGGCGTCCTATTGCTAGAGAAGTAGTCGTCACTCAACCATTCAAAGCAGGCAACACTGATCATCTTACAGCGAGATTGGCGGTCAATTGGATGTGCCCAATAGCGATATTTGGTCGTTGGACGAATTGGTCCCACTACCCTTATGCCAACGACCATGGCAATTCACACCAGAGAGTACATCACCAAGCATTTCACCTCCTGGTTTCCCCGAAATTCAAGTGTCAATTGACACCCACGTGGAAGCCACGGGATCCTATTTCCTCGCGGAAATCGCCATGAGACGTATGCTCCATCGATGTAACACAGCGGTACAAGTAACGCCCAAAGGAGGCTACATCTATGCCCCATATATCGCGCGAGAGCTGGAACATCAACTCGAGGAGTGGTATCGCCATCTACCCGATATCAACCGCTTTGAGAAGGGCGATGCGTCACAGCCGTTGGAGCTAGTCCGCATACCACCCTCTCCGCTGTCCAATTTTCTCCGAGTCCAGTACTATTGCTGCATGATGTCCATATATTGGCCCGCAGTGCATCAAGCAATGCAGGATGGCGCGCTGCCAGATCTTCTCTGGGACGATTGCAAAAGGTTTCTCGACTCCTATGTGATGCTCACACCGAGCATTGCTGCTGCATTTCAGGATTGCCACGTGAACAGGTGGAATTTATTCGTCAGGTAAGTTCCATTGGGATTCGGAAACGAGGGGAAAATCATTCACTGACCGGAAGAGCTAGTATCTTTCTCACTACGGTGGCCGCGGTGGCCGTAGCAAGCACCCCCTGTCTGAGGGAGCTCTGTTCACCCCAGTTCTATCAATGCATTCTCGCATCAGCGCACGCAAAACAGACCACCTTGCAGAAGAGTCCGTCACTTATGATGCTACAGGGTGTACTAGAGCAGCGGATCTTGGACGCCAACGTGTGAAACAAACTGCCGTCTGAATGACAATACTTCTCTACATTGAAAGGTTTCCGTGGCGTTGTGATACATTATATACATGGAATTGAATACTTATTCTTGACTAACAAACAACCTGTCCCAAACATCTACCCCTTCAATAGAAGCACACCCCTGTTCCCCGATAGAAAAAGCGCTTATGCCCGTAGGGCGAGAATATCTCGGAGAATAAACCGTCGTACCCAAGGCAAACCGTCCGTTTGCAAATACTTCCAAGACATCAGCATCAGAGATGATGCGGATGCGCAGCGTCTCCAGAACCTCTTGAGGCTCGGCCCCCGTTCTGTCTGAAAAGTAGAAGAGTGTAAACGGGCCCGCTTCAGGACAGTTGCGTACATCTTCGTGGTATGTTGACTTTTCCTTGTTGACGCTGATCTGCTCCTGCTGAAGAGAGAAGGTGACCGTAGTACAGATCGACATATCGCTATTGTGGCGAATATGAAAGCCGAATTCCCGGCAGCGCATGCCGTCCAGGGCGACTGTTGCCTCAAGCTCCCAGCTGGGGAATGATGTCCAGCACAGTGTCAGGTTTTCTCCGACGGTCGAGGAGTGGACAGAGACATCCCTTTCCTGGCACACATGGTTACCGCTGCTGTGTTGCCGATTGATTTCTTGGACTGGCCGGACTCCCAGCGTGTGGATTGTAGAAGAACCATCTCGATCCAGAACCGATTCCACCGACTCTATATCAGCCAGAGGGCTACGCAGCGCTCGAGCAACATTCGGAATAGAAAGCAGGAAGACCTCTCGAGGAATGGCTATAGCACCGTTCCATTCCTTGGATTTGGCGTAGCTCGCCGTGATGTTTTCTTCAGGAACCCATGCGTGCATGATGTTTCTCTCAGTGGCGCGGTCGACGAAAGAATTGGCCGCGTACAATGATCCACACTCCAAGTACCCCCCATGAGTATAGTCGAGACAAACCAGCTTGCCTTCCATCCTCAGGTTGCCAAACATCCACAAGAGAGACCGAGTAGTCCTAGGGGGAATGTGTGGCCTAGACTCGAAGTTTTGGATGTGGCATCGCTCGACATCCCCTTCTGCTCCGAGGATGAGACACATGCGTGTATCGCTCTTAGATTTAAGAGTCGGAAGGTTCACGCACTCCCAGTTAACACCGAAGTTCCCGGGCCATTTCTGCGACGGCTAGAATCGTGCGGGCATATCTACCAGGGGACACAAATATTGCCATTCCGATGGATTATCATGAGGCACGGAGTATAAGAACGCTGTCGGCCCATGGCCTTGGGTTCCACCCGCGACGAGATCGTACAGGCAATCATGCCCTCGTAAATGATGTAGAACCGGCCATTCAGCCAAGAAGGGATCCCGAAAACCAGTGACCTGAACGTCATCGGGCTCCCCCAGGAGGATTGGGTTTCCCGAGTACTTCATCCATGTCTTGCCCCCGTCGGTAGATTCGGCCATGGCAAGTCCCGCAGTATTGCGAGGATATGGAGGGGTGCTCCGGTGGAAAGGTAGATGGCGGACTGACGAGTAAATCGCTTTCAAAGATCTTTGGTTCCGGTTGGGAGAAACCATGCAACCGGTAAAGACCCCGTCACAATCATAAGGCTCCCCCAGAATCAGAGCTGGCCCGGTGGAAGAGGTCCAGAAAATGAGATCTTTGCTGGTGATATGACTCCAGGACATCGACTCCCATTCCTTTCCGGGGGGATTGCCTGTAAAATATGAGTTTCATCCAGCGGGGGCATAATGATGAAGCACTGACATTGGTAAAAGAGATGGTATAAGCCCGTTGCTGGATCGTAACCGGGGGTACAGGGATCGTCAATCCAGGAGGCTGTCGTAAAATGCAGAGACGGCCTGGTGTATTCGGAGTCCATGGTTTTGCACTCTTGAGATGAGAATCTAGAATGGAAATAGACGGCAAGATCATGAGTAGGAACTCCCAAATTCTTTCCAGTCCCTTTCACTCGCTCTTCTGTTATAACCGAAAGAAGCCACTTAATTTAAGTTTGCTCAAGCAGAACCATATATACCACGCCTGTCATTGCCAAGCAGGGACGGAGTGTCGCGGAGTGCTCGAGACGCTCCGCGAGGCTAGTGCGATGCCTCACTTTTTTCCCCACGGGGAGAGAATCGCAGATAGGCACGTAGCTGTTGCTGCCACATATATAACCCCACACTTCAACCTTGCGGAGATGGAAACATCATCATGCAAATTTACGCGAGTTTGTATCAATATGGCCACCCGGTACAACACGTCTCATGTACATCAGAAAGGAGTGTTTGACTTGTGACTAGAATTGACTACACTGTGATCAACCCGGATCATAAATGGCAAATCCTTCGCTCACATTGGCGATATATTTTCTGGGGTAGGTCGCCCACCCCCAAACAATCTTCGGGTACTCATCATTGTAGTGATCTGGGTATCCAGTGGTGTCGTGATGCAGGGCTTCGATATCGTGGCAGGGCGTCAATTGGCGGCGCTGCCTGCATTCAAAATGCAATTTGACATTCGTCAGCCTTCAGGAGCCTATCTCATCCCTGCGGGGTATATCTCAGCCTGGAACTCGATTGCCCCCGCCTGTGAAGTCGTATCTACCTTTGCCAAGGTCCCCGCACTTGAGAAATTTGGCCGGAAACCGGGAATCCTCGTGGCAGCGGTAATTTCTGTTGTGGGCGTTCTGTTGCAACAGCTGGCAACAGAATGGAAAATGCACCTTGCCGGAAGAGGAGTCAATGGTTAGTTGTTAGTGCCCTTCGGAAGTTTTGCGCAATCTGATCTTGTAGGAATTGCCATTGGCATGATGTTCGCGATATCTCTCTGGATTGGAGAGACATGTCGACCGGAGCTACGAGGATTTTTCCTGTGCTTCTTCAATGCGAGTATTGTTTTCGATCAATTTTCGATGTTAGTATCTTTGCTTTCTTGGTGGATAGCACATGCCACTGACCTGTGGACCAGTGTTGTCGTCTCTCAAGGGGCTAGCTATGTCAAGGGGAAATGGTCAGTTCTGAGCACAGTCCCTGACGAAACTGGTCTGACCTCCTACCACCTAGGCAATGGTGGCTCCCAATAGTGGCCCAGTACATCTTTCCACGTGCGTATACAATTTAATACGCAAAGATCTATCCTAACATGCCAGGACAGTTATTCTTGTCACGGGCTGGGCTTTCTTCCCCGAGTCACCGTACTGGCTCGTCCGACGTGGAGATTTGACCCGCGCAAAGAACGAATTAAGGTCTACAGATCCAATGATGATGATTTCTACGACACTGAAACCCGACGTATGGAGGGGGTGAGGCGCATTGCTACCGAGATCCAAGAAACAACAGGCCGACAAAAATTCCTGGGAATTGATGTCGCAGCGGAACTCGAATGTTTCAAGAAAAAGAATCGCAAGCGAACGTTTACTGCGATCTTTACTGCAGCTGTCAGCAAATGGTGGGGGCAACGTTTGTGATCGGCTACGCAACTTACTTCTTGGAATTGATCCACGTCAATAATTATTTCAGCGCCTCGATCGTTCTTTACATAGTCATGCTTCTATCCAGTTTAACAGCGTTCCCTCTGACAGAGATTTTAGGACGTCGAACCCTGATCGTCTGGCCACAATTTGCATTATGCTTTATGCTGTTGCTCATAGGCCTCCTAGGGTGTGTTCCGGACCAAGGGAAAGCGGTTTGGGGCATTATCGTTTTTATATATGTGTGGGCAATCATATTTCATATTAGATTCGCAGGAGTGGTTAAATACAAGAGTTTCGGAGTTCTGGGAAGCGTACTATAAAACAATCCGCGGAAGGTGTCGTGATCCCCAATACTCTGTAGTCCTTAAACCCCTAGTCCAGAGAAACGTGCCGTACTACTACACTCGATAGCACGACAGACCCTCCACTTACTTGGAGAGCCATCCCATCTGCTGTCTCATCCGGAAAGATAAGGTCGGAAATAACGACCTCCCCCTTTCCACCAAAGACTTCCACAGAGCAGGTATCGACCAGTACTCTAATTCGTACCACCCCCGATGCATCGGGCTGCAAAGGAGCACTATGAACACCGCCTGCTGCCGCGTCGTACGATATATCTCCACTGGCCGTTCGATCAACTGACAGTATCGCGGTGGACTGCTTGTACTGGATGACTGTCTGTTGTGATCCAGCTTTTCGAACTGCTAATGACAGAACAGTGTCTGCTTGTGGAATGAATACAAGCTCGATATCCAATGCGGTCCCAACAACGGACGAGAGAAGGTCCTGTCCCGGTGTAATTGTCTGGTTTTGAATGGTTTTCAAAGGCGAGCCAACGGTCAAAAGTTCGCTGACAGGCCACTGTATAAAGGTTCGTACATCATTTGTCTGTTGCAGTGCTAGAGTCCGAGGGAACGAGAGCATTCCTTTCCAAGTATTGGTGGGTGGATTGGCTCCGTAGCTGTTAGATATGGCCGCGAGGATTCGTCGCCCATCCGATCCCGGCACATTCTCCCAGCTCATTGCGCCGTCGAAATCACGCCCATAGTCAAGCCAGAGCTTGGAAGTATCCACCGGGTCCGCTTGAAAGATCTCGCCGTCAAATGAACCTGTCAGGGCGAAGACACCATTCCCACCAGCTGGAGACCCATTTGCGGGAGTCAGGATCAATACCCAGGTGGTCTCATCAGTGCCTTCGATAGGCAGCTGAAACATATCCGGCACCTCCCAACCAGTGATATCTGAAGGCAAACCGGGTACCTGGGCTGTTCCGAGATCGCTCACCCACGTCCAATCCTTGGCATCAGTAGAGGCCCAAAAAGTGATTTTATTCTGCCCACCGTGGGCAAGGATCATCACCCACTTCCCAGATCCCTCATGGAACAACACCTTCGGATCGCGTGTCTCCAGTCCCCCAGTTATATCATGGGGTGCCTCTTGCGCTGCCGAGATAATAGGGTTACCAGGGAACTTTGCCCAATTCATTCCCAGATCCACGCTATAAGCAAGGCGTTGGTCTTGTCTTCCATTCGATGGGTAATATCCCGTATACCAGGCCAAAAATGGCGGGTTTTGAGAGGTGCCCAATCCTGATGCATTCTCAGAATCGTAGTAGCTGGTCCCTGTGAAGGCTTGGACACCGTCCTCGCTTGTTATCGCGATAGGCTGGTGGGACCAGTGGAGAAGGTCGGTACTGGTTGCGTGACCCCAGTTCAAATTGCCCCAGACATTGGCCGATGGGTTATGCTGGTAGAAAAGATGCCAGACTGAGTCAATCTTGATGAGGCCATTGGGCTCGTTCATCCAGTTCTTTTCCGGGACGAAATGGAATAGTGGGCGATAGTCCTCGGCCAAGGTTTGAGTAGCAAGAAGAAGCAGAGTCGAAATGATCATTTTGGAAATAAATTTGTTCCAACGGATTGAGATGAGAAGATAGGGATGATCTGGTTAATGCACATAGTCCACTGGTCATACGGGTTGTATTTATAGCTCAACTCCTCAACCACACACTCTCATTTACCCGCGGTGTATGAGGTATTTACGCCTGACTACATTGTTGATGGTGTATAGTATACAATCTTATTCTTCAAGGATAGCAGGTAGAGTGTTCGAAAAGAAGTAGAGATCTACAATACTTATATACTTGAAACCTGCTATCCTGAAGTCGTGTCTGCCCCACTTCGCGGAGAGCGTGGGCGTCTTCCGCGAGGGCTCCGCGATACAAACGCCGAGATTCCGTCTTAGATTCGCAAACCCCACAAAGCCCGAGACTACATTTTACCCCATGGGACAGCATCTTCACACAGACGCCCTATTTGGGGAACCCGAGGATTCTAGAAGCCTGCTGTGACTGAAACTGCGGGGAGGAGAGCTTCGGTCACAACTCCGCCTGTCCGCGAGAGTTGCTAAGACGAATCTGCACTTGCTCAATTTTTTCAATGCCCCTGAATAGACGCCCTGTAAAATTGCTACCGTCTGGAGTCTATAACCCGCGGACAGACAGAGAAATTCGGCTCCAACCACACATTCATTTGCCCATCTGTGCAATACTCGCGACCTCCAAAAGTCAGCAACTATGAAGCTCACCACCGCCCTGTTTTGGCAGTTTCGGCCTTCCAAGCTGCTGCAGATCGGCCTAGCAAGCCCTACACGGAGAGCTATCGTCCACAATTCCACTTCAGTCCCGAGAAAACTGGATAAATGATCCAAACGGTCTCCTGTACGATGATGGTGTTTACCACCTCTACTTTCAGTACAACCCTGGTGGTGATACATGGGGTGCAATGTCCTGGGGCCATGCAACAAGCAAAAATTTATTGCATTGGACTGAGCAACCTGTTGCTCTTCAGGCAAGGGGGTTTCCAGACAATATCACGGAAATGTTCTTCTCTGGGACGGCTATTATTGATAAAACCAACTCTAGTGGGTTTGGCCACCAGAGAGAGGTCCCCTGGGTTGCTATGTATACATCCTATGTGAGTGTTCATGATCTTTAATACACCTGGATCAACCCTCTAATATATTATAGTACCCGATGGAGCAGGTATTACCTAGCGGGAAGCACGTTCGTGCCAATCAACAGTCCCAGTCTATAGCATACTCGCTCGATAAAGGGATGACATGGGTCCCATACGATGCTGGTAACCCTGTGATCTTGAACCCTCCTGCCCCATATCAAGATCAGTTCTTGGAGTTCCGGGACCCTAGTGTCTTCTGGCATAAGGATACTCAGCAATGGGTTGCAGTTATCAGCCTAGCAAAACTGCATAAGGTTCTAATCTACACATCCCATAACCTTAAGGAATGGGACCTGGCTAGTGAGTTTGGGCCAGCTAACGCTGTTGGTGGGGTCTGGGAATGCCCAAGCATCTTCCCTCTGCCTCTAGATGGTGGGCCCGAAAAATGGGTTCTGATGCTTGGTCTTAACCCTGGGGGACCTCCAGGCACCATCGGATCTGGAACGCAATATATAGTAGGGAGCTTCAATGGCACTACATTTACTGCAGACAGCGATAGTGTCTATGAGAGTGAACCTCCCGGTGTTATCTTTGAGGACTTCGAAGGTAATAAGGATCTTACTGCTCGTGGCTGGACGACTACCTCTGATTTTGTTGGCATGCTCCCGGCAAATGGCACCCTTGCTGGACAGAATACGGTGACCGGATTCAAGGGAAAGCAGCTTCTGAACACATTCCTGAACGGTGATGCCTCAACTGGAACTATCACGTCCAAACCATTCAATATCTCACACCGATACATCAACTTTCTGATCGGAGGAGGGAGCAACATCAACCAAACTGCGATACGACTGCTGGTCGACGGGCAATCCGTCCATGCCTCCGCCGGCTCCGATAGCGAAGCGCTTTCATGGCAAAGCTGGGACGTAAACGCCCTCCAGGGGAAGAGCGGTACAATCGAGATTATTGACCACACCACCGACGCCTGGGGTCATATTAACGTCGATGAGGTGTCATTTTCCAACACACGCGCCAACACCCAGGTCGCTAACTGGCTCGACTGGGGCCCGGACTTTTACGCGGTGCTAGGGTGGAATGGTCGTCCTCAGCACGACCGAACGGTGATCGCGTGGATGAACAATTGGCAATATGGAGGTAAAATCCCGACAGACCCTTGGCGCAGTGCAATGACAGTCCCCCGGCAGCTTGCACTAAAGACAATCCACGGCAAGGCCACATTGGTGCAGGAGCCAGTGGGAAAGTGGAAGTCAATCACGGACGGTGGTAAGAAGTCTACATTCCCCCGTGTGGATGGCGTGCGCGAGCTCGGCCGGATCGGAAAGACACTGCAGATTGACCTGTCATTCTCCAGCGAACAGCTGTTTTGTTCTAGTGATGCTTGCGAGTTTGGAATTGCTGTTGCTGCAACTAAGAACTACACTCAGCAGACACGGGTCGGCTATAATTTCAACACCCAGGAAGCTTTCCTTGACCGATCACAATCAGGATACGTGTCCTTTGATACTACTTTTGCGAGTATATACTCTGCACCCCTATCTCCTTCGGCAAACGGGACTATCATCTTACAGATCTATGTGGATTGGTCAAGCGTCGAGGTCTTTGGGGGACAGGGCGAATCCACGATTACTAGCCAGATTTTTCCTTCTGCTGAGGCTGTGTACGGCCGACTCTTCTCTACTGGTGGTACCACAAGCAATGTCAAGCTGGCGGTAAAGGAATTGCTCTCGACGTGGCGCTAGGATCTGAACGCACTTCAAGCAGGCGGATTTCTTTGGGCTCGAACCTAGACACAGTAAGGCCAGACTTGTAATAGAACCAGAAACATAACCGCTTTATTATGACGCGCAAATTCACATCACGTAGTTCACATCGTATTGTTTGAAGGTATAGAATATCTGAACTGCGCGACAGCCACGTGGAATAGTCAAGCCCTCTGTTGAATCTTGGTCTCCTCTAATCGGACCTTCAGCGACTCCTGCATATACTGCACAGCCGGACTCAGCATACTTGGCCCCTGCAGAGCATCGAGCGACGCTTCAATCTGCTCCCAGAACTGCGGTTGGCACAGCAAGCGAAGAACACGCACCCCCAAGGCTCTCATTGCAGCATGACATACGATGTATATGCTAAGCGCGGTGTGTGTAAGTATGGTCCACGACAGAGATAAGATAATGGCAACTCGCAGCACATACCTCGCACATAAACACCAGGCTTTTGGCAGACATACTCTCAGAGCGAGGCTCGCTGAGCCAAGGAGACTCGTCGCGGATTGGAAGAATAGTGGTGCGTAGGGTAGCAGCTCGGGGTCCGCAGAGCCGTTGATAATGATGCTGTATATCACCGGCCAATAGATCGACACTTCATACAAATGATACTTAACTCGACATATGGCACCGTCGATGTGTTGACTGGTAGGTTGAGAGAGCGCGCCCGGTGCACTACCTGGGTAGAGAATGGCTAGGCTGAATCCTGGAGGGTGCAAGGAATCTGGAATTCCTCCGCTAGGGCTCAAACCATCAATTGCAGAAGTGGTGTGTTTGTTGAGCATTATTTGTAGTTGTATCTCCGTAGAAAATTGTGAATGTGTCTCCCTTGGCGAGTGAGCCTCACGTTGGTGTGAGCCATTCGCCGAGAATAATCTGGATGGTGAATGCAAATCGTCAAACCAGTCCCAGAGATGTGTTTTTGTCGGTAAAGGCATTTTCGAGAAGTGGCCATGCATTGTTCCACTGGTAGATGATAGGCTTAAGTGCATACAAAGCTCGCTATTTCCATGTTAGGGCTTTCAGAAAGATGCGGTCGGCTTGGGCCAACCTTTCTATCATGTAGATCGTCCAATATAGTCGCCGTACAAGCTGCGATTCGGTAGAGTCTTGGCCGCAGTGAGCACTTCACTCCGTTAGATAATGCCGGGACTTTTGCGGGGAATGACACGGTAAGCAGTTGAAGCAAAGGGGTACCTTTTAAGAAATGGTTGAATTTTTAGGAGGGCACTCTGTATAAAATCCAACGCCTCTCTTGGCCGAATCAGACATGCAGAGTATAGGCTGAAAAGAACCAAGCACTGGATGCTTATCACGCTATATTCCTGAATAACTATTGGGAGCATTGAAAAGGCCACCTCAAAAGGTGATGATTGGGTTTGATAATGGGTTACATGTGCCAGTGACGCGACAAGGAGTGACAGGCAAGACACCGTAGAGGGAGGAAAACCAGCAGCACTTGACTCGCAGAACTGTAGAGTAAAACCTGGCTCGAGGACTGGATACCATTGATGTATATGAGTAGCAAACCGGTGAAGGACGCTGGAAGGCGTTAGTGTATATGTATTCACTTGTTTGCTCGTTCGTATCAGACTTACAGATTTGGAGAACCGACAATATTAGACCTAGCTAAGGACTTAGGTATTCGTGAAACAGGACGCTCTAGTCGATACAAGACACCTGCTAGATCTAATGGTAAACCGAAGACCTGCAGGAGATGAGAAGACTTGATCACAAGGGGAGGGCAACCCCGTGGGAGCGCGGTATGTGCGATATTGGCACTCGATATGATGCGATGTGATGGCGGCTCCACCAGTGGCGTTATAGACTCCAGTCTTTGTCGGATTCTCATGAGCTCCTGCACCAACCTGCCATTTAATTTAGCCAATGCAAGGCCATCAGGAGGGGAAGGACTCGCTGTGATGGCTGGGAATCCGTCGACTGTTCATATACACACTGCACGTCTTGTGAGACACAGAATGAACACTTGGGTCTGGCTCGGTCACATCGCCTCCGGCGCAGGCGACAATGGTCGCAGGCGGAATTTGCGGGTTTATATGGGAGCATTTTCAAGAAACCATATATAATATGGTGTTTCTGAGGCATGACACTGTTGGTTTCTGCTGTGTTCAAGCCAGTTGGCTATGGTTGGTGGCAAGCTGATATAAACCCCAGGAATACTTGTAGACTGTTGCTGAATTGTATCGGTTTTCTGGCTACTGTTGACTAACAAGGGGTAACTAGTTTCGCTTGGTAGGCAGCGTGATGTCCGTGCTATTCAAAATGCCCCAATCAGATGTGGGTGTCTGTGCTCCACCCATGCGATGCGACCCTCTGAGGAACTCGGAGCTGATTACTGATCACTCGGCCGGTTAAGCACTGCACAGCAGAACATGCCAATGATAGGTCACTTGAGTGGCCATCGCGGACAAACCCTGTTCTCTCCGCGAAGCCATCGGTGCCCTATCCAGCTGCAACTCACGAATGGGACGTCGGTCATTAATTGTCTTTGGTGCCCGCATTACGAATCCTTCTAGACCCCAGTTGGAATAGATGAATAGATCTCATGCTCACCAGATTTCCGATAATCCTCAAATGCGGAGTTCCGACACTTTCTCCTGTCAAAGCCCTTGCAATCCTTTATAAGTAGGCTGGCTATCCCAATACAGAATCCTAGCGTTCCTGCGTCCCACTTTCTTACCTCCCCCTTCCCACCTCTTCCCTGGCATAATAGAACCCGTATTTCCTATGCGAGCTCGGGATACTGTCCAAGTGGGCCCTCTGGCGATTCTGAGGAGAACTGTTCAGCGTCCAGAGGATGACCCCGCTGCATTGATCCTGGAGTCCTGGTCCCAGGGTCTCATGACGGGCTCACTGCTCATCATGGCGGCACTTACATATGCGAACATGCGGCCGGGCGTCTTACTACACAAACTAATCCTCTTGGAGGTAACTTCCAGTCCTATCAATGTGGATCCTACCTGTTAACCAGCTTCCTGCTGCGATAGTTGATCTTGGCCACTGCTCATGGAACCTTTATATTCGCTCCAGACCCGGTATATGGATGGTACCTGGCCTCAACCGCAATCGGCTTAATTATATCATGGTCCTTGCACAATGTGATTGCATGGATTAAGAATAGGCCTTTCATGAGCCGTCGAATATCTCTCTTCTATATCGGCACGATTGTCCTAGCCCAGCCCTACTGGGCAGCCGAGATATACGCCAACTTCGCCTACTTTAACAATATCAGTCCTGTTGTGTACGAAAAGATCCGTCCATGGGAGCCACTGTTTCGGTATTTTACTGTTCCATTGATGCGGCATCACTTCGATTCGTGACCTTGCTTCACTGACGTATACCGCATTTCCAGCGACCCCTGGTGGATTTACACCACATGTAATCTTTTTTGGGTGGTAAAGATGCATTACAACCTCGAAATCATTGAGCTGGTGCGCGAATGTCCTCGCTTCGGCCTCATGTTGGGCTCAATGTGCCTCTCTATCCTTTTCAGTGTCGCCGACGTCCTCAGCGTGACTGGCGTTCTCAGCACTGCAATGCCCACCGGAATTAATCCTTTCTGGAAGGTGAGCTCTTGTGTGTCGACATAGACTTGCTCTCAAGGTCCGCGCTTAACAAGTAGTGAGGGGCGTCAGCTATGCTTCATGTTCAAGTGCCTCTGTGACACTATCATTCTGGACGACTTCAAGACCGCACTTGACAAGCTCAGTACTAGATGGCTCGCGCAAAATGGAATGCACGCCATAGGTCAGTCCGCTCTTTTTTATCTTGTTTTCTTCTTGGCCGTCTTGATTTCTGCATCCGGCCTCTAAATTCTGCTAGATTTTGACATTCAACGTACTTCCACTGATGTGCGTGCTCCGCCCCCTGCGCACGATAGGATTTCCTCTAAGTACCCTGTTACTGCTGTACATATTACATGAAGTGGAATATTTGGGTTGCTCTGTAAGGCAGCCAAGTGGCTATAGGCTATTAATCTACGAGAGATGCTTGCGTAATACTAGGTTAAATGTACTGGAGTCACCCACTGCTCCCCACTGAAGAGTGAACGAAGAGTACACGTATCAATTTTGGTCAGGACGCCGCAATCTATGCTCGGACTTTAGTCTATCACCCAGGAATGTCTTCCTAGGTATCATTTTCTTGCCAGTAAGGACACTTCACCAGACACTGGTCGGGCGCTCATGCGGAGGCAGGCGACTAAATGGCCGAACCCGACATATTCGGACCCCGGGACCCCGGCTCACGCACTTGTGAGGCTGCGGTGCCCCACAACCACCGCCCCTGGGGCACTCTTCGGACCCCTCAACTCCGGGGTGTACGAGGTAGAACAACTAATTACTGCCCATGCGCTAGCCACTGTCTAGGGAAAGGGCCCGAACCCGACTGTGGAGCGTCACACCACATCACACTCGGCCTAGCCCGCCCCCGTTGCCCGACACTAAAGGTTCCAATGACGAGTTATAGTATCCACACGGCAGGAAGAGACAGCCTGTGAATGGTACCCTACTACATTCAAGCGACAGGCTGGATGCCCATTGGATGGTCATCCTTGCCCGCCTCGCCCGTCTCGATGAGATAATAGTGTTCTTGGGGGGTTCTGGAAGCGTATGCTTTGCGTATGCCAGGGTCAGCCAAGCACACCAGCAGAGACTATCCAAACAAGGAGCTAGAGTGACGCCCTTGCATCCATGAATGACAGTACCGTGTTCTCCTCCCATCACGAGCTAGATTCCCTCCAGATCCTGTGATTATGGAATTTACACGTCCCTAGGGCGTCCATATCAAGAAGCACAGCCCTCCGGCATCAAGTTGACAATGGATATCGGTCATGACGGCCGGAGACGGCGCAATGCACTGGCGTGCAACACATGTCGAGCACGACGTACGAAATGCGGCGGACAGCGACCCAAGTGCTCCTTCTGCGTTGAGCGCAGCAAGGACTGCTGCTATCAGGAGCTTCCAGACCTTGCACTCTCCCCGTTAGTGGAAACCTCATGGTGATCTACAATACTGATCTTCTCGTTGACCGTGTTCTAGTCAGGACTTGGAGCTCTCGAGGATATGGGAGCATGTTGAGCGCATTTATACAGAGGTACAGGGCCGGTTTCCGCAAACTTCTCCCTCGCCCAAAGCGCAGCGGTTATCCTGTTCCTCAACCGACCGTGATGGGCCTGTCGGGTTTCCGATCATGGTACTCCAAAACACAGCGTTCATGAGCCTGCTTGGTTTAGACCAACACCTCACTGTGTCTCTAGAGAGTCAGGAACGTGCAAGACTAGGAATATCACAGCCACTCTGCCTCCCCACTGTGACGATCGATCTCCATCACGCGTCACTGTAAGTCGAGCAAAGCCATCGTGCTGGGGGACAGAACGAGGCTGACTCTCCAATTAGCCTGCTTAGCGCATTTACGGAGCACGTTCACATTTGGTACCCAATTTTGCATGCCGACTACACCGAAGATTTTGTCCATGCGGTAACTTCCGATTTCCCGCCGTCGGTGGGGTCCGGCATCACTCTTCTAATTTTAGCGATGGGATGTGTGGTGGGGTGCGCAACCATGATAGACGCCGTGCAGAGACGGCCGGAGATGACGTACATCCAAGCGGCTATGGCGATGCTTCCATCGATCTTTGCAGACAGTACTCCGCGCAGCGCGCAGTGTCTGCTCCTGTTTGGTATATACCACCTTTGCTGTGCGCGACCTTATCAGGCACACGACTACGTGGTTATGGCATCTAAAAGATTACAGAACTATTTGATTAAGTGAGTAAAAGCATTGCGGCCCGTAACGATAATGGCTGCTAAAAACTGAGGTCCCACAGTGAGTACGGCGCTGCTGATGATACTACAGATGTATCAATTTTCCAGAACTGCTTCTGGTCCGCCCTGATGATTGAAAGGTTCCACTCCTCCTCAACTGTGCCATATGCCGAGACGATCTAGAGTCATGGTCTGTTACCCAGTTGAAGGAGTCTAACCACTTTGTAGTGAAATTCGGGTTCAACTAGACCTCGTTGACAGTGGAATCTGCAGCGTAGCTTCATACGCGCCAGTCCTAGCAAGCTCAATGACCTGGGTCGGGCACCAACCACGGCCTTCCGAGTCTCCTGATTGTACGCATGATACAAGCCACAGTGATAGCGACCTGGCCTACTTTGTGGCGGAGATCGCTATGCGCAAAATGCTCCCGCTATGCACCTATTCGATCAGCACTCCGTCCCCGGGTATCCACATCTACGCGCCTATTGTCGCCGCTGAGCTGGAGCGACAATTAGATGAGTGGCTGCAGATGCTCCCCGAGCCGCTGTCATTCCGCTCCTCCTGTTCATGCATCGGCAGCTCATGGTGGGACTCAACACGGGCCGAGTTTCTGCGAACGCAGTACTACGCATTCAAGGCGTCGATTTATTGGCCTGCGGTCTATGAAGCACTCAGTACAGGAGCGGCCAACGACATCCTCCGTTTCCCCTGCAAAAGTTTCTTTACAAGTTATGCTGAGTTCGCGACCAGTGCCGCCGCCGTCGTCACAGTTTGCAAACCTAATGCCTGGACGTTGTATGCGAGGTGAGCGTGGCATCCGTATTGTCCATTGGGGCCGGAAAGATAGGCTGACCCGTCCTGGGGATGTAGCATGTTTACCATTTCGATGGCGACTCTTGCTGTGCTAGCAGAGCCGTGTCTCTCTGAATTCACAGCTCTGGCCGGCGTTTCCGAAGGCCTAACCTTGGTTGTTGAGATCCTGGCAGCGGTGGCGGACGTGAGCCCCTCCCTTCGAGAAATGAGTACGAGATTGGCCGAAAGAGCCTCTCAAAGTAGAATAGCGGTGATTTCGAAGCCAGCCGCATGCTCCCTGTAGACCGGGGGCACTGGATGGGGAATGATTTGTTGTTCTAGCTACTACTTCTCGCCTCCGTGTAGACTTCAACCGACTGCTAATCTCACGCGATGGCGATGCAGGTGGCCAACGGGTCACCGGTGTAGAATCTAATCCTTTCTAGCGGTCTCCACAGCACCCTACGCTGGGGCGCACATAGCCGAAAATTCGCGGAGAGATCCCCACCTCTCCGCGAGGCCATTGTTTGGTAGTCTCCTGGTTGATCGATGTTGGGCACCGTGTTGGAAGATCAATCAGGGGAGGTCCTCTGCCAAAGGAGCATGCCCGAGTAGTATAAATTCCAGCCCAAGCGCTCTCGTCTCGACGCCTGGGGTATATCAACCAGTAATTCGAAACGTGTCGCCCACTCCTCAACTGTCCACTGTGCCCTTATATCGCTCTTGATCATGGGATTCCTCTTCCATCAGCCTGAGGGCACCGCAGGCCAGGCCTGGCCTGCCATCGTCATCAGTGGCTTCGTTGCATTCGGGGGGATTCTCTTCGGGTGAGTGCCCTTCGTCTCCAGCAGGAGGAGCGTCCTGACGTCTCGCTAGCTATGATACCGGGACCATCAGTGGCATCCTCGCCATGCCATACTGGGCTCGCACGTTCTCAACAGGCTTCCGAGACAGCACCGGCCAGCTCAGCGTGACGTCCAGCCAGTCCTCGGCCATTGTCTCCATTCTCTCGGCGGGCACCTTCTTCGGAGCCCTTGGTGCCGCTCCCATGGGTGACCTGATCGGTCGCCGCATGGGGTTGGTCGCGTCCAACGCTGTATTTGTCTTGGGGGTGATCCTGCAGACCATCGCCACTGACATTCCGCCCTTTCTCGCCGGCCGGTTCTTTGCCGGCCTCGGGGTGGGCTTGATCTCGGCGCTGGGTATGGTTCTTCTGTTGAGATGGATGATTCCTGTTCGATAGCCACTGACAGCCACGGCATCGCCCCACAGTTCCTCTGTACCAGTCCGAGACCGCGCCCAAATGGATCCGAGGCTTCATCGTGGGCTCGTACCAGTTCGCCATCACAATCGGCCTCCTCCTCGCATCGGTCGTCAACAACGCAACCCACCACATTGACAACACCAGCTCCTACCGCATCCCCATCGCCGTCCAGTTCGCCTGGTCCATCGTCCTAGTCGTGGGCATGGTCATCCTCCCCGAAACCCCCCGCTACCTTGTCAAGCGGGACAACCTCAAAGCCGCAGCGCGCAGCCTCTCGCGACTCCGTCGCCTCCCCGAAGACCACGAAGCCGTCCGGCAGGAGCTCGCCGAGATCCAGGCAAACCACCAGTACGAGATTAGCCTGGGCAACTCCGGGTACATTGATTGCTTCCGCGGCAATTTGCGGAAGCGCCTCGCTACGGGGTGCCTCCTGCAGGGCCTTCAGCAGCTCACCGGGATCAATTTCATCATTTACTACGGGACGCAGTTCTTCAAAAACTCCGGCGTGCAGAATGAGTTCATCATCACGTTGATCATCAACTGTGTCAATGTGGGCTCGACAATCCCGGGCCTCTACGCAATTGACAAATGGGGGCGGCGCCCTGTGCTGCTCCTCGGCGCCGTCGGGATGGCGGTCTCGCAGTTGATTGTTGCGGTTCTGGGGACTACCACCGTGGGTCAGGACAGTCGGGGTACCATCATCGTGCACGATGCTGCGGCTCAGAAGGCCGCCATTGCGTTCATCTGCATTTTTATCTTCTTTTTCGCGGCCTCGTGGGGCCCGGTCGCCTGGTAGGTCCCTCTTCTTCTGGTTGCCTTTCTGTTTTCTTCCCCAGCCGCTGGTTCTAACCAAGGAACCCCCAACAGGGTCGTCACCGGCGAGATCTTCCCCCTCAGGACTCGCGCAAAGTCCCTCTCCATGACCACTGCTACAAATTGGCTGCTGAACTGGGCGCTGGGCTTCGCAACCCCGTACCTAGTCAACTACGGCGACGGCAACGCGAACCTGCAGTCCAAGATCTTCTTCATCTGGTTTGGGTGTTGCTTTCTCTGCATTGGCTTTGTGTACTTCATGATCTATGAGACGAAGGGGCTGACCCTGGAAGAGGTCGATGAGCTGTATAACGAGGTGTCGAGTGCGCATGCCAGTGTGGGTTGGAAGCCGAGCATTACCTTTGTTGAGATGAGGGGGAAAGCTGAGGATCAGGAGTCCAAGGAGGGTACTAGGGAGCATCATGAGTGTTGAGCTTTGTTGTCATGGGTTTGTTTAGTAGGGTTTGTGGTGAGGAACTGCTGGTGACAAGGGCGATAATTATTGCAGCTTTGATAGAACTGATAATAAACGGGGCGTCCGGTTTATTCAAGGCTCGCGTGGCATTTGATACATATATTGCAGTGAGATAGAGATGGACTAACTTGATATAATCCGATAGAACTCGATCTTGCATTTGCTTGGATTTGTCCGAATAAAAGGTCCCGCAGTACTGCTGGTCCTGCTCCCGTTTTGCTCCGCGAACATAGCCATTTGCTCTGGCAACAGCTTGTCTATCAACCTTCTGCTTTCCCATTGTGGCAATGCCTCACGATAGTTTCCTAGTTGCGAGAATGCCACTGTAGAGCGAGAAAAGCACGTTCAGGCGGCACCGATAGAGTGTGTAGAAGGCAAATTTTGCAGCGTTATGAGAATTCAGCATGTGGGAATGAGAGAATTGGAGGACAGGCTTCCTCGCGACCTTCGTCCGGGGGGCACCGATGGGCCAGTTTCTCATGGCCATGCCACCTGGCTCCTAGTCGATGCATGGTGACTTTCTTGGTGAGTCAACTAAAGCACCGGTATAGGCTCGGGGAGAGGGTAGGGACCGAAGGGTGAGCGTTGGTGTCGATGGGTGAGCGAATTACCCACGGATGGGTGAGGAAGTACTTAGGGAGAGGTGAGCGAATCACCTTACCTAGAGGGTGATCGGATCACCTGACTCACCCGACTCACCCCCTTAAAGCGGCAACGGCCGAAAGAGGCAAGAGAGGAGTACTCGTAGTTTTTTGAACGGTAGAACTACCTATAAAGTATATCGGATAGTATATCGGATAGCCTAGAAGTCATGAACATCACTCAGATACCAGTCTCCCATCACCCTCTCTAGGAGCACCATAACCCACTTGGTTAAGACAGACCCAACCCCTCACTTCCTATGAATCAAGCCCGTAATATATGCTAACTACGCCGTACTTCATATGGTTTACCACACTCCTAGGTACTCGGTGAACACAGCATGCAAGCATCTGCCTCTAGCCGCAGTTCGCAGCAAATCAAATCACTTCCAAGACTCCCCCCGCCCCCAGAACAGGCTCCCCCGCGAGTGGAGGCTTGCCTTCCAGTCTAGCCTTTCAGAGATATTCTATCCCCTTAGTCCCACGAGCATCGGGATAGCGCATCGCACCAGATGCCACCCCTGACGCTAGAGCCGCGCCTCATTCGCCCGCCACCAAGTGTTATTCTTTCGCTGCGCCGCACGTACTGTTGTGATACAAGGCTCGGAACTAGTTCCGTTTGAAGAGCGGAATTATGACTATTGATTATTCATTAACTCTGCAACTCAATGTTGTATAAAGCCTCAAGTTTTCTGCTCAAAGATCAATTCAAGCAATCCTTACTTCTTCCTCTGAACAACAACACGGACTACTACACCAACTAGCGTTATTCTATTCCTAGAGACATCATCTTTCTGGAGCGGATGGGGTCAGGTGGCCCTGGGGTTGAGGGCACACGGGAACCTTTCAAGATTCGTATCAAAGGCTGTCTCCAGGATGACTGTAGGAAGGATTCCAAAGATCCAATCTGCCAAGGAGTTCACCGTTTGCTTACTCCCTCCACCTACTCGGAGAAATACCCATTTCGTACAAGGTGAGAGGTCACCTGAATGTGTGGACTTCGATCAATTTGGTTATCGAATCCCCTCCCCTGGTCTTCGGTGCATCAAAAGGTCTTACTTCCGGTGATACCTTCATGTAAAGTATTATCATATCACCTGTATACAGCTATACGTGCCTCCACAGCCGGGTATATTCCAGGCTCTCGTCGATTTCCAGTTCTAGATCTCACAGAGTCGTCGTCTCTCCTGCAGCTGGCTTACCGGAAATGTCCACGGTATAAACGTCTTCGGGGCTAAGTATGTACATGTCTATGACAGGTACACTATGGCCTGGGTTATCCCGGTGAGTCATAAACAATGGATACGATGAGCAGCCTGTTCATTTACAGTAGTGCCTGAATACACGGAAACAGCAATCTTTAATTGAACAAAATTCTGGGCACTGGTGCATTGAGTGATATCAACCACCCCCTCATAGAGGCGGCTGAATGCATTTGCTGGTTTATATTGAAACCTCGAGACAACTTGGTGTGTTTGTAGCCTGGCGGGTGGGCCGGTAGAGCCTTCCTTGTACGACAGGACTGTTCTCTTTGTTCTGCGCATATGCCTTGGACATCGCCACCTGATCTTGTTACACTAAAACCCCCTCTTGTACCCTGTCCTCTTCCTTCTCCTCCTCCTCCTTTTTCCCATTCTCACCTGCACCCACAAGCTCTTCCTGCTTCTCTATCATAAACTGCAGCATACTTTCCACAAACATAAATACGCCAACATCCCACCCACTTTCAAGACCGACAATATGCCATCACCTCACCCAGACGAAAGCGAACCTGCCGCTGGCGTCCGAATCAAAGGAATTGGCTGCGTTATTTTATTCATTGATCTTTTCTGTCGCCTTCTCAACAAGAGCCCCAGTGAAATAGAAGCTCACCTCCGAGCGGCAGACTCCAGCGTTGAATCTAAACTCCAGGCCTCTCCCGAATTCCACCGACTGATCGAAAATGGAGAGATTCCAGTGTTCCCCTATGACTTTTTCCCTGATCCTTCTGATGATTGTGGTGGTGCAGGGGTCGTCAATGACACCTTGCCGCTACACTGAGATGAGTTTGTTGTTAGGGGACTGGATACCGAGCCAGAGGTGTACTGCTACGTGGATACCTTTCAACTCAACGATACCTCTATCGACTCGGCCATCGATATGCCTGAAGATGACATTGGTATTGAAGATGTTGGTTTCGAGATCACAGAGGACGAGGGAGACGAGGGAGAGATGAACGTGGCCCAGGATGTGACCTGTGTGAATCAAGTTCCCGCCTATAACGATGTCAGAACACTCTGCTCAAGAAGGGTCTCTTCATCACTGACATTGTCCCCCGCATACTCTCGAAGCCTCCCTCGGTGTAAACCCTACCGACAAGGAAATGCCATGTTCGTTGTCTGCAATACGGACTACTGTCATTCACATCGATTCACTGGTCAAAAGCGCATCTGTAACAGGATCTACAACCAGTGCAGACGCAGATCTAAGGGCGGCTGTTTGCGATATAACAGGCCCAGTGGAGTTTCCTCACTTTATCGGAGGGGGTCTTATGGGAGACTACCTGTTTATTCCAGTTGTTAGGCAGATAGTCACCCCTTCCTTTGCTCTCGTTTCTGTTTTTTGTTTATCTTCCCACTGTTCCCTCCCTGTTTCTTTTCTCCTTGTTTCTCATATCGTTTGCTCTTTGATCTATCATTGATCCATTCATTCATTCATTACTCGATCTTTGTTCTTGGAGAATGTTCCGGGTGGAAAGAAAAGCATAGGATCCATCACTTCCCATTGTGAATGTGAATGTGCTGGACCGGGATGATAGTCTGATGATGGTCTTACTATTTCTTTCTCATCTATTCTTTTCTTCTAGTCTCTCAATTTCGGGCTTTATCTTGATCTCACCCAATCTCGGGCTTATAGTAGTAGTAGTAGTAGTAGTAGTAGTAGTAGTAGTAGTAGTAGTAGTAGTAGTAGTAGTAGTAGTAGTAGTAGTA